GAAACATCGATTGATACTTGCTGTATTATTTCTTAACCAATCAGTGATATATTGGATCCCTCCGTCTTCTATTTCATTGTTTGATAAGGAAATTTCTTCAGTGATCTATAATAAAAGATAGCCATAGAACACTTTAAATAAAACCTATCAAAGGTCATGGCTGAAACTTACTGTATTATTTCGTAATGCGGCGAATAAGTATCGCACTCCGGAAATCCCAAGTCTTTTGTTTTGAAGCATTAGCTGCTTTTGACTCTGTTCGATACCATAACTATAAAGATATATGAAGAATAAAATAGAATGTTATATAACCTTCTTTTCTTCAATACGAATAATTGTTTCCACGGCATTAGATAGTGTATTTTTATTGTGACTGAGATAAAACTCCATTAAAGTCTATATATGTGAAAAAGTATGAATTAAATAAAAGAAGTAATGATGTCCAAAAAATCACTGTGTTATCTCGCAATGCGTTATATAGATCTTCTGCTCCATTTTCTCCAATATTGTTTGATCGTAGATCGAGCATTTTAAGTGTCTATATGTAGAACGGAAATCAAATGCAAATTAAAGACAAACATAACTAACAGTATTGTTTTGCAAAGCATCGACGATATACATGCCTCCTCGGTTTCCGATATTATTTGATTCCAGGTTTAGTGCAGTAAGAGTCTGGCAATAATAAAAATATCAATAAGTAGAAATCATCAAAGATTTTTACCATGTTTTCCTTTAATACATCAGCTAAATATGCTGCTCCTATATCAGTAATATGATTATTCTGTAGATTTAGTCGTTGTAGTGACTATTCAATGAAAAGATGAGTTAATGCTGAAACATCGATTGATACTTGCTGTATTATTTCTTAACCAATCAGTGAGATATTGCACTCCTTGGTCTCCTATTTTATTGTTTGATAAGGAAATTTCTTCAATGATCTATAAAACAAGATGGCCATAAAATACTCTAAATAAAACCTATCATTGGTTATGACTAAGACTTACTGTATTATTTCGTAATGCGTCGAATAAATATCGCACACCGATATTTCCAAGTCCTGCGTATGGAAGCATCAGCTGTTTTCGACTCTGTTTAATATCATAACTATAAGGATATATGAAAAATAAAATAGAATGTTAAATAACCTTCTTTTCTCCAATACGAATAATTGTTTCCACGACATTACATAGTGTACTTTTACTGTTACAAAGATAGAACCCTGTCAAAGTCTATATATGTGAAAAAGTATGAATCAAATAAAGGAAGTAATGATGTTCAAAATAATCACCGTGTTATCTCGCAATGCGGTATATAAATATTCTGCTCCATTTTCTCCAATATCGTTTGATCGTAGATCCAGTTTTTTAAGTGTCTATATGAAGAATGAAAATCAAATACAAATAAAAGACAAACATAACTAACAGTGTTGTTTTGCAAAGCATCAGCAATATATTTGGCTCCTTGATCTCCGATATTATTTGATCCGAGATCTAATTCCATGATTTTCTATATCCAAAATATGAATATAGATTTGCAAATGATATAGAATGAATGAAAGTCACCTTGTTGTTTCGGATTTGAAAACTTGCAGCAATAGCAACATTATCGCATCCGTCATTACCTCTTAGATCAAAATGGATAAGTTTCTATATATGAAAATTTTCTATATATCGAACAAATATATGCAGCGTGTTAAAGTTACAGTTTTGTTCTGAAATAATACATAGAGCTGGCGTGCTGTTGTGGCACTAATCCCATTGAAACTAAGATTCATTGTCGTTAATGTCTGTGAAGAGAAATAATTAAAATTTTGAAAAAAACTAGTCAGAATGCCAAGTTACCATATTATCTTGTAAAGCATTAGCGATACATAGAGCTCCTTGATCACCAATATTATTGTCTCTGAGATCCAGCTTGCTTAATTTCTATTTGCAGGCGTAGTGAAAAAAAGAAACATAAAAATAATAATTATAAATCATCCTTCTGTTTTTCAACACTACAACAAGTATTTCTACATTCTTCTTGTTGGTTCAATTTTGCCAAAAACCTTTTACTAGAAAGTGTTACAAATGTAGACAGGCAAGATGAAGTCTGTATGTTAGGTGAAGAACAGCCGTAAATTGTAATCAAAGCAGATCTTCATCACAACATCGATGGATAAATTACCTTTTTATTTCGAAGTGAATTGGCTAGATATTGTGCCCCTTTAGTTCCAATCTGATTCCCACCTAGAGTCAGTGAAACAAGTGTCTGTTTTCCGGGAAAAAAATAGACAATGAAGTAGATGGAAGCAGAAGAATTACTGTATTTCTGTTTAAAGCTTCAGCCATGTATTGTATTCCTTCATCTCGAATATGATTGCTTTTTAGATCAATATAATCGATTGCCTATGCAAGAATTCTTTCATTGATTTCACGTATATGATTAAAATGATTAAAAGTTACCACGTTGTTTTGTAATATATTTCTCAAATATTGTGCTCCCTCAGCTCCAATTTGATTGTTTGCGAGTCGAAGCGAAGCAAGTGTCTTATGAACAAAACAAAGTAAAATACTTTATATTCTGATGAAAAATTACCGTTTTATTTCTTAAGACTTCAGCTAAAAATTGTGCACCTTCATCGCCAATTTTATTATCTTCCAGCAAAATATGACGAATTGCCTATATAACAAAGATGGATTGATTTTTTAAATATGATAGAAATAACTGATAGCAACCATATTATCTTGTAACGCATCGCTGAGATATTTTGCTCCGCGACTTCCGATTTGATTCTTTCCCAAACTAATTCCAGTAAGTACCTTCGAATGACACGTAAATCAAAGTAAATCGAATAAGTTCAGAAAGCAGAATGAAAAATTAATTACTTTATTAGATTTTATCCATTCAGCTATATGTAATGCACCATCGTCTCCAATTGCATTGCCTTCTAGATAAATACGTTGAATTGTCTATGTAATAATTAGTAAAAAGAGATTGTCTATATGTAAAAAGAGAGCTTTTCGAAATTACCGTATTATTTTTTAATCCATAGCTTAAATACTGTGCTCCTTTAGTTCCAATCTGATTTCGTGCCAGATTTAGTGATGTCAGTGTCTTTTTTTGAAAAAAATGTGAATAGAAGATAAAACACATGAAAATATCTATCTTACCATATTCTTTCCTAATTCTTCACCAATGAATCGTGCACCTTCCTCTCCTATGGCATTACTGTCCAAATGAATACGCTTGGTTGTCTATATGGTAACAATGAATTAATTTTTCTGTATATAATCAGAATATTTGATAGCTACCCTATTGTTTCGCAATGCATATACTAAATATTTTATATCGTGCTTGTTTATATTCTTACGCTTCAGATTCAACTTGACCAATGTCTATTTCAAAAATATTCAGAAGATAAAAATGGAACGTAACGATTGTTTTCTATATAGAATGTTTACATATTGTCTCTAACGATTCTTGAATAGTTATTTATCCTGTAAAGGCGAAGTATTTTTGATTTTTAAATGCTATGCTTTCTTTTTTCTATTATTAGTTAAATAAAACGAACTAAGAAACATAAGTTAACAACAGTCAACGATCGATTACTCGGCAGAATTTCCCTACATACCTTTGATTCTGTAACATTATCGATGGCGTACATTAGGTGAATGATTGGCTGAAAATCACTATCCATCGATGATGAGTCGAATCTTAGTGTCCGAGAATAAAGGTGGAGCATTTTGGTTGATTTTAAGTTTTGTTTAAAGCCTATAGTGCACCTTGGAGTTGTATAGAAATGAATAACATTTTCCTGGAAAAAATAATCACATATGATAATCCATTTGTTTTCGTGCAACCAGAATGGAGTTCGAAATCGATCAATGATTAAATCAAGATCCTTCGCATCGTTTCCTCGTTTCAAATTATAAGAAAAGAAAAATTGAAATATTTTCAGCTTGGGCAGTTTAGTTTGAATCAGGTGTGTCCAAACAGAACCATCCAAAAGCGAATCCAAATTCTCGCTATACGAAATTAGTTTCAGTGTGACAAGCGATGGTGTCAACGAAAGAACTTCTTCGAAATCGATCATTGATAACGAACTATTACCGATTACTAATGACATCAACTGTGGATATTGTATAGTAGCAGAATAGGATGTGATTGACTCGTTGTATTTCTCGATGATCAATTGTTCTGTTGTGAACGATCGTAAGCGAGGTGAACGTTGTAGAATAAAATGATAATCCTCAAGAGAACATGATTTCAGTGTCAGATGTACTATACTGAATAAATTCGACTGTATTATACTGTGATCTAATTGTGATTTTCTTGAGTTCAATTGATTAAGAGTTCGTTGAATCACAACTTTCGAAATTAAATATGCATTTCGTTCATATATTTCAATTGTGCAAATATCAAACGAGACCAAGTTGGAAATGGGTAGATGATTCAAAAGGTTTTTATCTTCCTCGTTATCCAGGTTTCCCAATGTAATCGATCGAAGTCGAGTCAAGTGACTGGCTTCGAAGATTGAGAAAAATTGTTGAATACGGATTGATTTATTCAGTTCTTTATGAACTATTAGTGAAGTAATATTTTCTGGTTGTATAATACGAACAATCCTTTTCAGACGAGTTTCGTACACAGAATCAAGATCTAATTCATATTGATCATACACTGCACTAATTGCTTGAAACCGTTTGCACACAGGACGAAACGAAAAAATAATGAAGCATGCATCAAGATTGTTTAAAATGCGAAATACTATTTCGGTAGGTAATGTTAGTAGAGATGCGTTTGCCATTCGAATAGTATATTATACACAATCGCTAAAAATAAAAAGTCATATTATATTATTCTCACTTCTTTTTCTTTCAAAATGAGGTGTCTTCCCTTAATCTGCGCTCACACCCTTAAATAACTCTGGAAGAAAAGATTTAATTTTCTTTCTTTCTGTACTATCACATTTTTGCATCAGCTTTATAATCAAATAAACCTATGATATAACAGTTTTATTTCAACATGGTAAATCATTCTGAAATAAAACTGTAATGTCATATCTTTAGAGCGGATGTGCCATCTTCATCTTCATCCACACCAACACCATTCATTTAACTATTTAAACTTAATTAAATTAAAAGATTAAATTAAAAAAAATGATCCAGTATTAAATATTAAAATAAAGTAAAAGACCCAGCCTTAATTCATAAACAAGTACACGACACACCAGATCATTTGAGAACGTTAGTCTTTAGCGGAACTTTTTTATTTGAATGATGCAATCAGCGCAGAAAAAAAACTCTTACTCTCAGACAATGTGTAAAGAAAGTAACTTGAGTGCGAGCAAATGCGAGAATAAGAGTAGCATTATGTATTTACGTCTTTCTTTTTTTCTATAGTTGCTAGCTGCTGATTCATTCAATAGAATCTATAGAAGACCTCCGTGATTTATTAAGAAAGTAATGGAAAAAAACTTCAGAAATTATCTTTACTATTACACCTGTAAGACCTTGGCCTTGTCTCCACTAGAAAAAAAAATGTGAATTAAAAGTCGCACAAAATCACGTGTGTCTACACTTAGAAAGTTAATGCATCAATCAAAATTCAGAAGGAAGTGATTCTTTCATTAACTCGATTGGAGAACGTGGACTTGGTTAGACTTTGATTGGTGCATTAACTTTAATGTACTTTCGAAAGATGAATTAAATTAATTCATCTTTCGAAAGTACATTAAATGTGAATTAAATTTTCGACTAATCAAGTTCCTTAATTCCGCATTGAATTTTCTAGTGAAGACAAGGTGGTCGAAAATAATGCACCAATCAAAGTCTAACCAAGTCCACGTTCTCCAATCGAGCTAATGAAAGAATCACTTCCTTCTGAATTTTGATTGATGCATTAACTTTCTAAGTGTAGACACACGTGATTTTGTGCGACTTTTAATTCACATTTTTTTTTCTAGTGGAGACAAGGCCTAATATAACCGACGGAATTTGAATCTGAATTGATCATTTTAACGAATAATAATGTTCGTAAGATGTCGCGTGTGTCCTGACTCATCGTAGCATTAATAAGAGCTATTTATAATGGGATATCAATATTTTATAAGTATGATTATATACGGTTGGATATTATCGCATGTAGAAAACGAGCAAATTATTTTTCGCTAAAACGTTTTGCCAGACATACAACTAAGTTTTTTTCAAAAACTGAAGAAGTTTTCAATTGATCATATCTACGAAACGCAAAAACAAGATGTGATTGTGGATATAATGCATTCAATATCACATTTACGCCCGCACTCTAAACAGGTTGTGGTAACTATACTTATATATGTACACTTTCCCACATAGAATAATGAGCGTCATTTATTATTTTAATCATAATTTACAATTGATTTAGAGGAAATTGTTTGAAAATAATGTCACCTACATATCGAGCACCATAGTTCGTTGTATGCAAACCATCATACGAAATTAGTTTCCCTTCTGGAGTGAAAACAGGGCACATACCATTCTCGAAGGTACAAGTCATATTCAATACATCGACAAATATTGATTGATTGAAAGTTTGTTTCATAATTGTATTTACATTGACAAAATCTTTTTCGGGCTGTTGAAATTGTTGTATACGATATTCATAGGATGTATTCACATACAATGTCAGATTTACTGTGCCAAAGTTTTTCACTCCTAACACAAAGAGTTTCTGGCTCTGTGTTAAATTTAATAGTTCTATGGTCTTTGGCAATCGTCGAGCACTCCATTCAAACCAACGACCCGCTAATATGATGATATTCGCCTCGCGGATCAGTGGCAGTGCAAATATAATATCGTTTTGATCAATGCAAAATCGTCTGTACTGAGAAGAAACCCATTGTAATCTATCCTCGGAGCCCATATAAATTTGGCAATAATGTTTAACATAATGGCAACGTAACTCATAGTTAGCTAGACTGTATGTTTCTGCAGCCATGTTCATAAAGTCTTGCGCAAAGCTATCACCAATGAGTAGAAGTCTTCGATTTGTCTTCGCTGATTCATTTGAAAATGTTGGATAAGCTTTCATATGAGTGTCAAATCTTCGTGTGACATAGGTTGAGAGTTTCCAGGGCTCAATATCTTTCAAATATGTATCTACTTGTTCACGTATTTTCAAAGGTCGTCTACGCATTGCTTTGCTTATTCTCAAAGATTGATTATGCACTGCTTTGGTTATTGTCATAGATCTATTATGTTCTACTCGCGCTATGATGAGAGATCGATGATTGGCAGTGCGAATAAGAAATAGTGCGACAAGTACCATTAATAGCGCCCCTGTAACTGAAATACAGAATATATGCTGCCGAGAAAAGAGAGTTCGATTGCGAAATGGTTGTTCAACAAAGAAATAGCTGAGTGTAGCAAGTACCAAAACGGCAACAACGATGAAGTTGATATACGAAGTATTTTGCATTCCAACTGATCGTAGACGAACATAAACCAATAAAGGTTGATGCCAAAGATAGGCACTGTACGAAATTATACCTATCCAACGCAATGGCCGCACAGATAATAGACGTCCCACGAATGTATCATGGTTTCCGAAAATAATGATTAAAGCTGTTCCAAACGTAGGTATCATAGTGTAACAGTTTGGAAATGGAGGTATAAAACGATTGTCGAATAACAGAACAGATGCAGTAATCAGCGCGAGTCCGATTATAGCAAAAAGTTCTGCCCACATGCTGGATACTTTTCTAGACCTAAAAAGTATTTGTGACACATTTCACAATGCAATTCTTTCAATTTTGAAAACAACTGCACGTTTTCTGTCTCATCCATATTCTCTGTATACTTCTTAAAAAGGGATGTGGGTGCGAGAGTGTGAGCGAGAGCCTTGCAGTTTCGCTGTTCTGAAGGATATAGTATCTATAATTACATGAATAGTTATAGCCACTCCTATAATGTTTTGAATCATTGTTGAGTCTCATTTTTCATTCGAACTTTCTTTGCTATCCCAATGATCAGGTTTCTTATATGTTTTATAACAATAAGTTTGATATGTTATAATGGCAAGAGTTCTAGTAGTCTAGTGAATGTCCGGAACGTCAGCTACCAAAAATAAACTTGGATATTTTCACCTCTTTTTTTACCAGATGGACTCATACTTTGCCTATATAATAATAGATAATATTTGAAAATCTTTTTTCATACGAAAACTGTTACTAGATAGTGCTTCCAATTGCGCTTGTCTTCGATTTCAATAAATACACTTTCGAGGAATAGTTTTCGATATTATTAAAAGATTTTCAGACTATAGTAAGTTCTCATTTTTGATACTAGGATAATGAAGATATGAAATTTCTTTTAAGTAGGGGACTTTTTGAACACCTGGTAGATGATATAGATGCCGTGAGAAAAATTATATTGTCAGTGCAATTAACGAATCCGAAGAAAAAAATTACAAATAATAATACATACGTTATTGAATTGTTAGTCCTCAAGTAGAATGCGACGAAAGCACCAAGTAGCAATTCCCATGCGCGTCCTATAGGCATGTAGAATGATGCCAAAGAATGTTGTAGAAACATGTAAAGTGTAGGATTTGAGATGGATTGGATGTTGCCTCCCCATTGTGCAAGAGAAAAACTGAGTAGCGACAAAAATCCAAGAAGAATAATAAGGCAACGTTGCTTTCTAGCGAGTAGATAGCACAACAATGGAAAAACAATGTAGAACTGTTCTTCTACAGCCAAACTCCATGTATGAACCAGAGGATTCAATTCATTTAGTCGTGAGAAGTAGCTGTCGTCTTTCCACCAAAAGAATATATTAGAAGAAAAAATGACCATAAAAATTAGAGAATAGCCAAACTCTTTAAGCTGATCAGGAGACATCGAATGGTATGCGAAGTAGCAGCTAATGAACGAAATAACATACAGTGCCGGAAGGATTCGACGACATCGTCTTTCATAGAAATGAATAATTGAAAATGTTTTTGCTCTCAGTTCCGTATCGATCAGTGATGTAATCAGATAGCCACTGATGACAAAAAATATATCAACACCAACGTATCCTCCAGGAACCAACTGGGTGATACCAGAATGATAAAAAATAACTGCTAACAGGGCTAGTGCTCGGAGTCCATCGATTTCTTTGCGATAAATAAGCATTGCTGGCACCTATAAATGTTCAAAAGACAACAGCACGAAATAGTAAATACAGACTAACTGTAGGATCAATAAATACGAAATTTATCAAAAGGGAATGAGTCTTCGACATAGAGCTGTACGAAGCAGGTCTGGTCACCGATGTTACGACTCATCAGGTATCCTACGTAGTTTTCTCTATTCTTCATGTGTCCCTCATTACAATAATCAAACTATATCAAGCATGAACAGTAGTACTACTTACCTGAATTTATCAAGAGCACACCACAATCTATAGCAGAATCGGTGCCAGCGATAATATGGCCCATCTACCCATACCCTCAAGTACTGGAATTCTAGCCAAAGATGTCGTACATTTTTCACTGATTTCTTCAAGAAAGTTCCAAATTACAAAAATGTGGCATACAAACCATCCTCCTCATAGACAAATCCAAGCATTCCGTCGTTCTCGCTCAAGAAATTTATAATACCACTCTACGAGCAATACCATATCCGATCAGAAAAAGGGCAGAATTAAAAATTATTATGAAAAAAAAATTGACACATGTCGACATTGTGACAGAAGAGAAAAAAACGCATTAAATGTTACCAGACAACTGAACAGAACGAGAGTCCTTGATCAACAGTGAGCGAGGCGCACAATAGAAAGAAAGAGAAAGAAAGCTACACTGTACAAAGAAAAGGCAAAATAATAAATTTTTAAAATATTCATGAAAGTGCAACGTATAACAAATCTTTTCCTGTCATTTTTTAAATCATCGTAAACGATTTATCAGCTTTTAATATTCGTCAAGAGACCTTTATAAAATGGTTTATGCCATTTTTAAAGCGTGTGGATGCATGTGTTCTTTCGTTCTTCACCAGTTTCGAAAAAAAGCACTATTTTTCGCAATTACACTTGTTTTTGTCTTGTTTATGAAATGACTCAGAAACGAAAGTGTGTTTTATAAATCGTTATCTTGCTGCAATATAAATGTCGTCATACATTTCAGTATATTAAAAACAAGTAGTCAGTAAGTTGTTGTATAATTACACGATTTAATTCCTAATAAATAACAGAAAATGAACACAACGACATTGCTTACTCAACTCAATATTGATGAGACGCTAGTAGAATGCATATATTTATTTGGTTCACATGCATACGGTACAGCAAGTGAGCAACGTCAAAGTGATTACGATATCGTAATGGTACTCAAATCAAACGCATTCGATAGGCATCCATTTTTTAAATGGAAAAATCTAAACTGGTTAGTAAAACATAATTGGATAAATCCAAAGTTTCGTAGCTTATTTTCTGGCGAATCGGATAAAACATGTTTTAAAGATTTGGGTGATAGAGATGCACAAGTATGGATGTACAACGTGGACACCTTTCGAAAACTTTTAACGACAAACACTATTTTTGCTATCGAATGTTTTTTTCTGCCTCCGAAGCTTAAATGGATTGAAAAAACGAAATTTGCTGATGAATTTCGCATTGATGATCATATGTTGGAACAATCAGTGCTGAATCATTCGCGATCTCATCTTTTCATGGCGTGTAAAAATATGACACAAGCATTATTTCCACATGAAAATGATGATAACGAGACTCGAAATGCAATTGCTAAATTGTCAAAAGATCCAATATGGAACCATGCATTAGTGCCCATAAATTATAGCTTTTACAAAACAAAAAAATTGATATGGCATTCAATTCGTTTGCTGTATTTTGGTATCAATGTGAAACGTTTTGGTCAATTGATAGATTATACTGCTGCGAATTATTTATATGAAGATCTTCTTGCCATAGAATCACACAAATGGATAGACTTTGCCAACAAATATATTCCTATTTATAATGAATTAACCAATGAGTTCATAAATCTTACACGAGATCCATCTACGTTATCTGATAAAATGGATTTGTAAATTAAATATCGTTCTTGACAAATCTTTTTGACGATTCTATACCGGTCTTATTTAGTTAAAAGAACAAAAATTTATCTTCGTATTATGTTTAAAAAATTATTTTATTGAATAAATACTTTCATATATTCATGATAGACCAACCTGCCTGACCTTTTCCCCGTGATCTAATACAAGATGGCTGATCGTTTAGTCAAAAAATCGTATCATGACAATGTCATTTAATGTTTAAGTTAGTGTCTTTTATTTTAAACGAAAACTACGACTAATTACAATTTCTTGTTCATGCGATCAATGTTCTCTTTCCATTTTTGAAGACGAGGGTGTGTTGATGATAATGAATGTTCTGCAATAGTTACCGCTCGTTCGTAATTTGTCCTCGCTTTGTGATAATCACCCATTTTCTCATATACCAATCCGATATTGTTGTAGGATGTAATTAAAGTAGGATTCTTGTGCGAAAGTGTTCGTTGTTGAATTGCAAGAGCTTTTTCATGGCAGGAAAGTGCATTGGTATAGTAGCCTATTCTCTCATATGCCGAACCGATATCATTGTACAATGTAGGCCAATCAGAATGATCGGCTGCAAGTGATTGTTCCTTGATTTCAAGAAATTTGTCGTAATACGGAAGAGCTTTAGAATAGTCACCTATGCTTTCATACACTAAACCGATACTGATATACGATGAAGCCAAAGATAAATGATCGGGTGGATGTGCTTGTTGTTCGATTACGAGAGCTTTTTCGAAATACCAAAGTGCTTTCTCATAGTCCTCTGAATTATTACATAAAGTATTACCGATGTTCTTGTAAGATGCAGCCAAATCAGGATGATCGGATGCAAGTATTTTTTCATTAATTTCTAGAGCTTTTTCGCAGTACAAACGTGCTTCGAGATTGTCACCCATGTTTTCATACATTGATCCTATATTATTGTATGATAAAGCCATAGACAAATGGGTGGGTGGAAGTGATTGTTGTTTAATTTTAAGGGCTTTTTCGTAATGTACAAGTGCATTGGAATAGTCACTCATATTTTTATATACATCACCAATAGCATCATGAGACGTTGCCAAACTAAGATGATTGGATGGTAGTGTCTTTGCATGTATTTCAAGTGATTTCTCATAGAACTGAATGGCCTCTTGATATTTTCCTTGATCATTTTTGGCTGATCCAATATAATGATAAAGAGTTCCGTTTTCCTCCACTTTGTCGGAATAATCAAGTAGGATATTGAATACTCCTTCGGCTTTCTTAGGTTCACCTATCTTTAGTAGTAGTCGACCCAATCCAAACCATCCTTCTTCTTCGGGAAAAATCTCTTGGTGAATCCGATCCGTGAGTTGGCGAAGATCGTCGTCGTTGATACCGATCAAAGTCAAGTTTACCTGAAATAGTTGAGTATTATTACTCATTCGTTGTATATCACCAATACGAAATACTGAGTGCAAGGAAAAGAGTACGTCACCTTCTGCTTCTTGAGAATACCTAAAATTTTCAATACAGGCGAATGGTGTCTTAGATTGGCTGGGATCGATGGTCATGACGAAAAGAATATCCACCAAATTCGAATTCGAGAGGGCGTTGTGAGTGAATTCCATTGAAACATCACGTTTCTTGCTAGTTAATAAGAAATTGTTGAACGACATCAGACCACCTTTGGTTTTCTTCAACTGCTCAAAATTGGCGGTAGATAGACCTTGTCCATAATACACTGTAAAGATATTGTCAACTGGATGATCACTAAACTGTTCCGAATGCAACTTTTCAATCTGACGATGAAGGTCATTGACGAGGAAACTCATCTTGTGAATGATGTCAGCGTTCATTGTTCGTAATCCAAAATTGAGCATGGGATACACGAAGCATTGTTGCATATACCACCAGATAGGTGTTTTTTCGTAATAACTTCGTTCTAGCTCATTAATACTGATTAATTCATGATTGTTTTCAGCAAATTGAAGACGACAATATGCAATAAAATCTTTGAAATGCTTTTGATCGAATTGAATAGTGAATAGAACTTGTTTGAGAATTTCTGTGTATATAAATGAAGGATCCACATGATTTAAATTTTTGTTCGATGTATCGTCACTTGTTGATACGAAGCTTATGGGCATTGAGTTTTGTTCGCATTGTTTCAAGACAACTTTGAGAGCCTCACAAAGAGGAGCAGTTTCTGTGAACACTCCTTTGATTTTAGTCCAATACAAGGCCCCTTTTTCGTGAGACTCGTTATTTCCATAAAATAGGAAAATGGAATCTACCTGTGACATACCTTGTACACCTATCACGACATATTGTTCAAATGTACCCGAAATGATCACACATACTCTGTTGTCCTTGATCTCGCGGATGAACTGCATGCATTGGCTGTAATCATTGAAGGTATGAATACTGTTCACCACACATCGCAATTTGATCAATATCTTCTGGTAATAAGCGTTGTTACTGTCGATACTGCTGTCCAACCACACTAGAAGGAGGTTTTGGACCTGATGAATGCTGCTTCGCCGACGCGTAACTGTACATGCTGAGGATGCTGAAGGTTGGTCTATACTATTAGGAATTTCAACATCGTTACTTTCAACTGACTTGTTTGTGGCCATGATTTATAAAAAAAAATACAAGTAAAGCAATAATCACAAGCTCTTCTTGCTTATCATTGTTATTTAAGCGCACCACGTTTTTTGTTACTAACAAAACAATCTGCAACAAACTCTTTCTTTTCTTTGATAGAGAAAGAAATTTCACGTGCTTTTATATACCGTTATCGATAAAATGGTTTTTGTTTGACAATGACACATCGAAGTTAGTCATACTGGTGTGTGTTCTCTACATGCACACTAACACATCTACGATTACTCATCGATATTGACTTGTTTTTTTATTCATAAAACAAGTTTTTTCATTATTTAATAAATGATCTACCTCATAATCAAACTTATTCAATTATATTTAGTAAAATAGTTAGATAAACTTCAAGGTCTTCTTTCAAAATCAATATCACTTACAATAATAAGTAGTGATAAAAGTCGTATTGAAATAGTTCATCAAATAAAAATTTCTTCCGCAAGAATTAATTCGTTTAATCCTCACCTAGCTGTATTTGAACATTTTGATCTTTTAGATTTACCATATGCATATTTTATATCGTACAATCACTTAGAATTTTTATTAAAGATCTGTAAAATCGAATTATTTTTAGCTCCGACTAACAAAAAGTAAAGTGTAGTATCGGATAAACGGAAGAATCTGCATGAGATTGAATCTCGATGTAGAAGACAATAAATATAGTATAAATGAAACATTCTCTTTTTTGTTGTCCTATAAAGATACTCTGATAGTTGATGTCAAATTGCAAATATAGCTTTATTGCTCTAATTAGTTATTTAAATAAAAATAAAATAAACCATCTTGAGAGTGTAGCTATTGATCTTCATTCAACATCCACTTGCAACGTCGAGATAATATGAAGCAATAGCATTACACATATATAGTATTTTCATTCTTTTATTTCAACCAAACAATTTTCCAAAAGTTTATTTAAAGTGTAATTTTTAAAGTCGTGTTATTGTTACTCAACTTCTGAAGAGTCTGTATTCCTTCCTCTCCAATTCGATTCCGTTGGATACAGAGTGTATTGAGCGTCTGTATGAAACAAGAGATAAGCAGATCAGACACATCATGACACTCTTTCTCTCACCTTATTCAATTGTAAGGCATCAGCTAGAAATTTTGCCCCCGCATCTCTAATGTCATTGTACGCGAGTTGAAGTGTACTGAGTTTCTGCGTGAAAGTAAAAACAAGAAGATAAGATAAATCAAAAGGCTCTTTCTCTCACCTTGTTTACTCGTAAGGCTTTAGCCAGATAATATGCCCCAACGTCATTAATTTGATTATATGGAAGTTGAAGTATAGTGAGTGTCTGTGTGAGTGAGGAAACAAAAAGATGAGACAAATGAAAAGATTCTTTCTCTCACATTGTTCACCCGTAAAGCATCAGCCAGATATTGTACACCTTTTCCTTCAACTTTATTTAGGCCGAGTTGAAGTCTAGTGAGTGTCTGTGTAAAAGAAGAAATAAGAAGATGAGATAAAGAAAGAAATGCTTTCACTCACCCTGTTCACTCGTAAGACATCAGCCAGATATCGTAATCCTACATCTCCAATCTGATTGTTGTAAAGTTTGAGTGTGGTAAGTGTCTGTATGAGAGAAGAAACTAGAAGATAAGATAAATGAAAAGACTCTTCCTCTTACCGTGTTCACTCGTAAGGTGTCAGCAAGATATTGTGCTCCTCTCTCTCCAATTCGATTGTCGTAGAGTTGAAGCGTAGTAAGTGTCTGTGTGAAAGAAGAACCGAGTAGATAAGATGAATGAAAGGATTCTTTCTCTCACCTTGTTCACTCTTAAGCTATCAGCCAAATGTTGTGTTCCTGCATCTCCAATTTGATTGTACCGAAGATCAAGTGTGGTGAGTGTCTGTGTGAGAAATGAAGCAAGAAGATGAGATACATGAAGAGACTCTTTCTCGCACCGTGTTCATTCGCAAAGCATCAGCAAGATACTGTGCACCTCTCTCTTCAATTTGATTCCAGCCGAGTTCAAGTGTGGTAAGTGTCTGTATGAAAGAAGAAACAAGAAGATGAGATCTAGGAAGAGATTCTTTCTCTCACCGTATTTACTCCTAAGGCACCAGCAAGATATTCTAATCCTGCATCTCCAATTCTATTGTTGTAGAGTTTGACTATAGTGAGTGTCTATATAAAAGAAGAAACTAGAAGATAATAAGACAAATAAAGAGACTCTCCCTCTTACCTTGTTTACTCGTAAAGCATCAGTCAAAAACTGTACCCCTACTTTTCCAATTTGATTGTTTCGGAGGTCAAGAGTGGCGATTGTCTGTACGAAAGAATAAACAAGAAGATGAGATGAAAGAAGAAAATCGTTCTGTCACCGTGTTAATTCGTAAGGCATCACTCAGATGTTGTGTTCCTTCATCTCCAACTTGATTGCCATCGAGTTGAACGGTGGGAAGTGTCTGTATGAAAGAAGAAATAAGAAGGTGAGACTGACGAAGAAATTCTTTCTGCTACCTTGTTTATTCGTAAAGCATCAGCCAGATAATGTGTCCCTCTCTTTCCAATTTCATTGCAACGGAGGTCAAGTTTAGTGAGTGTCTGTTCGAAAGATGAAAGAAGAAAATGAAATAAATGGAATGATTCTTCCTCTTACCGTGTTTACTCGTAGGGTATCACTTAGATGTTGTATTCCTGCATCTCCAAATTGATTTACGCCGATTTTAAGTGTAGTGAGTGTCTGTGTAAGAAACAAAAAGATGAGATAAACGAAAATATTTTTATCTCACCTTGTTCAGTTGTAAGGCATTAGCTAGATATTGTAATCCGACATCTCTAATTCGATTGTTGCCGAGGTCAAGTGTGGTGAGCGTCTGTATGATAGAAGAGACAAGAAGATGAGATAAATAAAGAGATTTTTTCCCTTACCGTGTTCATTCGTAAGGCATCAGCTAAATGTTGTGCTCCTTTATCTCCAATTTGATTGCATTCGAGTTCAATTGTGATGAGTGTCTATGCGAATGAAGAAACAAGACGATGAGATACATCAAGAGACTTTTTGTCTTACCGTGTTTACTCGTAGAACATCAGCAAGATATTGTACTCCTATATCTCCCATTTCATTCCCTCCGATGTTGAATGTGGTGAGTGTCTGTATGAGAGAAAACGCTAGAGGATAAGGTAAATGGAAATAGTCGTTGTGTTACCGTATTCATTCGTAAGGCATGAGCAAAATAGTGTGCCCCTTTCTCTCTAATTGCATTGAATCCGATATCAAGTGTGGTGATTGTCTGCTTGAGAGAAGAAATAAGAAAATGAGATAAATGACAAAACTGTTTCCCTCACCGTGTTCATTCGTAATGCATCAGCCAGATATTTTGACCCTGCTTCTGCTCTTCGTTTGTATCTGAGGTTGAGTGTAGTGAGTGTCTGTGAAAATGAAAAAAGCACGAAGATAAAACAAATTAAGAGATTTCCCACTGCATCTCGTTCGATTGCTCAAGTTATTTCAACGAGCTGGTAAAACAAGGCGTCATCGAAATGTAACGTTTAGACAAGAACGAAAAGAAAAGAAAAAAAACAAATTGTTATTATCGTATATCTGCACATTACTTTATTCATAGCTTTAATGCTGAAAAAGATTTTTTATAAGAGATTCATAATGATTGACTGATGACTTGAATTGTTTATATATATTTGATCAGACTCATTCTATTTGCCTAGATAATATATATGAATGAAAAATAACTTACCAAGTATCGATCATAACTATCTAAAATTCGATCGAACCGTTGACATACATTTCGCATTGAACATATAATTGTAGCATCATCCTGATGATCGAGCACTCGGTAGACAATTTCCACTGGTAAAGTTAAAAAAGAAACATTGGTTTTATTTGACATTGATAGCAGTGATTGAAATGTAACGTTATACTATCTTGTGTATGTTAGTTGTGTGACGTCTTCTTATCTACTTTTCTTCGTATTAAACGATTCGATGCTTATGATGTAATTGTTTGTTCGTAGAAAGAAATGCCAAAAAAATTAACATGTATCGACAAAATCTGAAAACTTGGATGATTGATAAAACAAATTTTTTTGTTGATGGAGTTTTAATAGGAAGATAATACATGATAGACGTCGCTAGATTGTTTTTAGTTGTGATTAGCAAATTTTGAGTGAGGTCAGACGAATGGTCTGTTTAACGAGACTCTCTTGATTTATTTGACGGTAAGGGTAAGATAAGAATACAGATATCCGAATTCATCACATAATCTACACCTTATTCAACATTAATATTAATATCATTCATTAGTTTAGCTCTTAATATATGTCTCACGTTTTCCCTATTCACGCCTTCTGTCTTCTTTTTCATATTTATTAACTGATGTATCTCTATTGTTTTATGCACCAGCAGCACATAATTTACTTCAAAACTATTCTGACAGACTGCATCGAGCAGTTCGAATTTATTAGAGAGATTTTTAGATAGATAAAACAAAAGCTACCGCAGTACTCAGCTTAATTGTAAATGTAGATAAGTATTTCCCAATCAAAATGATCCTCCCCAACGAAAGTAACATCATTTGATATCCTTTTAAAAATATCCTTTATTTTATTTCTTGTTTTTCTTTTTAAATAAAACTTTAACAAATTTATAACAATAAAACTGTTCGTTTTTTTTTCTTCTTAAACAAACGGTTCAATGTTTATCTCTAATATTGAACATGGTAATTTCAAACCAAATTGTTCAATAACATTTGGATGAAGAACACCAATAATACCGATATTTCCACCATTAGCAATAACTTGTGCATGTCGACCAGGAAAAAATGCCGTATCTATAATTTTAATAAATATTTCTTCGATAGAAAATAAAATAATTTTTACCTTCGCATTGATTATTTAAATAATAACCTTGATTACCAGATTTATTTTCATTATATGATACTTTAACTAATGTCATTATTCGATCAAGTAAACCATGAATTGTTTCAAAACCTGGTGTTTTATTATAAAAAACTGCACATAATCTTCTTTCATTTCGACTACCAGTTTCTTAAAATGGAAAAATAAAAAAATATTTTTTGTTCTATTAATAAAACTAAAACAAACCTCGAGTTAAATCTTTAAGAATAACATCTGAAACTTCGAATAATTGAATAGGTAATGCGGTACCTTGATTATTTGCAATTGTTTTTAATAAACCTGGTAAAAGTGTTGTTCGACCGATCTTAATTAATCATATTTTTGCTCAATTATCATATATATATGAACTTTAATCTTACTTGAAAATCTTGTGTTTTAGGATTTCCAATATGTACTGCAGGAATACTTTCAATAGTTTTTCCAAATTTTTCTGCTACATCTGCACATGAACATAAAGTAAATGTTAATGCTTCGATAAAACCAGCTTCAGCAACAGAATGTCGAATAAGATCCGATACACGATTTAATTCAAACTATAGACGATACATTCCATTATACACAAAGAAAAAAATATATTCTTACTTGATTTCCAATACAAACTGTTTTCGGAACAGTTTTATGAATATTATTAAAACCATAGGCAACTGCACAATCTTCAGCTATATCGCAGAAATGAAGAATATCGGCTCTTGTTACTGGTATTTCAATACGGAGTGTATCAGGATCGATAACTTTCGTTCGAAGACTCATTCGAGTTAAAAGTGTAGCTGCAGTTTTAGCATCTACTCTAGAAAAAATGAAATATATGTAAATACTTTTTTCTTGTTCTAGCAAAAAATTTCAGTTTCTTACTCTATGCCAATACGTTTGTTAATTTTTTTTACGGATACATTTTCAACTCGATCATCTAAATTCTACAATTAAAAGGAATCAACAATAAATAAAAACTAAATTGAAAATAAACTTACAGGATAGACAGTAACTGTTCCATCGACTTGTTCAACTTCTACCGGTTCAATTCTATTAGAAGAACAACAAAAATTCTTTTGTATCAAATTTCAAAATATTTCCTTACTCAAATGGTTTACTACAATATTGAGCAAACATTGTTAACATAATATTAAGTACAACATTTGCTTTATGTAAATCTACTGCAGTACATTCAATAAAAACATTTTTTGTATTCACACTCATTTTACTATGATCACCTATAATGTATTTAACATAAACCAAAAAAAACTCTTTTTTTATTTAATTATACCATTTATAATTGGTGGAAGTGATAAAACTACATTGTTTGAATCATAAATAACCGGATAGACATCTGATTCTTGAATAATTGATACATAACGTTTAAGGTGTGAATCTTTAGAATAAAATTCAAGCATTTCATCAGCTTGCATTTCTTTCTGTTGATTTAATGATCGAAATTTAATTTGTTTGGGTTCACGAGCATCATAAATAAATGGTGGTTTAATTGTATCAAGATCATGTGTACCTATAGCAACTAATGTTCGATTACGACATAAATTTTGATGTAATTTATCTTGTAATTTTATAAAACTATTGTAACTATCGGCATTAAATGTTATATTACGAAGAACTGCGCCAACAACAATTGGACGAATGCGTTGAGTCTAATGATATAAAAATGAACAGATTTTATATATGATAGGGAAAAAAGAAAATATACATTTGGTAAAATTTTCATTCGAATTAATTTTTGATTTGATAAAGTAAATTTTGGTAGTTCACCTCTGAAAATAAATTTCGTTTTATCAATGAAAATATCGAATTATATTACTTTTGTAAGAAGATTTTTAATGCTCGGCTTAAACCTTCCAAACAGAGAATATCATAACTAAAAATGGAAATTATTTCAATAAAAAAAAAGTAAATTAGAATAAACAAACCGATTAGCTGGAATATCAATTTTGTATTCAACATCTTCACCGTTTGATTCTGGTATAGGTTCCTAAATACATCATACATTATAAAGAGATTAGAAAGCCGTTTTTAGGGATGTACGGTGCCAGTTTACTGATCACCGATATCATTGACACTGAAGCACTGATGATGTCGGTGCAGCGACGTTTACTGCTATATCAGACATTTTTATATCAGTAAACGTCGGTGCTCAAGGGTCGTCAGTACTTCGGTAAGCTAAGTGTCAGTAACTTCAGTGCCAGTTTTCTCAGTATTTGCACCGACACCGCACATCCCTAGCCGGTTTGATTCGCTCTCCGCCCAAGCAGACAAAAAATTGTAAAAACGCGTTTAAACGCTCAATCGGGAACCGCGATTATAACCCATTCACGCTTAATAATCAAACGCCACAAACAGCGTTTTGGATGTAAAATCATCACTTTTATAACGTTAAAGCGTGCGTTTATTCTAGAGTTTAAAACCCATGCGCTTAAGTATTGAAAATAGGAGTTTTTCACCGTTTTAACGTTATAAAAGTGTTAATTCTACGTCCAAAACGCTGTTTATGGCATTTTGCTATTAAGCGTAAATGGGTTATAATCGCGGTTCCCGATTGAGCGTTTAAACGCGTTCTTATCTGCTTGGGCGGTTGGCATCTATCAAAGATCATTAATGTATACTATTTTTCAGTCAAACTGAATCATTATTTTAGAATGAATAATTATCATAGTATTTCACTTACAATATCATCTAATTCTATTCCAAAATCAAAACATAATTGATCGAATTCTTTGTCAGCTAAAACAATATATCATATTTTTCTTTATTCAACTCATCAATTCACTTACTATATTTCTGACCAAGTTCTTTAAAAAGTAAACTTCTTTTAATACCGATATTAGGCATCTAAAATTCAACGTAAAAATACACAAAACAAATGTTATATATCTATGTATACATATATATATATATATGAATTAGAATTATAAAAAAAAAAGAAAATAAGCAGCACCAGTCAAATGCAAAGAAAGATATATAGTAAAGAAATTTTGAACGATAATATAAAACATTGCACAAATAAAAACACTGTATATACATAGGCATTAACATCACTGTACAAATTTTTCAGTTGCCTATGCTAAAGAAAGAAATCTGACTACAATGGTCTACATATAATTAATGTTTATCTCATATTCATATATTCTGATGAATGTGAAGATTGTGTCATATGTTGTTCAATAAAATATTCAATAACACGATAAATAAATTCATATTGTCGTTCAGTTTGCACAAGACCTTGCAAAAAAAATATTTTAAAAAAAGAAAATATATTCATATTTAAAATTTACCTGATCGTTGTGAACGAATATGTGTTATTAAACCAGGTATTTCAATTTCAGTATCATAACCTTCCGTACGAATTCGATTAAGTATCATATCAATTGCAATTGTTGCACCTGATCGCCCAATACCAGCACTACAATGAACAATCATGGGTGATGTATTCATATCAGTTGCAGCTGAATTTAAACAACCAATTTTTTCAAAAAATTCAAGAAGTACACTAAGTTGAACATTATCACGTTGATTTGATACTAATGGTGAACCTTAAAAATAAACAAATAATTTATTTTTTTTCATTTCATTATTTTATTAATTACTCACCATGATCACCCCAGGCTAAATATTGCCAATGAAGAATTTCCCATGTGTGACCATCTTCTGTTGTTATTCTTAATGTACGTAGACGATAATAACAATCATCATCATTAGATGTTGGTTGAAGTAATTGATGTCCAGCTGATGGAAGAGAACGAAGAGCACGTGATGTACTACTAGGTGTTTGAGCTGGTCCATAATTTGATTCATGAAGATTTTCAACTGTTATGGAACCATACGTTTTACTTGTATGTAATTCCGGCCAATATCTTGCACATTTGTTCTGTTATATAAACAATAAAATGAATTTTTCTCCTTTTTTGAATCTTCTTAGAAAATAATCTTTGTTTGAAGATTTTCTTAACCAAAGGAATGAATTTATAATTTCGTTTCTCTAAATGTCAATGTCTGATACATAGGGATTAATCAAGATGATTAAATGGATATGTCAATACAGATAGATCGTATTTATAATATAGGATAAAAATTGATATTCTAGATGTATTTATTTAGAATTGTAAGCAAGCCGATTAATAAAATGCCTAGATATTTTAATGATTCTAGTTACTACACATTTTCATTAGAAAAAAGTGTAAACAAATGTGTGAATAACATCTCAATATTTATACTTCTGATTATAGTTGGATAACTAACAGATCTTTTCATTGTCAAACATTAATTTTAGTACGCTCAAATCAAATAAACATACATGACACACTAAAAAGAACATCTGCATGTTATTAATCTCGTCTCGATAGACATAATAAGAAATCAAACTATATCTTAATAAAATACCTTCATGCCTTCAGTTTCTCTCGTAATCATTACAATACATTTAACCATTTCTTGTTGTACCATATACCAAAAATCATTAATTGTTGCAGCTAATGGTCCTTGTGTAGCAATATATCCTCTTCCAATACTTTCAATAGGTGGACGAATATGATTTGCATTAATATAATCAGTAATTGGATAATTCCGTAAAATAACTCTTGTTTCATCGAATGGTAAAATATTTTTAAAACGATTTCTTGTTTTATTTTCTAATTTTTCACCATATTTTTTATGATAAATTAATGATTGATATTCTGATTGTTGATTTAATAATTCAAATTCCAAACTAAAACCAGTACGATGTCCATGTTGTGTTGCAACTAATTTTGATAAATGTTCACAACGTTGATGAATATCACGTGCATGAAACCAATTAGCTGTACAAGGTTGTACAAGACGAAATGCTGAACCATTTGTTGCAACAAGTATATTATGTTTTAAATAGAAATGTATTAAATCATCTAATGATTTAAAACGATCAATTTGTTCACGTTGACCTTTACCATCAAGAAACCATTCACCATTGAAATATTTGATTTTTATATTCGCAATACCATTTTGTGTTTTAACACAAATAACATAATCACCTGGACTAGTTTCAGAATCTCGAACAAGAAAAAGACCAATTTGATCGCATGCATTTAAAATTGATTCTGTTTGAGAATGAGATATTGGTCCATGATAATACCTAAATAATCAAATTGAAAATAATGATAACGATTTTTTTAAATTATGTTACTTTTCTAGTGTAGGCATTTGTGCTAAAAGTGGTACAGTTAATTCAATGACTTCATTATTTTTTTCTCTAAGTTCACCAACATTTTGTCGGTAATGTTCAATCATATCATATAATGTTGAGAAACATTCTTGTCTTTCACCTAAATCAAATCCATCGTTTGTTCGTTGTATACGAATATGAGTGATAGTACCATTTGCACGTCTTTTTTACAAAATAAAAAGTTAAATTAGAAAAACAAATGAATTTTTATTATACCGAACTGAAAGAACATAAGCATCGGATTTCGTTGTTGATGGGCGTACAAGAAAACTACCAGGAATACTTTTTTCTTGAAGAAGTTTTTCAGCTTCTATCCCAGATAAATCACGATGAAAAAACCTAAATAAATACGATGATGAAATATTATAAGACTGAATTCATTATATACCCTCGAGTTAATCGACCAGTCATGATTTACTGAAAATATTTCTTAAATAAGTAAAAACATTAAATTTTTATTTCGATAGAATATATAGTTATATGTATATATATATGTCGCAAGTTTCAATATCTAAAATACATCGATAATAGTGACAAATGAAAGAAATAGAAAATCATCAAATATATCCAATAAGAAATTTTTCTTATTGAAAAAATATAATTTAAATATAATATTATTCAAAAAATAGAAATAAATGACCTTCATTCAATGAATCGGTTCATTGATTTTAATTATATTCTTTCCGTATAATAACACCATCTATCGACGTTAAAGAATTAATATATATCTGTATGTGTGTACATATCCCGTATGGCCTATATATTCAGATAAGAAGATTGATAACTACGAAGAGGGATATATGGGCTAAAGATTGTAATGATAAAACGAAACATAAGTAAATAGAACATTCATTTCGACGTGCACTTTCTTATATTTAACTACTTTGGAATAACTAAACATGACAAAGACCAATGGTATAAGTATAAAACAGAATAAGATTCAAGTTCGTCATCCACTGGAACCATTATCACTTGCAGAAATTGAACTCGTTGTTGAAATATTAAAAAAACAAAGTGATAAAATAACACCAACAACGCGATTTGTATCTGTTACATTACATGAACCACCCAAACAAAAAATACTTAATTTAACAGGTGAAATTATTCCACGTGAAGCGAATGTTGTACTTTTTGATAATGGTACAAATTCATGCTATGAAGCACGTGTTCTACTTGAAAATGGTGGTCAAGTTATATCATTTGAACATATACGTAATGCTCAACCAACAATGACAGTTGATGAACAAGGTGAATGTGAACAAGCTGTACTTCGTTCAACTGAATTTCAAGAATTAATACGTGAACATTATGGAATTGATGATATCAATCGAGTTATGGTTGATATATGGTCAGGTGGATATTATGGACAAGAAGAAGAACGTACACGTCGCTTAGCAAGACCTTTATGTTTTGTACGATCTGATTCAACTGATAATGGTTATGCACATCCTATTGAAGGTTTACGACCTGTCGTTGATCTTAATTTAAGTAAGAATAAATTAAACTATTTACGAAATTCTTCGGATTTTTTTTATAGTGGAAGTTATTCGTGTTGAACGTTATAATCATCATCCTCTTCCTCGTACGGATTTTAATTATGGATCTGATCGAATGTTAAATCTTCGTAATGATATTCAACCATTGGAAATTATTCAACCTGATGGTCCAAGTTTTCAAATTAATGGTAATCAAGTATCATGGCAAAAATGGTCATTTGTTATTGGTTTTACTATGCGTCAAGGTTTAGTTCTTCATCATTTAACATATGATAATCGTTCGGTTCTATATCGAGCTGCATTAAGTGAAATGGTAGTACCTTATGGTGATCCATCTGAACAACAAGCACGAAAAAATGCATTTGATTGTGGTGAATATGGTTTAGGTTGTTGTACAAATAGTTTAGAACTTGGCTGTGATTGTGTTGGTCATATAAAATATTTTGATGGAAATATGTGTACAAGTCGAGGAGAATTATTAGTTATTAAAAATGCAGTTTGTTTACATGAAGAAGATGCCGGCATTCTATGGAAACATACAGATAGACGATTGAATACTCCAGAAGTAATTTCTTTTTATTTATATAAGAGAATAATATTTCTGTTTAGGTACGACGAAGTAGAAGATTAGTTATTTCAAGTATTGCAACAATCGAAAATTATGAATATGGTTTCTATTGGTAATTATATTATTTGTAATTTAGCGAAAAGATTATTGTTTTATTGATTAGGTATTTATATCAAGATGCTAGCATACATTTTGAAGTTAAATTGACTGGTGTTCTTTCAGTAGGTGCATTACCAACAGATAAAGAATCTGCATATGGTTCATTATTAGCTCCAGGATTATATGCACCATATCATCAACATTTTTTTAATATGCGTCTTGATTTAGCTATTGACGGAATAAATAATACAGCTTATATGGTTGATGTCGAAGCTGATCCTGATGATGCTGATTATAATCAATTTCATAATGCATTTCATATTAATAAAATTCGACTTGATACAGAAAAACAAGCACGAAATAATTTATGTTTAGAAAAATCTCGTTCATGGACATTTGAAAATAATTCTGTTCGAAATGCAATTGGTAAACCAACTGGTTATAAATTACATCCCGGAGATAATGCTATTCCATTTGGTTCATCAAAAGCTTGGTGGCGTAAACGTGCTAGTTTTGTTAATCATCATGTATGGATAACACCATTCAATGAAAAAGAAATGTTCGGAGGTGGAGATTATCCAAATCAAAGTCAATGTGATATGGGTTTATTAAAATATACAGAACAAGATCGTTCAATTGTTGATAAAGATATTGTTCTTTGGTATACATTTGGTGTAACACATATTCCAAGGCAAGAAGATTTTCCGGTTATGCCTGTTGTTGCAGCAGGATTTTCTCTTAAACCAAGCGGATTCTTTGATATGAATCCAGCAAATGATATTCCAAAATCAACGAAAAAAACCAAAAACGAATGTTGTTAGATATGAAGTAATTCTTTTTTTTTATTCTTCATATTAAAGTGATTTATTTGATTTATATTCTTTTTATACAAAAAATTCTAATTGAAAATAAAATATAATTATATTATCCTTTCTTAATGGTTTGATTTATTGTATATGCGATTGATAGAACACGTATGATTGATATACATATATGTGTATATAAATGAAGAGAACTCTTTTTTCTATCGAAGTGAAAATAGTTAATACACAGAAAAAATGACTGATTTTTCTCTGTGATAAACTTTGTAGATACGTCTCCAATAGTAAGAGAGAGGTCACAGTTATTTATAATAAATGTCGAATCCTCAAGATATTATGCTAAGACTAGATTTCATTAAAACTAAAAGTGCTACAGCAGTTTCTTCTTCTCAATAGTTTTACTAATTCCAACAAAAACAAATCAGTATTTACGTAATCACTTATTTCTTTTAACTGCTAATTGACCTCATAAAAGTCATAAATGAGAATATTCCGAACATGATACAGATCCCTTAAATATATTTGATTGTCGGGTAGAGAATTGCTATACTTCATCAGCATCATCATCACCACGTGATTCAATAACAGACTTAAAACTATCAATTTCTGTAAAAACAATATTAGAGACTTTATTTGATGATAATTTTGTATAAATAGATTAATAAACATGAGATTGATTTTAGATGTAAAATCCATTTGTTAACAGCTGTTTTCCATATGCAGTTCTTCCAGCAACACGTTAGAAAATCGATATGTAAGAAAAATTGTCAGAAACTTAATTTTTATTTATTAAATTAGACGACAGTCGTCTAGCAAATGTCATTATCGATTTTATTTCTACTTCGTATAAATTATCAGTATTCTAGACGATTAGAAAAGTCAAGAAAATTTTACTGATATTTAGCTATACTATTTGAATTTAAAAAATAATGCTACTGCAATATAAATAAGACAAAATAACGATAATTCAATTTCGAATAGAATATATATACAAATTGATTTTTCCATTGTATTAAATTCCAACAAAATCGATCTTTTTTTAATCGATCAACCAACGATAATGAGAACTGACATGTTTTTGAAGGTATTGCGTTAAAACTAAAAATTTAGTTTTATGTAAAAGATCTGACACATACGATGCACGTATCACTTCCATACCTATTAAAAGCGATGATTCAATCGAGAACCTTGAAATGTGGTAATCAAACATTTGCAGCGGCCAACTTAAAGGATAGGAGAACGGTCGTCCTTTTGGAAAATTTCCTAAACATTTCTCAGTAAAAATGAACGAGCAGTATTCTATATATCTTGCGCTCATTTCAAAACTTTTTCTAGAAGAATATTTTTTAGGTGTGACAATTAACTCTAAATACAGTAAATATAAATAAAGATTAGTTACTTTTATATTACTTTATTGAACATTATAAAAACACTGAAAAAATATTAACATTTACTCGGTATAGTAGTGTTTGTTTGATGTTGAATTGTTCATCTAACATTTTGTTTAATAATAAAACAAAAAAAATCAAATAGACAATCTATAAAAATTATTTCTTAGTTTTACAAGGCACTAGTTGAAGAAGAAAATCAAAAAAATATCTTTATTTTATTCTATATACAATAAATAAATTGTTAATCGTTATTTAAGCAACTGAAGACATAATATTATTATTAACCATTGTTTTATTCGTAAACATCGATGTTTTTGCTGATTGTCCAAGTAATTTAAGATTTTGTCCATTATCCATTGCAGTTATTGGTGTTCGTTTTGTAGTTGTAGATTCAGCTATACCTACCTTTCGTCGAGTTTTTGGTAATTTCGATCGTGCACGTAAATGAGTATAGAAATTAGCAAATGATTCAACAATAATTGGCATTGGCAAATCAATAATCAATACACCAGCCACTAAAAACAAACAAAACAATTTTTAATCTTTATTTTTCTTCTTCTTTTGTCTTACCGGTTGCAACAGCACCAATTAACATTCCTAACATCGTTTTTGGATATAAATCTCCATAACCAATAGTTGACATTGTAATAATATTAAACCATAAAGCATCTGGAATTGAACCAAACATATTTTCTTCAGGATGTTTTGTTGTCATACGTTCAGCATAATAAATAAGTGATGCAAATATAGCAACAGCAATTAGAATAAAAAATATTAATAACCATAAAACAGATGATGAATAACTCATTGAAGTTATAATGACTTTCAAACCAGGATGATGATTAAATAATTTAAACAAACGCATTATACGTATTGTTGATAAGAGATCAAGAGCTTCGTTATCATTAACATTTAATTTTGTTAATGCCCAAGTGAAATAAAACCAAAATGTTGCTGAATAGTAAAAAAAAAGAAAGAAGATGTTTTCTTTATTCAATTTCTATAGTTGTCATATTCATAAATCATATTAATTATTTTTTCTCAATGTTACTCATGTCTGAAATGATCGATGGGACTATTGTCGTAGTCTTGTGATAATACGATTAGATCGTGCAATGAAGATGTATAATATATATATCTCCTATCAGCAAGCCTAATATCTTTTATTAGATATTAGACAAAGTGTAATACATTCGATATATTGGAATATAATATATATATTCCGTGAGAAAATAAGAAGTAATACTATTCGAAATTTTCACTAGGGAAATAATAGGAAATCCAAACATATAATTATTTTCTTATAGTATATTTCTGCATGTATTAACACAAATGAATTATATGTCATGCGTAAAGTTACTATAATTATGTCTAAACAAGATTTATCATAACTATGCATAACTAATTTGAAACTATAAGAAAAAGTTTAAGGTGTCAAAGAAAAAAAATCATACTTGGTAAAAAATTGTGTAGTTTATATCTCGTTCAAAAAGAAAAACAATACGTTTAGTGAAATTTTATACCGGAAATAAATTATCAATTAAATATTCAATTACAAGATTATTAAAATTTCAAAAAGTCAATAGGAAGAATCATGTTGTCGATTAAAAAGTAAAAACTTACCGAGAAAATCAATAATATTTAAGGTTGATTTACAAAATACTTTTTTATTAGGACTAACAATAAATCTTGTCATAATTTCAAATATAAACCATGTATTACCTAAAGTAGAGTTCATATTATATAAAGAATAAAAAACAAAATTAAAAATAAACATACATATCCATTCAACAACATCAAATGATGGATGAACATGTTGTCGACTTAATGTTGGTGTTCGATCTGTACTTGTTTTATTAATATAAACAGTAACAAAATCAATATCAGTTATACGAAACATTGATAATGTTTGTAAAACAAACGAAAGTATTGATACGAGAATAAAAAATATTGAAATCACAGTAATAACTTTAGCAATTGTTGATGATCGTGGTTCTTCAAATATTTGCCATATAATCATCATAAGTTTTTTATATTTAGGTAAATGACCTTGAACATAATCAAAATTATCATCCCAACCAAATTTTTTAATCACTTCTTGTTGTGATGAACGTACTGTATCTAATTCCAAACTATCTAAAATTAATAATGTTTCAGCAGTTGATCGATGTTTTGTATAAGTCATCCTTTATAATAATAATGAAAAAAGAAACATGTCATATTTTTAATATTAAAAATTTTTCTATACAAACCAACAACATGGTTCAACATCTTCTCTTTGTAAACCCCAATATGATAATTCATCTTCAAACAATGGTCCACAAACATTTAATGGATAATGTAATTTTCCTGTACGATAATAATTTAATACTTGAGAGAAAACGCCTGGATGACGATCAAAAAAGTATTCATTTAATATTGGATCATAATATGATAATTGTTCAGTTAATTTTGATAAACGTGTTGCTGGTAATTTTTTTAATGTTGATTTTAATGTTTCAAAACGTGTACCACCAACATTAAGAATAATACGAGCATCAATATCAGAATTACCAAGTAAATTTACAGCCATAATTTTTTTAGGAAATTTGCCGAATAATTTTATAGAAATATATTATTCAAGATTTTATTTATTTAATAGATGAACATCTTACATATCTTTATTAATTTTGATGAAATAAATACAAACATGCGATGCTATATTGATGATTATAGGAAAAGAAGAGGAGAAGAAGAAAAAAAAGAGAATTTTGGCCTATTGATCATGAAGTACACGCGAAGGAACGACAAGCATTCGTCGACACGAAGGAAAAACAAAATTAGGTTCTAGTTCCACTCGCTCATATGCCTTTTTGCCAAAGAAATGCAAGCGAACGGCAAACGAGAGAAACAGAAATTCCTTCTTTTTCTTCTCTCGGAAAAAAAGCACCAGATATATTTCTGTAAAAGAACGCATATTTCTATAACATACATCGATAAAAAAAATAAGAAATCTGTAATGTTATATGTGTTGCTGCTTGCTGTTTCTTTTCTCTTTCTCTGATGAATACATATAAAGTCATTTTTTTGTCTTCAAATGATTATATTTGTTCATCATTTGGTACATCACCACTAACAGATTTTCGACTTGATTTACGATGTGTACGATTATCCGGTGTTGTACTAGCTGACTTAGTATCTTTACCATCTTTATTTCGACCAAATGGCAATCTCAAACGAGATAAAAGCTTCTTTTTTTCTATCTGTTGTTCATCAGGTTGTTGATCAGCTGTACGATCATAAATTGGTTTACGTTTAGCTAATGTAACCTTGCCATCGGCATCAGATTCATGTACACCATAAGTAGTTTTTCCATCTTGAAGTATAAGAAATTCAGGATTAACTTCACGATCTTGATCTTCTAATTCACGTAATTTTTGTGCATAACGATGTAAATCATCTGTATCAACACCATCATCTTCATCCTCTTCTTGATTGAATTCATATTCTTGTTGATATTCACCAAAAAATATATTCTTTGGATCACGTACAAGCATATTCATACCACGATTAAAACGCTTTAATACTTTACCTCTTGTCATTATTATTGATTTTGCTGTTACTCTTTCCTCTTTACTATTAATAATAGGCAACATGTTTCTTATACGATGCTTAGGTTCTGGCCGGCCTGATTTTGGTAGATGACTAACAAACCATTGATCATCACCAACATATTGAAAAAAATTTACTTTTGAAGATAAATTATTATAAGTCTCTAAAATTGATTGTTGAAATTCACTCATATCATTTTCCAATGGTGGAAGATTTTCCAAAGACATATCAGGAAGAATATCCGTTGTTTCTAGAATAGAATAAAAATTCTTTCAATACTAAATGGTTTCATTTAATCAAAAGATAGAAGTGCATACGTGGATATGGATCATCAAGATTAGTAACTTGTAAATCTTCAAATGAATCGTATCTTGCTTCCGATACTGGTGCTTTGGATTTTTTTGATTTTTTTACCTTAGGTTTTGCTTCAACATAAGGTTGTATTTCATCGACAGCTGAACCATCGATTACTTGAAATTCATCATCAATAATAGGACTAACTTTTGGTGCTTTAGACTTTTTCTTCTTAATTGGTTCTTCTGTTGTTACTGATTGATTATTATCATCGTCAGTTACTGCAAGTTTTGGTGCACGTTTTTTCTTTATTTTAACAGGAACTTCTTGATCGTTACTTGTCGAACCGATTTGTTCATCATTTTCCTTTTCAGCATTAGTTTTGTGACTTTTTCTTTCCGTAGTTTCTGTCGTCGAAGCAGCAGTTTTAGTAGATTTTCGCTTTTTTTCACCGTCGTTGTTTATCGTCGTATCAGCATCATCTTTTGGAGCTTTCGGTGCACTTTTCTTTTTACTAGACCGACTTTCAACAGTTTTGGAAGAAGCAGTTGTATTATCTAATTCTGTTTCATTCATTGATGGATATAGATGTTTTTCTTTTGTCTAAAATATTAAATATATTTCATAACTTTTTAATAGAGAAAAACAAAATTTGCGTATGAAGCATAGAACATAAAAGTTTATTATACATTAGCTGATGAATAATTACAAACAAATTTCTTTTATCATGTATCGATGATGCGATGAAGCGTGTCCTCATGATAACTATTAACGATACATGAATCCATATGATATATGAAAAAAAGAAAACATATTATTACAAATGCAAAAGAAACAGAACGATACACTCATTCGTCAATTATATTTTTGTTTTGTTAAATAACCTTGCTTATAAATACCGTTTTGAATCATTTTGTATACGTCGTGGTGATACACTCTGAAAAATATTATAATTTCTATCAAGAAAAATGAATCATTTCGTCCATTATTTTACTTTAGTACGTTTTCGTATAGCTTCTAATTCATTTTCATAAGCTTTCAGTAATGTTTCAAGATATTTTTCAATTTCACTAACATGTCGATTTTTTGGATTAAAAGCATTTTCAATTAAAATTTTATATAATGATCGATTGATAATAATCTAAATTAAAATGAGGGAGAGAATAAATTTAATTTATTCTAAAAAATAAATTTTACACTATCATTATGAATTCGAGCTTGTTTTATTTTAAATAATTCTTCGGCTATTAATTTATGTCTTTCATAAAGTTTAACTGAAGTTGCAATTGAATTTGATGTATGAATAATTACTTTATCTGTTGAATTTAATCTTGAAGAAAATAAAGAAGTAATTTTTATTATGAAAGAGAAAAAACTCAATTAGTACTTATTATATTCATCATTATGATTCATTGATGTCATGGTTGTTTTTGATTTTGCAAATAGATGACGTCGTTGTGTTAGATTATTTTCTTCTTTTGATGTATTTATTAAATATTTCGATGAATTTATTTTTAATTTTGTTAAACGATCTTCAATTATTTTATTATCTAAACATATTTTTGCTTGACTTAATAAATAATCTGTAGATTTTATTGATGGAATAGGTTTTGTAATCGAATTAGAAATAGGTATTTCAAGTTTCAAAGATTTTTTATTTGTTTGAGCTGTTCTAGCAAATAATTTTCGACGTTGATCGGCAATTGATGGTTTTCGAATTTTATATTTACGAATAAATTTTTGAATACGACGAGCATATATATGTGCTAGTAAATTACCACGTTGTCCACCATGATTAAGTACGAGATATTCAGCACAAGCATCTTGACAACGAATATGAGCAAGATCGTAAGGAGTTATAAAATTACCCTAAGAAATTCATATTAGTATTTTATCTTTAGCATTTCTTATATTAGCAATATGGTAACATATATTACGATCAATCTGATGTTCCTATTGAATTTACACGTGAATGTGTCATTGAAACTATTCAGGGAATATATGAGTATGTTGTTTGTCTAGATCAATCTATAGAAGAGAATACTTATACTTTCTGAATAGTTCTAAGTGCCAAATTATATACGGATATAAGATTTTTCTAATATAAAAGGAATAGAAAAATTTCTATTACATCGATATATCTTCATATGTTTCATTTAGTTGTTATAAGTGTTAGAGTTTTGCTAATACCAATTCGTAATAAATCTCAATATGAAACAAATGTTTCTACTTCTCATATGTGGATTTCTATTGAAATACATCTTTTGTACTTAGATAAAGTATAAATAAATAGTTTCGAGATTCTCAAGAAGAAGAAGCACTTATATCATTTCAAAATTTAACTTACAGCTGTTGTTTGAATAAATGAATTTACTCTTGCTCCACATTCAATTAATATTTTACACATTGCAATATCGCCTACACTAGCAGCTAAATGAAGTGAAGTTCTATTTTCACCATTTCGAATATTAACTTTCTTTGGATATAATTTAAATATATATCGAACAATATCTAAAAAAACAAATTTATTTATCCTTTAAAAATAAACTTATGAATATTAATTTTCTACCACAACATTCTGTTTGTAGTTGTAAATATTCATCGGTGTCATGATGAACTTTAGAAAGTGATATTGCATTCACTGCTTCATGTACTGGATAATCACCACGTTTATTTTTTATCCAAATATTAGCATTGTATTTTATTAATTGTTTTAAACAATCAATATTTCCGTTTAATGTTGCACAATGACTTGGTCTAATAGAATTAAAAATTCAAAGAATATATTGTCATCTTTTTCCTATCAAATAATACATACGTTCTTCCACGATTATCTTGATGATTCGTATTTGCTCTTAAATCAAGTAATATTTGAGAAACATCTGAATGTTTAAGTGAAATAGCATAAAATAATGCTGTACAACCATTTATATCTTCGCCTAGTTAAATATTTTTACAATACAAAAGATTTAAAGTATTTCTATTACAAACCTTCTATTGGACAATCATATATTTCGACTAACATACGACTACAAGATGCATGTCCACGAGTAGCTGCACAATGAAGTGCTAAATAAAAATATTATGATATTATATTATATAGGATATTATTTTATTCTCTACCTGTTAAAGAATCTTTATCGACATGTAATGGATTGGCACCCGCTTTGTATAATATACGTAATGCATCAATAGCACCTAAATAAAATAGTTTATACAAGAATATTTTATTGCTTCGATGGCACTTATTTATCTTCGAATTCTTAGATATTCATAGGTTCTCTAATTATATAATTATACATGAAAAGTATTGTATTTCATTAAAAATTTAAAAAAGAAATATGAATAATAATAATAATAATAAGCCTTTCGGATGAATTTACTATTCATTGCAATTTTATAAAATCTTTATTTATGCGTAAAGATAATCAAGCCCGTAAGAGTATATCAACAGTAAATGCAGGATTTACAAGACTAATAAACCCTTCTGGGAGGTTTTATGCTTTTCTAATCGTTTCTGATTCTACTTTTGAACAAAAAAAAGAAATTATTCTAACCTCCACTAGCAGCCCAGATAAATGGTGTTCGTTTTTGTTCATCAACACAATTAACATCTACATTGCAATCAATTAATTTTTTCAAAATACCCAAACCTTTATGTGAATCATTATTTCCACATAATTGTGATGCATAATGAATTGGAAAAGCACCATAAATATCTGATATATGTGTTGGTGCATGATATTGAATGAGTATATCGAAAAGATCCAAATGTTCGCAAACTATTATCAAACAAATTAATTTCATACTTTTTTTTAAATAACAAAATCTACCTGTTATCCAATGTATAAGAGAATGTGATTCATTATCAACTAGATTTACATTTGAACCTTGTTCACAAAGATATTTTACCATACGAATATTTCCATTCAAACAAGCTAAATTAAGTGCTGAATAACCTTCATTATCTTGTATATTAAGAATAGATTTTTTCACTAGATCATTTTCTAATAAAATACGAGCACAATCAATATTTTCATGATCATAACAATAATGAAGTGCTGTTCGACCTTGATCATCTACTTGTTCTATATTACACTAAATAATCAAAATGAAGGAAAAAAAACGATCTATATTATTAAGTCTTACTTGTTGTTTAATTAAAGATTTGATTTGATCAATATTTGCTTTTTGACACGCTTCAAATAGAGACATTTTTTTTACATTTCAATACAAGATACATGTAATTTGACACTTTCTTTTCCTTAGTTAGAATTATGAACGTAATATAAAAAAAAGAAGAAGAAGAAGAAAAGGATACTTTCTTTCTCTTATTATATTCAATAAGAAATAAGAATAGAGAGAAGTTAAGAGACATTCACATCACACCTATATATATATATATAAGCACTATTTAGTTGCTGTCATGCCAGCAAAAAAAAGTAGATAAGAAGAAAAGAAAAAGGTGAGAAAAAGGAAGATTTCTTAAGCGTTCAAAAAATAATAATGAAGTAAAAACAAATGAGAAACACTTGAGAAAAAAATTGAAAATACAGTGAGTAGGTAGTTTACTTTTGAAAAATTTATTCTACATAAATTAAGTTTGCATGACACAATGAGGAAAGAAGTCATGCATAACTTTTTTTTCTACTCCTACTTAGTGACTTCTTAGTGTGCTTAAAAAGTATACTACTCGTTTAAATATGATTACATTTAACTATATAGAACAGCTTTCTTGCGCATAAAGATCTATAATAAGTTAATTATACCGAATTTAACTTCATACAAATAACATTAAATAGAGTGTAAATTATCTTTAATTAATGCAATGGACTTCTCGAGATAATTACCAATGATTCATTATAATCTATCTAGATTTTACTCCTTCTTGTAGAAAATATACTATTTAAAAAAAAGATTAGGAGTCATTTTCTCTTTCATTTTCTATCTGATTCTAAATCATACAGAATGCATGAATGAATGCAAATGCACTTAAATTAATCCTTCCTGTGTACACTGGTATGCATTCTAGAATTCATATGATAAAAGATCTTTTTATTCTGGAAATATTGCTTCAAATATATAGTGATCCTTCAGTTTAAATAAATCATTGAAATTGTGAGATGTGTTTTTACTCAGATCATGTTACTTAAAAAGCCTATTGTTTTTTTTTATTCTGAAGAAAAAAAGAACTCCCACATATGATCGTTAAGTCTCGCAGCTTTATGAACATGCAAATTATCATTAGATACAAATATAAAGTTTATTTTATGATCAGCTCTTATTGAGACTTTTTGAAAATGATTATAATGAATTTATTCTATTTTTTTTAGTTTAATTTCTAAGTGGTAAAATCAAAAGAGAATTTCATTGACATAACCACTCATGAATACTTCATGTTAGATTTCTTATAAACTTTAATTGTCAAGATCTATGAAACAGAGGAAATGTGTAAGATTCTTTGAATGAATATTTATTGAGAGAAAATCAATCGAACAAAAAAGTGAAAAAAATGAGAAAAAAAAATGGTAAGTCTACGTGATTAATCGACGTCATATCCAGTAATAACTATATTGCCGTGACATTTACTGCAGATGGTCCCTTCTGACCGTCTTGTATTTCGAACTCAACGTTCTGACCTTCTGCTAGAGTTTTGAATCCATTACCCTGGATTGCAGAAAAATGAACAAAAACATCTTTACTACCGTCCGCAGGTGTAATAAAACCAAAGCCTTTCGATTCATTGAACCATTTCACCTGGCCTTTCATTTTACTTCTAACACCTAAAACAAATATCAAAAGACATATTTATTTGAATGATCATCCTTTCTTCGATCCGCTAGATGAGAGAAAATATCTCACATGATAAATCGATAATACTTACTAAGATCCAAATGTTTCTTCAAAAGATATTCGAATCGTCTGACGAGGGTGTCATCGTCCTCATCACTATCTTGTTCATTATCGAAGTGTCGTACATTCAGATTGTTTTGTGCCAGTTCATCTGTATCAGCATAGAAGCGACGCATTGGTGAATCAAAATAAGATTCATCGTTATTGTTCAACCATCGTCCCTCTGCAACAGCAACAAGGCCTACCATCAATACCGTCATAGAACAGACGTATATTTTTATCATGTTTAATGATGATGTGAAGTAATAGTAAGAATGTATGTATCGATGAATGAAAACTACTCCTCTTATAAGATTTACATTACATGATGAGTAGTCAAGTATAACGGGGTATTTTGGTATACAAAACAAAGAAAATTTTTTTTGTCTCAATTATTGTCAGTTCTTACGAGTAAAAACAAGTTTTACCTTGACGTGATACTTTTATCTATGCGCATTGAAGGATATCTTTACATGACTCTAACTGTTTTCTAACACGATTTTGAATTATGTAACAGTAACTGAAGAAAGTACTCAATTTAATAGAATATCATAACAATAAAAACAGTAGAAAGGAGATAAATTTTGTCTGATTGATTTATTCAATAAAAAGTAAAACTCATCAACCAAGCATAAGTACAATATCACCAACCAATATCAAATTATATCCATAAAGAATTAATAATCATTATCAACCTTTAACAATACCCTATATTATTAATATAGTTCATAACTATGACAAAATCATATATTAATGCCCTCTTGTTTTTCTTTTATAGATGGCGCTTTATATTTTTCTTATTATTATATTAGCCGATTATATAAACCAATAATAAGCATATTTTGACACGAGACGCGAGTAGAATCGTCCGGTTGTTTATTTCGTAATAATGTCATGAAAATAGATGAATTAGCTTAGCTTATTTTTAAATCTTTAATTTTGACATAAAATCATTTTAAATCGGAATATTTAATTTCTCGATGTACATTTCTTGTAATGGCAAATAATCAATATGAACTTGTTCAACATTGTCTAGATACTGGAGAATTTATAACAATAAAAACTTCTCAAAGATATTTATTATTACATCGAAATCTTATTAAATATTCAGATAATGATGAATTAAATTTAGGTAAGATAATTAAATTATATATAAATAGAATCCGTAATGTATTTTCCTTTTACAATAGAATTACCAGCAACTATTATTCAAAAACTTAGTGGTTTAAATTCAATATCAATTCAAGATGCAAAAATCATATCACATGTTGATCCATCAAATTATGATATAATCATATTTCCCGATAAATCAATAGTATACACACGTAAACGAACCTTATCTGGCGAAGACATTAACGTTAAAAAAATGAAAATACTTCCATATTATGTATATGAAGATTTAGAATTACTTAAAAATTTTGGAATGTCACAAGACGATATTAATTTATTTGTTGAAAAACTTAATGTACATGATAAAACAGATGTATTTAATTCAAATGATTTCGATAAAATTATTCAGAGAATTATTTATTTTACTGATATACCAACAAGATTAAAGTAAAAAGAAATTTGCTTATTTTTAATACTTATACTGTTTTTTAGATGTCGACAAGTTTCACATAAATGGAAAGATCTAGTTGATAGTTCAAATTCGGTAAGAATTGATAGGAAATTAATCATTTCGAAATTATTTTTTTATTTATAGTGGAATCATGTTAAATTATCAAAACTTCATCAACATTTTGATCGAGCATTAAATTATTTTCAAAATATTGATATCCGAGAATTGGTATGTTGATCAATAGGAATCAGGGTCTCCGATTAGGGGAGGGGGGATCTAGCCCCTCGCAAAATTCGAAAAGTTGTCTGTCTTTCTGCCAAACTTTTTAAAGTTTTGCTGAAACCTGGTTTTTATGGTATTTTCGCCAGAAACTCCAATAAAAACACTTTTTTCGGGCAAAACTTCTGGACTTTCTGACAAATTTTATCCCCCCGCACTTTTGAAAACAATCGGGAACCCTTATAGGAATCGTATTTTTATTTTTATTTTTATATAGGATTTATCTGAATCAGTATTTGATTTGTCAACATTTAAATTACAAAATGAATTTTATGTCTATTCATTACGATCACTTTGTATCTCAACAGATCATCCATTAGAATTATTTACATTATTATTTAAATTAGCACCATTTTTACAACATATAAAATTAATTCAAACTTATAATTCATCATTAATATTAAAGAATAATAATCAATTGTATGAACATATTAATTTTGTTATATGTCAATGTCAAGAACGATTAAAATGTTTACGTCGTTTACATATTCAATTACGATCTGTATCCGATCAGGTAGTACAAATTAGTTTTTTCTTCATACATGATTTTATTGTTTTTTTGCAGATATTTCTTGAATCATCCTCCGTCACATCAATTCCTGTTTCATATGAAGTCATTAATTGTTAGAGAAAATTGTTTTGTTTTTTTCGTGTTTTGTTCAGATATTCTATTACGGCTAATTAATTATTTGTATTTGTCTTTAAATGAATTTTGTATCTAATGTTTGTTGTTTGTTTCTTTTTTAATTCTAGATGGTTGAAGAAAGAGATTTTAAATTATGGCGTCGTCTACTCATTATATTTAATATATTTTATATTATATTGGCCATTACTTTTTTCTTTTTTGCCATATACACACGAGTCAATTCTTTAATAGTAGATCTTCATTTATTTGTTGGCTTAATAGTTTTAAGTTTATATTTATTATTCCTATCAATATTCGGTATATTTGGTGTTTTAAAACATCATCAAGTATTCTTATTCTTCTACATTATTCTATTATCGATTTTATTTCTATTTCAATTTATTCTTGCATGTACGTATTTAACAATTCGTGGTGAAAAAAATTATAATTTATTAAAGAGCAATTATCAAAAATCTACGGATAATATTCAATTAAAATACAATTGCTGTGGATTTGATAATGCAACTAAGTTTGATCGGAAAGAAACTTGTAAGAAATTACCATGTTGTCAATCATCGGATCAATGCTGTGAAACATTAACAATGTGTTATCCATTATTAAGTCATGAACTTGATAAAAATTTAAAAATTATCGGTTCAATCATGCTTATATTTACATTAACTCAAATCATTGCCATTTATATGACTTTAAAATATCGAAATATTCGAAATCCATCATTATTTGTTGAAATGTGATATTGTGAATCTCTCATTTTATTTATTTTTTTTTCTTCTCCTTTCTATCTCTCTAATCAATAAAAGAATATCTATAGGATTGTCGTATACATGTAAGTCAACAATCATTTTTGATCTGTTTTAGATATGTCACAACAACATTTTACAACTCCTCCCTCAATACTTGCAAGAAAAAAAGATGGTGATGTACCAAAAAAACAAACAAGAGAAGAATATCGTCAACAAAAAGAACTTGAAGAATTACGAAAAGCTGGTTCAGCACCAGCTGAAGTTGATGAAGAAGGAAAAGATATTAATCCACATATACCAAAATATATGACTGATGTACCATGGTATGTTACATATGATCATACAAAACCAACACTCAAACATCAACGTATTCATCCAGAAAAATCAACTACATATGATACTCTTAATGAATGGTAAGTTTTATAAAATTCTCTTATTAAATATTCAATTCGTGTATTTTTGTAGGTATGCTCGTGGTCATGCTGATAAAGTTGCAACACGTTATCGCCCAGGTGCTTGTGAAAATTGTGGTGCAATGACACATAAACGTAAAGATTGTGTTGAACGTCCACGTCGTTTAGGTGCACGTTTTACAGGCTCAGATTTTGCACCTGATGAATATGTTCAACCTGATATAAATTTATCCTATGATGGTAAACGTGATCGTTGGAATGGTATTGATATAAATTGGCATCAACAAAAACTTCAAGATGAACATAAACGTTTAGCTGAAGCAAAATCAATTTTAAAAGCAAAAAAATTAGATGAAGAAGCTGAAGCTGAAGAACAACTTGAAGCTGCTGAAATAGCAAATAATACTGAAACTGAAGAACCAGTTGTAACTGTTCCAGCTAAACCAGGTGGACTTGATGATAAAACAAAATCAAAGAAAACAAATAAACCTGATTCAGATGATGATGAAGAAGATGAAGAATATAAATATACAGATTCAATGGATATGCCTGGTCAACATGTCGATTCCAAACAACGTATTAGTGTACGTAATTTACGTATTCGTGAAGATACAGCAAAATATTTACTTAATTTGGATGCAGAATCAGCCTATTATGATCCAAAATCACGTTCTATGCGTGATAATCCATTTGCAGGAACAAATAAAGATCCATCACAAGTGCCATATTTAGGTGATAATTTTGTTCGATATTCTGGTGATGCCAAAGCTTTTGCTACAAGTCAAATATTTGCATGGGAAGCATTAGATAAAGGTGTTAGTATACATACACAAGCTGATCCAACAAAATTAGAATTATTAAATAAAGAATTTCATGAGAAAAAAAATCAATTTGTTAAAACTGTTCAAGAACAATTAATTGAACGTTATGGTGGTGAAGAACATTTAAATAGTATACCACGTGAACTTGTTGTTGAAGCTCAAACAGAACAATATGTTGAATATAATCGTTTTGGTAAAGTTATTAAAGGTGATCAACGTGCAACAATTAAATCAAAATATGTTGAAGATGTTTATGAAAATGAACATACATCTATTTGGGGTTCTTATTGGAATAATTATCGATGGGGTTATGCATGTTGTCATTCATTACTGCGACAATCTTATTGTACAGGTGTTATTGTTGAAGAAAAAGAAATTGAATTTGAAACAAATAATAAATTTGATGATACTAATGGTGATAAGCCAAAATCGTTGACTGAAATGCATCGAGAAAAATTAAATAAACAAAAACTTCAACCAAAATCTTCATCGGCAACTGATGACAAAGATTCAATAATGAAAAAACTCGATAAGAAAAAAATACAAGATGCAGCAAAAGAAATTGAGAAACGTGACAAACAAGCTGAAGAAATGGCTTTAATTGATGAACGAAAAAGAAAATATAATTCATTAAAAACAGATACTAATGATTATAAAGAACCAAGTGAAGAAGAAAAAGAAGCATATCGATTGAAAAAACTTCGTCATGATGATCCAATGGCACAATTTATGTTGAACTCTTAGTTGTTTTTTTTTCTTTGTCGAATTTATATTACATTGTACTATCGTGTTTGTTTAAATAAAAGGATATATATATTTCTACAGTGTATATATCCATATTATATTGAATGTATATATTTTTATGTTTGTACCATTTCTTCTCAAAGCGGAACAATTTTTCGATCGATTTCTCCATTCTTGAACAACTCTTTTACGTCTTTACGATTCATACGCGTGAGTATATTGAAATATGTTTTTGAATCACTTCCGTTGGTCAAATACATGAACTTGAAACTCATACTTTATCAGTAAGTATAATATTTTTGAACAGACTTTTGTTTGGGTCGTTACGACGGAGAAGTATATGAAATGTTAATGAAACGAACTCGACTCAGTCCAACAAATCGGCATAGAGTAAAGAATAAGAAGCTCCAATAGACAAACGAAATGTTTTATCATTTTTGGTTCATCCAGTTTACTTGTCAGTAAAACAAGAAACATTGTCTAAACTGATTGATTTTTTTCTATGATTTTATTACACATTACAAAAGAAAATGTGAATAGAAAGCATTATTCTAATTTTTATATCTATCTAAAACATTATTCGATTCATTTTTTTTAATTTAGTTTTATTGTGAAGCTGATATACCAGAAGAACGGATTCGTTTATAAATGGCATTCAGTCGATTTAATGATAAAAATATTCAACATCAAGCATTTGAATATATACGGTATGAAGTATTGAGATTTCTATGAATATGAAATTCTTGTTCAATTCTTTTAGCATTTATCAAATCAGTTTATTATGAAAGAGAGAGTTGAAGAAGTTCGAATAAGATTTTAGCTATTAAATACAATTTATACTTTGTTTTTATTTGTTTATTTTCAGAAATTTTATGTTGATCATTCTAATTAATATTCGTCGACTTATTTTTGAATGAGACGAACGCAGTATTAATAACTTTCTTAGTGTTTCAAAATGATTTCGTTGTTTTCCTGTTAAATAAATATCATAGGTATCTCTTAACAAACCACTAAAAAAATAATATGGCATACCATTGTGTAGAAGATATTTAGTTTTGCTCAGGTGATTTCACGAAAAAGATCTTGAGGGTGTGGGTGTGACTGTAAGTGATAGATAAACTAAATACACACACCCACACCCGCTATTAATGATGAAAAAAACGATTGTCAAAATAGAGAAGATGAATGAAACGATGATAAAGAAAATGTTCTTATTAATAAAACACCATTTGGACTTTATTGTGATGATCAAGATGATGTCTTATTACCAAATATATTTAAAAATAATACAGATGAAACAAATTATTTATTAAATGAACATAGATGTTATTTTATTGTTGGAAATCAATATATTTCTATATCAGTTGATCATATACTCGAAAAATATTTAGATTGTGAACTTAACATTCGTAGTCGTTATGTCTATATTAGTGATCGTATATCTAATAATTTAACGAATTATTTTCTATGGAATAGAACAAAATGTCTTATTTCAGAAAAAATTTGTTTCAATAAACAATTATCATTAGGAATACATGAAGATGTATGTTTAATACAAACTAAACCATAATCAATTTCTAAAATAGGAATATCTGTAACAAGTTTGACAAAAAGTTTCTCTTGCCAAGTGGTACAATCATCAAGATTGAATAACTTCCCACCGACTTTTACTATTATTCCAAAAAAGTATGAAAAAAATTGGTATTGTAATCGAGGAATTCCTCTTCTGTACGAAAATAAAACTTTGCAGAAATATCTTTGTCCACCGACTTATTTCGGAAAACAGAGTTAACGAATAGAATCGTTAGAATTTCTAGCGGTTCTATTCGTTAATTCCGTTTTATCTTTTCTTTCTGTTTTCGGTCAAAGGAAAAAGGAAAAATCATCCTCATTCGACAATAGATAACCTTTATCTTTCATTGTTTAACAATGAACATTTTTCCCAGTTCATTTTTTTCATCGAACAGGATGAGTAGAAGGTCATATATAAAATAAAAGACTATTTTTCTTTTTTAGATGGGACGAAATTCAAAAACAAAAAATCAAAATATAAAGGTGTACAATAAAAACTCTTCACTCGAACATCTTTCAAATGAAATTCTCTATCAAATATGTAAACATCTTGATGGTTATGAAGCTTTATATGCATTTCATGATCTTAATTATCGTTTTGATCAATTTCTCAAATCTTTATTGTTTATATTAAATATAACTTCTGATAGTTTAAAATCAAAATTATATATTCGTGAAATTTTTAAAGAAATTTTAAATTTTTATAAAAATCGAATAATTGTAATTTATTTGGATATGTTATTATCATTCAATGATTTATTTTCATTTAATTCATCATTCAATCGATTAAAAATTCTTCATCTTTATAATTGTCAATCAAATAAATTCATTTCTTTTCTTCAAAATCTCACTTATTTACCTGATCTATCTTCATTAAATCTTGAAATATGTGATCAATCAATTAATTTAAATAATATTTATCAAATTATATTAACTTTACCAAAATTAAAAAGCTGTGATATAAAAACAAATAATAATGCAAAATTTTCATCATTATTATCAATGAATCAAAATTTATGTCAAATTGAACGACTTGATATTCGAGGTCATTGTGATCTTAATGAATTTTTGTCTATTGTATCACATACACATCAATTATCTCATTTAGTTTATATTCAAACAAATCCAATTGATTATAATATTCGAATAATTAACTCACCAATAAATTTATCAAACTTAACACATCTTTATTTACGTATATCTGGCATGAAATTTAATGTATTTGAAAATTTTCTTTCTCAAGTATCATGTAAATTAACAAATTTATGTTTAACAACAGAAATTGAAGATATGAAATATCTTGATGCAAATCATTGGGAAAATTTTCTTTTAGAAAATTATTCTCAATTAAAAATATTTCAATTGAAATGTTATGCTAAACATAATCATATTCTCGATCCTGTAAAAATTAATCAATTTCTTACATCATTTTGGATTGAACGACGATGGGTATTGGAAATAAATGTTAGTCCTGTACATTTCTTATATTCAATTACACCATATAAGTATATCAATTGATAAAAAAACGATTTTTCTTTTTAATAAAATTGTTTGTTTTTTTTTCGTTCTAGAAAACGATGGTATGATGAATTATCAAATGAAATTTATCCATCTTCGTCTGAACTAAAGAAATCTTGTCAATTAAGTTTAACAAATATTGACTCATCTCGATGGAATCAGATTAAAGATATGTTTATTTCAGCAAAAATTTATCATTTAGTTTTACTTCAAGAAAAAACTTTTATTGCAACATTAATTAAAATTGTACGTTCATTACATAAACTTATTTCGTTACAATTTAATTCGTTATCATTTATTGAACCAGATGGAGAAGATTTTGGTGATTGCTTTTCAAAAAAGTCTAAAAGTAAAATTGAAAACGTTTATGTAGAAAACGTCGAAACCGATGGTGAAATTGCTTGCATATCTACACTTTGTCCAAGAATGAAATGTTGTAGAATAATATCATTTGAAAATAGTACAAATTCAAGATCTTTTTATTATTAAAAAAACATCACGAATTTCATTGTTATGTAGATTAATTAGAGTTTATTGTATTAAAATTGTCTAATTGTAGTGTTAATTTCAATAAAGATCCACTTGTTGAAAAAAAATTGATGATAACGATGATTATCATTTTATATATATGTACAGTTTCACGGATTTATATGATGAAATAAATCAGAAAAACGATAATATATTGTTTATGGTTTAGCATCAAATTGTTTAGAGCGAGAAGATGGTTGTCATAGAATGACATACTGTCACTTGTCACCAATTGAAGATCATAACTTGATTTCTAACATAGTTAAAGATTTATCTTACATAGGAATTAACTTAATAAATTTCCTGAAAGTAAAGAATATATGAAATCGATAGGAATTAGATCAAATTCATTTAAAAAAATCTTGAGGATAAGGATAAAGATAGTTGAAGTAAACATAATTTATTTTTATCTATTTCAACAGTTCTCATTCTAAAACACTTATTTATTATATTAAATTTAAAAAAAAAACAATTTAACTCATTAAAAAAAAGTCGAATAGCTTCAATTGGATCATAGTTTGTTGTTTCCATTAAATTAATAATATTTTTAATGATTAATGCTTGTTTAGCACCACGACCAGCACGAAAAGAAACGATCTTACGTCACGCATGTAGTAATGAACACAGTAATTTTTTAAATATTGATACACTTTTTGATCAACCAAATGAGAATTAATTCAAAGAAATTCTTCGCATTGAATTTCATCTAATAAAGTTACGTAATCTTGTAATAAACCTTTATTTTCTCGAAAGAATGACTTCTAGCAAAAAAATAACATTAAATTAATCAAACAAAGAATGTATTTTACTTACATCAACTAGATATTCTTGTGAGGTCCTCGTTCTGGGGATGTATGAATGTACTTTAACCTACAAGATAATTGTAAGGTTAAAGTGAAATCTCCCTAGAGAAAATCAAGCCTACCGTATCCTGTAAATATATAAAGGGTAAAGATGGGAATGATATGGATGAAGACTTCGTTTGTTAAATAAACAAGGACAAAAATAGGGAAAACAAGAGACACTGGCTTTACATGGAGAAAACATCTCTTTATATATAACAGAGATATAAAGTGAAAACAAACTAGAGAGAATAATAGAAAGAGAATATATATACAGTATAGCGTCATGATGTCATAACCGTTGACGCTAACACTTCTTCATTCTCTGGATCAAAATCCGTAATATCACCATCATCATCATCGTTGGAATCTAAAATAAACATTTATTATTTCATGATAAAATATTGATACTTACTGTATTTGATCATTTTGATTTCATACAATTTATCACCATGATTATCAACAAAATCAATTAATTGATTTAATTTTTGTTTTTCTTCGTTAGTATCATATTTTAAAGCATTCGTTCTTTGTACTGCTTTTTTTGGTTTATGCTTTTATTAATGTTACACTCTTGAGTGCTTACATATATACGATAGAGGGGAAGGAGAGGGGGAGAATATTTAATCGGTTGTTTCCATTTCATTGCATATTCAGCAATATTTTTACATATCCTATTCCCCTCTTTTTCTATATATTCAACCATCACGCGCAGAGATTTCGTTATTGGGGAACCTATCAACACACTCAAGTCATCTGCAAAGATATGACTTGAGTGTGCTCCAAGACATTTGACCAGGTCACTGTGAAAAATGATAAATAAGTAGGGGCTCAAGCTACTTCCTTGCGGAAGTCCGATTTCAATGTCGAACTTTTTGGAATTCTGCTGAATTACAGTAATATATGCCTGACGATCACTCAGCCAGGATAAAATCATTTTTAGCAGGCCCGCAGGGATTCCCAGGTTATCTTTGTGCTGCTTCCAACACTAAACCAACATTCAACTAAAAAAAAAGAAGGTTTGCAATTTAGACAAAATCTATTTCTTTATTTACCTCTTTGCCTAATGTACCTTCTTTCTCGTGATCCATTCATATTTAATAATTCGGAGTTAAAATTTATATTTAACCGCTTATCACGAAGATGAGGGTGTGGGTGTGTGTATTTAGTTCATCTATCACTTACAGTCACACCCACACCCTCAAGAATTATTCTATGGATTGTATGTTCAATATATCGATAGAATGTGTTTTCATATCGATCTATACTCGTCAAATAGATAGATAGTTAATTAGGATTATTTAAACGAGAGACTAACAATGTTGGTCGATTTTGAATATGAATAGATATTGTGTGAGATAATCATTTGATTTTCTTCTTCAATTCAAAATAAAAAGAAGAAAAGTTTTATGAAAACATCATATAGTGTCATTTGAATAGTAGTATAGGGTGTGGGTGTGAGTATATTCTGTTTCTTGATTCACACCCACCCCGAAATACATTTCTCCTGCAACCGGAACCCAAATAATTCTTTCGTAGTATTTTTGCATGTAGAATTTATTCAATCAATTGTCTAATAATTATTCACTCATCACATAATATATATTATCCTGATTATTGAATACAGACTGTGAAGAAAACGGTTTAAAATATTTAAAATAGTTTGAATTAGGAAAAAAGAGATTAATTTGTAGTTCTTATTTCGATGAATATTGTTGTGTAATTGTATCTAATTGTTGATAGTATTGCTTAGTTTTACCAAGTTGAGTTTTCTTTGCAAAAACTTGACTTTATTTATTTAATATCTTAATTTGATGTAACCCACTATCATTTTTCAATTTTAGGTCTTTTTGAAATAGAATTTTTCTGCTCGATTATAATCTTTTTTATCTAATAATAAATTAGCCAAAGGAATAAAAGAATTTGAATCGATTGTCATTTCACATATACTATCATAGTTTTCAATTAATGTTCGATCTGTTAAAATCAAATCAAAGGTATTTTTATGTTTACAGAGATCTTCACAATAGTTTTTAACTGTTTCTGGATCATTTTCATTCATTTTAGACAAAGTTTCTTTTAAAATTTGTGAATAAATTCAAGACATTTCTTCAGATTTCATTTACCTTCTTTCTAAATCTTAAAATTTAGTTAAACTTTAAAGGAAATTTGGAGGAAGTGTGGGTGAGATTGGGGGTGTGTATGAATGTAGATGTGGGTGTTAGTGTGGATGTGAATATGAATATCGTTTCTCTCTCCAAGGGCCACACCGACATTCACACCACATCACACTAACATCCAGACCCATCAAAACAAAAGATGACACCCATACCCTTACTCACCCACTCATAGCCAGACGCACACAAACCCACACCCACACCTACACCCTTCTAAGTATTCCACTCTAATTCTGTCTGCATAAAATATTTCTTTGACTAATCTTGTAGAGCGAGAAATCTTCTACAAGATATGATGTGTTACAAATTTTGAAAACTAGATACCCGTCTGACAACTTCTAAGAGTTTTTTTAAGATTTTCTGCATCAAGATTTCGTCTAAAAGAAAAAACAAAGGCATATTTGAAGTTCTTGTTAGAAGCTGAACCAGAGTATCTTATTTTTGGTTTCATAGGATGAAACTAATTATTCAAGGATTTTGAAAACGGCGAGGACTTATCGTTGTTTTCTATCTTATTTGAACACTGACACCTGACTTGAAGTACTAGAAAGCGTTTGTTTCATATATTTTCGATTATGCTCTTACGACCGTGCATCTACAAGCGCATATACGGGTGGATAAGAATGGATAGTGGAGGGTGTGGGTATGAGTGTTAACTACAACAAATATAATACCCACACCCACACCCGGAGTCGCCGTTGGAGTCAGGTAAATTTAATGTCAATAATTCAACTTTAACGTTAAAGATTATTTAAGTTTATGCTTTTCTTGTCAGACATTTTCTCTACAAACTTATGTATTTTCAAGGATCAATTGGTGTCTTGTTGAACCTCACTAAGACAAAAGAAAATCGGAATCAGTTTCGACTCCGTCTTCTTTTGTGTTTTATTTTGGTTCGTAAGATTCTCTAAGGCGGCGAATGATACTTCGAAATACATCGATTTGTAGAGAAAGTGTCGGGCAACAAAATCGAGAACTTAGATAATCTTTAACGTTGAGAATGACTCCAAGCAGTACTCTACCTCTAACTCTACCTGGTTGCGTATACATCGTATATCTGTGTATAATACTCAAGTACTCTGAGAGCAAGAGAGTCAGCTGTGAAATGAGCAAATATAAAAAAAACTTTCGAATAATCACGCTGCACAACTGTTATAAAAAATAAAGATAAGAAAAGAGAGTCAGCTGCGGAATGAGAAAATGTAAAAAACGTATTTTAGAATAGTTACGCTGTCGGGCTGACACAAAAGCTAAAGAAGTAGCGAGGTATATTATTGATTTTGAATTTTAATTGAATTGTATGATATATCAAATCAATATGATTTTGATAATTCGAATACTTTTCTTCGAAAAATGATACATTCAAACGTTTAATTTGGCTCATCTTGCTATTTTGTTCTTGTCTACTTATTCTTTCTAATTACGTTGGTGTATTCAAATATTTTCTACCTTCTATAGATTTATTTTTTCTGAAACCTGCCAAACTCTTAATTATTAATTATTTCTTGTGTTCTTTTTATTGTATTATCTTGTTAATCTATTGTAGGAACAATAAATCCTTCAACGTTAAAAAAATTTGATTTTCGATGATTTTATCTCCATTTTTCTCTAGGAAAAGTTGGCAACAGCAGTTAAATGAGTCGACAAAATTTTAGTCCTGACAATATCATATTTGTTTGTCATGCTTTCTTTTTCATGACAATTACAATGCAAAAGAAAATCGACAATTCTCCGTTCCACAGATGTCTGTTCGAGAACAATCTTTTTAAAGTAAACGTAAAAGAAATTCTCATTCCATTCCACTTAAAAGTCGTATATGTTGTTATCATAAAATGCCGTGGAAAGAACGGTTTTATCGATGGTATACTACGATGTTACAATCCCTCTCAAAATTCAATATTTTTCGCGATGATTTTGCCCCGACTGCGGATGAATATGAAATCAGATCACAAATCCTAGCCGCTCGTGTCTATGTAGTCCTATTGACTGTTTCACTGTTCACTTTGATCACTTACACGACACAAATACATGTAACCGAAACAGTTTCTATCAAAAGTCCGACATACAATCAATTTTTGAGTTTATACACTGCTTATTCAGAAACACTTTCCTGCCCATGTACGAGTACCTCGATTGCCTATGATCAGTTTATTTATCTCGATGTATTCTACCATCAAATATGTGATAGTGTATTCACAACAGATACCTGGCGTCAACTGATCGATTCAACATCGAACCCTAATGAAGTTTCTTTGAATTTTCGTTATATTGGCGGGCCGTTATTCTATGTTCTTAATTCGTTCTGTGATTTGAGTGAAACAACAGTTACGGATGGTATGATAGATTTCAATGCGACTCAACTCATTTCCGGTACAGTTTTACCATTTGATACTTTCAATGTTGAAATAGAGAATACAATTCGTTCATTCATTTCCACTATCACAAGAGAATTCACTCGATCTCGTCAGTTAATTCGTGATCAAATACAATACAATGGTATTCTGTCAGGACTTTATACAAATTTTTATTATACCTCATTTGTATATGAACAGATTGAAGGTTATTCAGGAGTTAATTTTTATACTTTATCACGTGTCTATGTCAATCAATCATCAAATTGTTCCTGTGATGATACACCATTCTGTAAAATACCAGCGTTTATTGACGACGATGATAATTCATTTCACATTCCCGGAATATATTTTGGATGTTATATAGTTGAATCACTTCTTCAATCTAATCTTGAGTGTTTCTATAATCAAACATGTATTGATGAGTTACGTCATGCACTTAATTCGTCTGTGGCACTCAATACATCTGCTCTTAATGCAACCATACAAAGTCAGTATGAGCGTAGTGAAACAATCGAGCACATTGTTGATCAGTTGATGATCGAGCAATGGAGGAACACAACATCCCATGAACTCTATTATGATCGATGTCATCCTTCTGTATGTAGTTGTACATATGCCAGTAAGAAGAATTGGCTCAATGTATTAACATCGATTATTGTGCCTCTGGGTGGTCTGAATCTTATTTTGAAGATCATAGTGCCTCGCATTATGATGCTAATTTGGTCGCGTCTTCGTACAAATCCAGGTAAATGAACAGTTTTAGGGATGAAAATCAGTTGCTTACAAGTATTACTAACTTTAACTTGTTTTATTTCAGAACGAAATGCACGTTTGCACAATGATAATTTTCTACAAATGATTAAGAGATATATTCTTACTTTTAATGTGTTTCATACATTATCTCATTCAAATATGGATGAAGAATACACGAGTCGCACGCAAATCATCGCTACACGCACCTATCTGCTGACTTTGGTCGCTTCGCTTTTAGTGCTGATATTATATAGATCTCAAGTAACTACCGTACGGTTGGTAACTATTCGCGCACCTTCCTATATCGAGTATGTTAACTTATACGATAACTATTCTCAATCTCTCGCATGTCCTTGTACCAACACTAATATACAATACGGTGAATTTCTTCAGATAGAAGTTCGATTACATCAAGTATGTAACAGTAACTTTGTTTCTGATCTATATTTCGCTTATCTCAATCCAATGGCGATTTATATACCTTACGGTGATCAACGGAGAGGAAAGTCTCAATTACAAATGATCGCTTCATGGTGTCGACAGGCTCAATCAAGTATTCTCGATGATCGTAGTGCATTCTATGTTGAACAATTTACTACCTATGAAGTTTTATCTTCAGAAGTATTTAACAAAGAAGTCCAATCATTAACAAGTCTATTTATTGGATCGACGAAAAATACATTTGTCCATTCGTTGACTGTGATTCGACAAATGTTACAAGATAATGTATTAATGAGTGGTTATACAACTAATGCATTCCCTTATGCTTTAGGCAACACCAGTGATTTAAGTCTTTATATGGCTTATGCTTATTATCCAATAGTATCGGCAGAATCATGTATTTGCGTTTTCTCCAACAATTGTACTGACACAATCAGTGGTTTGTATATTGCTGAAGGTCAAGCGATGGAATTTCCTATTTTTTCAGGACTCCTCACTGGTTGTTTCGTCGACGAAGCAACACTTCAATCAACTCTTGAATGCTATTACAATCAAAGCTGTCTTGATGCTAGTCACGCATTTTTTGGCTTAGATCTTTCGAATAATTTCACTGCTATGAAGACAACTGTCTCAAGTCAGTTTAATGCTACTTCGGTGATGAGAGATATTCTTAATGAAATGATGGTAGAGGATTGGATATATACATCCTCTCATGCATCTTTCTACAACGCATGTCAACCAATATCTTGTAGTTACTCATATACCACAAAGAATGACTTATCGGTCATTATTAGTGACATTATAGGATTAATTGGTGGTTTAACAACTATTCTAATGATTATTATTCCCCATTTGATAAAGCTTGTGCGTCGTTGCCAACGACGATTGGCCTTTCAACGAGCACACTTTGCAGGTAATATTTAAGTGACCTAAAACATCACAAGACTATATTTTTTTGATTAATTTCAGGTGTATTTAGAATGGAACAACTACGTCAATATTGGAACAAAGGAAAAGAAAAGATACGCCTTTTAAATATATTCTATTCAAGACATGAACAAGTCATCGTCAATGCCTATGATTTACGGACACAGATTATTTCCACACGTGTCTTTCTGGGTTTTCTCTTTGTTTCTCTATTTGTCCTGGCTATTTATACATCTCAAGTACCCATCAATATGATAGTTACCATTCGTTCGCCTTCACTTGACCAATATTCGCGTATATATTTTCAATATTCTCAATCGCTTTCATGTCCTTGCACGACTATTTCTCTTACTTACGAGCAATTTGTTAATGTGCGAGTAGCACGTTTTCATCAAATATGTCAAAGTATATATGTTACAACAGCTTGGACATTACTCATTGATGATTCACATCTGTATCACACTATTTTCTTTGAAGATTTTCGCCAGTTAGGTGGCCGTTTCTTTGAAACATTAGCTTCATTCTGTGCTCTCTCTCAAGAACTAATCACAGAAGAATTGATCAAATTCAATGCAAGCCGTTTCGTGACTAATGATGTCATGGCATCAAATTTGTTTTACAGTCAATTTGAATCATACATGCAGAGTTTTATTTCTTCGACAAAACGTTCATTCAAAAGGTCCATTCAATTGATACGTGAATTAACTGAAGGCAATATACTTTTCTCGGGTATTCTTAGTAATCTTCAGTTTAACATGGTTGTTAACGGTACTGAAAATGTATTTTTAACCATAAATTACACGACATTTATGGATAACTCATCAAACTGTTCATGTCAACGGACACCCACATGCGTAGCACCATCTTCTGTCTTCTACGATGTTTCCTATGCTGCCACACCAGTGATTCGATTTACTGTGCCGGGAATTATGCGTGGATGTTATGTCCTTGAAGCGTTTCTACAATCGAATTTGATCTGTTTTTACAATCAATCATGTGTCAATGATCTTCGTCATGCATTGAATACAACAGATCCGTTGAATATGACCATTGTACTCAATACGACTGCACTCAATCCATTACTTCCCAGTCAATTTCATATGAATTCAACATTGAATGATATTATTAATGAACTGATGGTCGAAGAATGGATAACAAATGCATCGCACGAGATGTATTATACGGCATGCAATCCAGTAGTATGCACCTATTCTGTTATTGGTAAAAATAAGTTGATCTCGATAATATCAACTATGATTGGTTTGTTTGGAAGTCTTACTACGATACTGACATTTATCGTACCAATCGTGGTCGAAAGAGTGAGATTTTATCTTCGACGACGTGGTAATAGAGTCAGAAACATCGAAGAACTCACAATAGAAACACCAGCGAGCATACGCTATTGATCTGAACGCTTCTGTCCTGTATTTAGCGTTTAGTGACCAGAGGTGTGAGCCATTCGACTCAGCCACCACCGATGGTATTCGAAATTTTCGAGCTGCCGTTGTTGACACCCATCATAAATATCGCTTTTCATTTGCTTATGTCTACTATTATATAATACTTTTTTAAACTTTAAGCCGCCGCACCACCAATGGTATTTAAAATTTTCGAGTCGCCGCTGTGCAACCTGGGAATGTTAACTCTGCGCCACCAAACATTTCTAAAAACTTTTAAAACTTAGCGCTGCCGTCGAGTACCCTACCGGCTTACACCTTCACTACTGACTTTAAAAACACATATAGTAGTCTAATACAGAAGAATATTTCTTTCGTTTAGCGAATTATAAAAGAAGAGTCCGTTCACTTATATATTACGATGTTTGATCTCTGAGAAAAGAAGGAAGTTTGCAGAACTCCTCGAAAAGGTTCTATAGATTTCTAAAAGCATACAAAGGCGCCGAAAGTCTCAAAAAAAGAATTGAATATTCGACAGAACGTTTTCGAGGGGTTCTGCAAACCTCCTCGTTTTTTTCAGAGATGGATTAATTATTTCGACATGAACAAGAGTAAGACTGAAATCAGTTACTTTCGTCTACCACATTAATATATTATAAAAGATACTATGAGATGGACAATATTTGCACAAAATAAAACATATAGCATAAAAAACATGAAAAAAAGAATGAGAACACATAGCGTAAGGATATGTGTATGGATGCGTGAGTGTAAGATCGATATAATACTCAAATTCACACCCACACCCTGATTTGAGGGTGTGGGTGTGTTTTTTCTCCTCATACATCCTCACCCGTACCTACATTCACCTACAAAAATGTTTCAACAAATGAATATCAAATATGTAATATTCGTAATGCCTTTCATACAGTTCGTACCATACAGTAGGATATAAATAGTATGTTCTATATGAATAAAAAAGAACAATTATTACTAATTTATTATATATTTTACTGAAAATGAATCTAACTTAAATAAAAAAAATTAGAGCTAGTTCAAGAGAAAGAGTAAATATAAATATATGAACATTGATACAAAAACAAAGAAAAACACGCACATTTAGGTAAAATGTCTAGATGTTTGATAAAACAAACTTATGATCAGACTTAGCTAGCACGATTAACTAAAAACGACTCCTGAAATATAAAGCTGAAATGAGAAAGCAATTCCCTAACTTATATTTGTTTAAGTACCTAAAGTTACTGGTGAAAAATTTGTAACACCAGACAGATAATATTGATATCGATTTGCCACAGCGTATAAGCTACCACCACGAGGAATGAATCATGTCCCGCAACCGAGAGAAACTGTTTCGGTTCAAGAAGAAATCCTTTACCCTCATCAAGTCAACGGGAAATCTGTTTTCGACCGAAGTAGAAACAATTCGAAATGTAAACATTCATCTATATCTTCACTCATTAGGAGACATGGAACTTGAAAATATCCATACCGTATTGAATTAGATATTGAATGCATATATTTTCACGTTTGTACCATTTCTCTTTGTATGCAATATCCGTATGGTATCGAATAAGGTATTAAATGGATGTTGTTTTTGCTGTTTTCATTTCTCCTTAGTGTATTGCTTTTGTGAGGTTGAACTATTTCTCCTCAAAGTGTACCAATTCCTCGATCGGCTTCTCCAATAGTCCACTGCTGGGAATTTATTGATCTAAATCCATATCATAGAAAAAAACTTTTTATAATCATAATAGATTCTGCACTTCTGATCTTTATTTATACCAATTGTAGATTTCATTTACTTATTATTAGTAGAAGATTAATATTATCATCATCTGATCTTTCATATTGTACGGTTTATGAAGAAATTGTTCATTATACTAAATTTGATCTATTTTGATGAAAAAGCAAATATATGCGATATTATTTATTTAGTTTTGATTGTAAATATACTGCGTGAAGACGAAAAATCAACTATAAAACTTTAATCATTACAGATATCGATTTTATCATTAAATCAGTGTATTTTGACAAGACTTTTGTGATAGTTCATATCTTTAAAACAAAATAAAAATGATCAAATGCCTTTTACTTGAACAAGATAATATACTATTTTAGTTATGAAGCTTTAATCTAACGTCTTAATCCACTTGATGATGTATTAAGTTTATTTATTACTAATTCATTCCAATCAATTTTCAGAAATAATTTGATGTACAAATTATATTACATTACATGCATTAGTTGATCGTGAATGAATACTACGTCTATATTTCATTGAATGGGCAACAACTGGTATAAAATCAATACTGGATGATTTTCACATTTTAACTCGCGAGAGAAAGTATCTATTTTTAAAGAAAATATGTATATTATCAGAATTCTGTGTATCGATCCGATTTCTACCGAAGTACGATATCATATTTGTTATAGTGCTACTGCTATATCTTTTTTTTTCTTTCTTTTCTATCGTACAGATGACACGTACGATATACATGTATGGGATTTTTCCTGACTCATTCGTTATATATTTTAGTTTCAACCCATTCTCCTTCTAAGAATATTGGATTGTGCAATACCGTTTCTGTAATGTGTTGTATATAGTTATAAAAGGATATCGTCACTGTTAATTGTATATACTAGATTTTCTACTGTATTTTTTCTCTCACTAGAATTTATTCATTTTTATTTCGTTTTTTTCTTATATTTTAGAATTGAAAATAGATATTTTAAAACTTATTGTACAAATTTAATTATACAATATTACTAACAATGATTTGGATATGTGATGAATGCAAAAAAGATAAGCACAAAAAATGTCGAGATAGAATCATTTGTGATTGTTCATGCAATATTAATGGTACTGCTGATAAGATTCAGAAAGCTGCAGCTATCGTAGGAGGAGCAGGATTAGCTGTTGGTGGTTTAGCATTAACTATATGTACTGGTGGTATAGGTGCAGTCCTTATTGGTGGTGCAATGTTAGGTGCTGGTGTTAGTTCCACTTTCCATGGAGCTGAAAAAGCAATTAAAAAACAAAGAATAGACGGTACAATGTTCGTTGCTGATGTTGCTTTTGGTGCTGTGACAGGAGTAGCAACTGGTGGAATGGGTGCAATAGGTGAAACTGTTGCCACAAATGTAGTTAAACAAGGTGTTAAAGAAGTTGCAAAAGTCGGAGCAAAAAAACTTGCTGTACGAGCTGCTACTGGTGTTGTAACTGGAGTCGCAACAAAAGCAATAGATGAAGTTAAACAATGTTCGACAACAGATAAAAAATGGTCAGATTATGGAAAAAGTTTTGATAAAAATGGTAATAAAAATGGAACAGCAGCTGCATGGGTTACAGGTGCTCTTGTTGGTGGATTAGGTGGTGCAAGTACTCATATTAGCTCTAATTTAACGAAAGAAGTTTCAAATGGTGTTGCAAAAAGTGTTGCACGTATTGCTGTAAGTGGAACAACTGCAGCATTAAGTGATGCAACCGTTCAAGGTGCAACTATAATTACTGGAAATCAAGATCATTATGATGTTAAACGAACTATTAAAAGTGCTACGGCAAGTACAATAATGGCAACAGCTCAAGAAGGAACAAAAAATGCTATATATAATATTAATGGTGGGAAAAACAATATGTTAATCCACAAACCAAACAAAGAAGCTATGGAAAATATTCCTGAACAAGGTAGACAAGAGGCAATAAAGGAATCAGACAAATTAAACAAATTACCTCAAAATTTATTAAATGATGGAAGAACAACTGCTAAAATACGTACTGATTTAAACGACGTTCACGAAACTCAAAAGACAATAATACAAAATTATGATGTACAGATTGAAGAAGTTCGTATTCTAAAACAAGATGCACAGAAAGTAGGAAATATTAATCAGATTAAAGAGTATTCAAGTAAATATCAGCAATTAAAATCTGATCGAAAAATTGCTGGTCAAGATCTTACTCGTATTGAACAGAAAATTGGACAAAATCCTCCTTATTATATGGATGATCAAAGTCATGCACATTTTCTTGACAAGAAAAAATTTGGTCAAGTATCCGTTGATATTAACAAACCTAATCCTACAGAGAGAGGTCAAAATAGAGTAATATTCGATCGTGGTGTTGATAGCAAAGGGCAAGACGTATTCCTATATTCTGATCATACATTTGCACATGATTATGAAACTACACGTGGCTTTGGTAAAGGAGATTGTTATAAAAATTATACTACGCATACCAACATCATAAAAGCAACAAATGAAGTGACAAATATTTTTATGTGTAATGATGCATCAAAAATCAAAGAAGAACAAGAATTTTAAAAGACTTGATCTATTATATTTATTATTGTCAATATTTTTTATTGTTATTCAGGTATTAAATCTTCTTCACACACCCAAGCAGTATAATCCGATGGATGACCAGTAAAATTAACTTTATAATAAACTTTTCCATTTCGTTCTTCCATTTCAAGAACTTCATTAACAGTTTCAACTTCATCATCATTAGTCAATGATGGATTAGATGTAATACCTTTTTCATTCCATGTTCGTTTAAGTTCATGTTCAAAATTATCAAATGATTGTGTTTTATTACTTTCATGCAATGAAGTTGAACTAATTATTGTTGGTGATGATTCTTGAATTTTAACATCTTTATTTATTGGTATTATATTTCCAAGTGAAGCTATTTGATTCGATGTTAAACCTATTTGATTTGGTGATGATGTAAAATTAAGATGACGATCTAATTTTGGATAATTATTAGGAAGATTATTCGATATTGTTTTTGTTGGAGTTTGATATGAACGTTTAGTTTTTGCTAAATTTATTATAATAAATATTAAACATAATGTAATAAAGAAAAACATCAAACAAATAATTGCCAAGATTATCATTGAATTTTGAAGAGTAAAAAATGATTTGGTACTGTTCCATAAATTTTTTTCATTAACTATAGTCGATGTAGCGAATTCAATAATATTACTATCTGTTATATTAGACGAATATAATAAAGCCATTGATTCTATTCTCGATTTTTGTTCAAGAAACATGAAACTAATCATGTAAATACGGTTCATTATCAATACATTCTTATAATTGACAAGCTTAAGAATGGATTTTCATAATATTCGCGCCAATTATATGAGAATACAATTTCATTAGACATTTAGACTGAATACTATGAATCACTCAATGATTTATGTTTTGTTCTTTCAGAAAATTATAGTATATCTATCACTGATATGATATGAGATGAGATGAGAAGAAACGTGTGGAATATTCTATATGTACTAACTTGCGACATCTATATTATCTATTCCTGTTTTATATGAAATTGAAAACTATAGAAATTATTTCATATAAAACAAATAAAATTATTTTATTTAATATATTATCTTTTCTTGTCAATAATAGAGTTTCATTCTAGTTTATCATGGCTCTTGTTTCATGATTGGCTTATATTGAGATTACCTTTACTATAAGAAATTTATCGTTCTCTCTCTTGAATTGAGCTTATTGTGTGTGTATGTGTATATGTTTTTTTTTCAATTGATTCATTAAACTAGCAACAAAGTGTCAAATAAAAAATGATATAAATCCTTAATAAATTTTCAGATTCGAATGAACTAATGGCTGATATAAGTAATATTATTACATCATCTACGATAATTGATGAAATCAAGGTAGTTAAAATATATATTTAATATACTATTTATTTTAATGAATTATCCTTTTAGAATAATATTAATGATCTAAATAATAATAATGATAAAATCGATGATAATGATGATCAACATATTAAATCTAAGATAATTAAATGTAAAACAAATAATCAACAAAGTCAAATATCTTCTTATAATATATTAACATCAAATGGTTCATCATCAACAACAATTCGTTCAATTGATGTACCAAATGAACATACATCAATAAAACTACATATACGACGTGTTTGTTCTCCGTCATCATCAACAGAAACATTATCTATACATCCAACAACAAATCTTTTATTTCAATCTCAACAACCAAATGAATTGAATGAACAATTGACACCAAAAATTATTCCCAAACAATTTTTTAATACAACTACAGAATCAACGACAACATCATCATCAACAACGACGTCAACAATTCAAAATAACATTCCACGTCGAGTGATTTCAACTAGACGTACATCATTAATTGAAACTGATTTTTCTCATATAACGACATCACTTCAGGAACTTCCAAAACCAATAATACATAATCATAATAATATATATGATGAAAATACATTAAAAAAACAGACAACTAAAACAAATGGTTATAAACGAAAATCTCAAAATGAACAACAAGAAAAGAAACGACAGAAATTAACAACTAAAACAATCAAACAACAAATAAATAATACAAGTACGTCTTTCTTATTGATTTATAGAATTCCCAATTGAATTAATAAGAATATTTTATTGTCAACATAACTAAGTTATCATATAGTAGTAGTGTACAGGATTTTTTTCCTTTATTGTGAATTTCTTTAATTTCTAGAATCTGCTAATTTACTTGTTCAAACTCGTTCATCATCACGTTTAAAACAAAAACATCAACCTACAAATGAGCATCAATTATCTACTATAAAACGTCGTTTAAGTACAGAACTTGTAACACCATCGACATCGGATTTATCGACTTCAACAGATAATAATTTACATAATGAATATAAATATTTATATTCATCTACGATAAAATCACAATCAACAAGTGAATGTCAAACAACAGATGATATTATTGAAATCTTTCATCAATCAATTCAAACAAATTGTTTAGTTAAATCGGATAAATCAACATATACAGATTTTCTTGATCAACAATTATGTGAAAATAGTACACAAACAATACAAAAAGATGAACAAGAAACTCAAACAACAAATTTAAATTGTCCAAATGATTCTCAAGTTTATTTATGTCAAACAACAACAAGTCAAATACAATGTGATGGAATACCAATAAGAATAAAATCACCATCACCTATAACATCACCTATTCTTATGAATTCATCGATTAATCAACGATTATCATCACCATATATTGATTTATCAATAACAAATAGTAATAATGATCGTTTACAATTATTTCAAAATCTTATACATACAGAAGAACATCCAAATGGTGGTGCAAGTCTTATACGTACATATTATAATGAATTTGTACGTTTATCCGAAGAAAATGCAAATTTATTTGTTAATTATTTTTTTAATACTGTTTATGGTGAATCTAATCAACGTGCTAAATATGCTATTGGTGTTTTACATGATGGAGCAAGATATTTACCTGATCTAATAGATTATTTTAGTTTAACATATCCAAAAATGATTGTTAAAACAACAAATATGTTAAATTCAAAAGAAGTTCTTACAACAACTATGGGAGAATATAGAAATCGTGTTGTACAAACATATTCAAATGGAACATTTCGATATGGACCATTAATGAGTATATCATTAGTTGGAAAAGTTACTGGGCGAGAAGAATGTGGTAAGAAAAAAAGCTTGAGAACTGTGCAGGTCAAGAATAGAGAAAAAAAAGTTCGCCTAGGGAATCGATTTTATGAATTGAGAGCATTCATATCTATAATTATTCTTTTGCAGAATGTAGAGTAATGTACTCAACAGTGATACCAACTGCTATAGTCAGAAAACCGGAAACTTTTTTTGTTAAATCTGGAAAGGTTTTTAACAGTTAGTTTCTACCGGCAAAAATAAGTTTTTCAAAATCTTGTTCACGATTATACCACTTATCATTTCAAAAAGCATATGTTTCTATATATCAAAAGAAAATCAACATCAAAATTCAAAATATATAAGAACTATAAGCCACTGAGCCGCTGTCAAATAAAAAAATTTTTTTTTGAGTAATAACAAATAAGTAAAATTTGATTCATTAAAAGATATCTGAAATCCGGAAGAGTTGGCAACACTGGTAAAGACTCTATTTTTGCTATATGAAATAGGCTATGTTACTGATTTATTCTTTTACTAATAGGTGATTATTTCCCAATATTTCTTGATAAACTCGAAGAAAATCCATTTTTACAATCTGTAATGCCTTGGGGAACATTAGCATCGGAAAATATGAAATCGAGAACAGATTCAAATGATGGACCTATTCTATGGGTTCGACCAGGCGAACAATATGTTCCAACGGCTGAACATAAAAGTTGTCATCCGAAAAAACGTATGGCAAATGAATTACGTAATTTAACATTTACTGGACGTGGAACTGATCCACGTGAAGTACTTGTTGAAGATCGTACAAGACCACATAGTGATCATTGTGATAGTGATGGATTGGAAACAACAGCAGCTGTTGGAATATTAAAAGCTGTACATGTCGGAACACCGTATGTTAGACATTTTTGTTTATTCGTCAATTATTAGTTTTTTGTTGTATTTAAAGATCATCTGTTAATCGAATGGTAAAAGATGTTGTATGTTTTCATGCTGAAGATTTTGAAAGAGTTGTTGAACGTTTAAAAATTGATTTGTATGAACCACCTGTTTCACAAGTAAGTTTTTATAAATATTTTTAACTAATAAAAATTGTTTTCCAGTGTTTACAATGGTGTGATGAAGGTAAACTCAATCAATTACGTCGTGAAGGTATCCGATATGTTCGTCTACCGCTTTATGATAATGTAAATATACATTATTTATTTTTTATCGATTTCAAAAAAAATTATTTTCTATTTAGGATATTTATTTCATTCCAAGAAATGTCGTTCATCAATTTCGTACATTATCATCTGTGACATCGATAGCATGGCATGTACGACTTAAACGTTATTATCCAAATGATATATCTGAAAATGAATATACTCCTTTATATAGTCCAATTTCTGATACATAAAAAAATATAAAACAAAAGAATCTCATTTTTGTATATAAATCTTTTTTTTCTTCTTCTTCTTCTTCTTCTTGTATGTTTATATGTGTTGAGCAATAACAAACGTTTATTCTCTTCCTTTTTTGCATGTGTTTGTGTGTAATTGTCGTTTGCTTTGTCTTTTTTCAAAAAAACTATTTATTGTTGTTGTTGTTCTCGTTGTTGTTGTTGTTTTTTTTTTGACAAATGAGATTGATTTATATATATATATACATACATATATATATGTAAACGAAGAGAACAAATTTGTTTTTTTGTTTTATCTTGTCATGAAAAACAATTTTTAGATATAATGCCAAATGAACGACATCGAATTAATTTATTACGGTAAGTGAAATCGTACATATATATATATATAGAGAGAGAGACGATCTCTGAGAAAAAGACTACAATCATATAAAAGATTTCTATATATTGATTGTTTGAGTTCAGAGAAAAATAAAATGAAGTGAATTAAATAAATAAAAAATATATTTTCTTCATACATTTATTTTTGTTTTATTTTAGAATGGACGTTGATAGTGTATTAAAACCGTTTAATGATGAACAAAAATATTTGCGTAAGTTTTTTTGTATACTATCTGAGAAACGTATGAGTAATTTGTACTCATACGGACGTGACAAAAAAACATAGGGTACATTTATCAGACGATTAGCGATGAATTACATGCATTATATAGTTATGAATATTCTGAAAATAGTTCAAAAGAATAACTGATTTCCGAACTCTGACTCAAAACATTGCAATTTTTTCGTTGTTTTTATCTTACGATGTTATGGATTGTTTATATACACGAAGTAGATTCGATGTTCATAGTTCATGATAGAATAAAATCAGAAACTCACAAATTTTCATAATACATTATTCTCATTTTTTCACATAGAGGGTGAGGTGCGAATCCAACTGGACCCATACATAGATAAAAATAGAAATACTTAGATTTCATGTCTTTTTCATAGTAGATATCGATAATTTGCGATATTTATCATGGCTATATACACCAGCTTTTTATCAATTCATCAGTACTTTCTAAAACAAGAGTTTCTCGAATTCTTGCCAGGTTTGATTCATAGACACTTCCATCTAAAAGTAAAAAGTCAAAAGAACTACCATAAAGTCCAAGCGGACCCATCCATTGTTCTTTTATCCATAGGCTCTATTTATGGAATCTTATAAGGCTTCGGTATGTTGTTACTAGACTAGCAATTAGAAAAATAATCGCCTGAAAACTTATAAGCATTTATCGAAAAACATCACGTTGGGTCCGCAAGAACTCACAAAGAGCGTACAAAGGTTAAAACTTGCCCAGAATATTCATAACTGTATAACGCACATAGGAATACGCAGTTTCAGTAAATCGTGCACTCCAAGTGAATCCGCAGCATCAGTGAACTCGGTATCAGTAGTTGCACCGAAACTGCGCATCCCTAAACGCACATAGTCATAACCCAAAAGTAATTAAGCTTATCCTTATTCATGCATACTCTTCAATCATAGTAGAAATCTTATATCTTAAAATAAAATTTAATCTTTATATATATATTTAGAAAAACTCCGTCGATCAACAACTATTGAACCTATACTTTTACATTTATTTAATTTATTAGAAATTGAAGATTATCGTTTATTATTTTCTTCCATAAATCTTCAAACAGTTGATTTGAAATGGTTACAAAATTTTAGTAAATTATGTCTGAAACGTTATTTCGAATTAGATGATATTTTTTTTTCTCAAACATTTCAAATAAATTCTCAAAATAAACATGATACAAAATCTAGTATTGAAAATTATACAAATTTTTTAATTGAAAATATAAAAAAACGTTTTGCAATGAAATATTTTTGTGCAATTGTTTTTGAAATTGAACAATTAAATCGTTTTAAATTTGATGAAGTATCCAAACAATTAAATGAAAATAATCGTATTATCAATGAACTGTTTTTATTATGTAACACTCATGATAATAATGATGATAAAGACGATAGTATTATACATTTAAGTTCAACACCAGCACAATTAATTAATCGACCCATATATATTAATTATAAACCTATACATATGGTTTATTTACGTGAAAATCTTTGTATTAAAAATGATCTTGATCAACGTTTACCATTAAAAGGTATAACAAATACATTTGTTGCTGATTTAATTAATACAAAACAAATCAATATACTTGATGAAATAACCGGTAAAACATATGATATACCAACGAAATGGCTTTATTTTTCTAAACCATGTGAAACAAATGTAATTTTACCATTAAAATTACGTGTTTTAATAATTGATTCTCAAACTGGACGTCGTCGTTATGGTTTAATTGGTGAAGAACCGGGCAAAAATAATGATTATCGTTGTTTAGTTCTTTTTACTGATGATCAAACAAATATATCAGCTAATTATCATCCATCATCTCATATACATATATGTCTTGATCAAACATTTTCAACACATTTACATGAAAGTAAAAATGATTTTCTTGAAAAATATTTTGCATTATATCCGGAACGAATGATGTTAAGAGTAAAAGAAGGTTCTATTGTTAAAGTACGAAATGTATCTGCAAATTTACAAAATAATAATTCATTTGTACCTGCACTTGTGGTACAAATTGATGGTTCAATGATGCAAATTGAATTAAGTCATAGTAAACAACGAAAATGGCTTTATCGTGGTTCACCATTACTTGATCAAATGCATAATTATTATTCAACACAAACAAAAGCAGCTGTGAATGGTCTTTCACGTCGAACAGCTCGACAACATTTATCAGCTAGAAGAACAAATGCACCTGAAATTATTTGTTTGAATGATCAAACATCACCAACACCACCAACAACATCAACAACACCATCACCACCAATAGCAACAAATAAAATAAAATCTGTTCGAACAGCTGATCAAGCAATAGATGGATCAGATGAAACGAGTTAGTGTTATAACTTTTCAGATATTTTATTTTCATTTTTTTTACAATTATATAGGATCTATAAAACGACCTCGAATATCAAATGAACAAGATATGCGAAAACCTTCACCAGTTCAATCGTCTCTTTCGATTCAAACTGGTTTACGAACACTCCGACCACGTCAACCAAATAGTAATACACCTCATACAGTACCATCTTCTTCCTCGAATGATAATACAACACCAATAAATCTTCATCGGCAATCATCTTCATCATCAACTTCATCTAATCAGTGTACTACATCTGTGCAATTACGTCCCACTCATGTATGTAGTTCTTTTTTTTTATAATAATAAGAATTTTTATTTTATATCAATAGTCAAATTCAAATCCAAGAATATCAATTAATCCATTATTTCTTGAATTAGCAGAAAAATTTCTTCTTCGTTATTCTTATGAATTTCATCCACATAATTGTTCACATAAATGTGTTGTTTATGCTGAAAAACATTTTCAACAACTGCCAAGAACTATGAATCCATTTTTAAAACCATTTGCTTGTCATTGGACAATGCTTGACAATGTACGTGTTAAAAAAGCTGGTGATATTCGTCTTAAAGCAACACGTTCAGCAGTTATATATTGTACACCATGTATGTTAATCAAGAATTCAACAAAATATTAATTCTATATTTATTTATTTTTAAGGTGGTCGAAAACTTATTAGTCAAGCTCAAATAGATAATTATCTTCATGAAACAAAATCAAAATTAACTATTGAATTATTTGTATTTGATTGTAAAGCGAATATGAAACAACATTATTGCCCAGATGGTAAAATATTAGATGCAGATATATCAAATGGACAAGAAAATGTTCCAATATCAGTTGTAAATGAAGTTGATAAAGAACCAAATAAAATTGAAGAACCTAGTACATTTAAATATCGTGTTGAACGAACACCAGTTGCAGGTGTTAATATGGTTGTGAATGAATCAACAATGACATGTTGTACTTGTACAGATGGATGTAGAAATAGAATTAAATGTGCATGTAAGATCATATTCCATTTTGTATACTTAGGGATGCACAGTTTCAGTTTACTGAATACTGGTAGCACCGTCAGTTGGTCACTGAAGCACTGACAATGGGTACACCGCAGCACCGACTTAAATCGATTTATACTGACTTCCTAGGCTTATGCATATCAGTAAAAGCCGGTGCTTCAGTGCCCACAGTGCTGTGCTGTGGTGTATTTGTGCTGAAACTGCGCATCCCTATGTATACTGGATGTTATGATTAATATTTTTCGAATAGGTTGGTTGCGTACATTGAAATATGCTGAATTAATCGGTGATGAACGTGTTAAAACTATGAAAGCAAAACATAAAAGTCAAACAGAAATTCTCAATCAACTTGGTTATCGTTATCGACGTTTACATAAAAATGTTCCTGGTGGTATATATGAATGTAATGATCGATGTTCATGTCATAAACAAACATGTTCAAATCGTGTTGTTCAAAATGGTATTATAGCACAACTTCAAGTAAAATTCTATTATTTAAATAGAAATTTTTGGAAGATTATTTTTGTTTTTTATATAGTTATTTAAAACTAATGCACGTGGTTGGGGTGTACGTACTTTACATGATCTTCCAATAGGAACATTTATTAGTGTATACTCAGGTGAAATTTTTACTAGTGAACAAGCCGATGAACGAGGAAAATTACTCGGTGATGAATATCAAGCAGATTTAGATTTTTTTGAAGTAAATTAATATTTATAATACACCTAATTTTTTCGTACTTGTTTCTTTCAAGAATATTAATCATGATTCTGAAGAAGAACAAAATGGAATTAGCATAGAACTAGATGATGACGATGAAGATGGTGGTGGTAATTCATCTCCATCAAGTACAGAATCAAGTAAATAATTATATTCTTCTCTTAGATATTTTCTATACCGTTTTTTTTCTCCCATCTAATTAGCTAATACTCGTCTTCGAAATGCTAATCTACAATCACGTGCACGTGAATTACTCAATAAAAAAGATACAAAAAAATCATCAAAATCCATTGCTGATGATAATGATAATAATTCAGCATTAAATCGAACCGTATTGCCCGACTATGATAGTGTTGTGTATACACTCGATGCTAAATTAATCGGAAATATAGGTCGATATTTTAATCATTCATGTTCACCAAATATTGCTGTACAAAATGTATTTGTTGATGTAAGTTAGTTTTTCAATTGATTTCGTTTTTCTTATTTCTTTGTGTTCATAGACACATGATATACATTTTCCGTGGATTGGATTTTTTGCAACAAAATTAATTCGATCGGGTACAGAATTATGGTAAGAGAAAAATATAAATAATAATCGATGAAATTTTAATTATTTGTTATTTTTTTCTTCTAGTTGGGATTATAATTATACAGTAGGTGAAATAGCTGGCCGTCGTATGGATTGTCATTGTGGTTCAGCTGAATGCCGTCGTCGAGTTCTATAGTCTTTAATTCTAATATAAGAAAAACAGATTTCGTAGAATAGTGCTTTTCTGTGTTTTGATTGTTTTTTTTCGTTGTTGTTGTTATTGTTGTTGTTGACAAAATTTTGTTTCTGTTTTTGGAGAACAAAAAAAATCAACAAAAACATATTTGAATATATGCGAAGATTATTCCATCTTGTGCATTGTAGATTTTTTTAGATGGATTTATCAAAGGGTAAAATCATTAAATAATAAATTTTATCAAAAGTTTTTGTTAAATCTATATCTATAGAAAGTCTTCTTAATCTTAATTGGAGTGATTTATCTTGGTTTCAACATTTTAATACAGCATTAAGTGAAGAAACAGCATTAGGTTATTTTTGTCAAGTAGGTAATCCATTCTATGATCGATCGAGTTTAAATGAACAAATCTATATGAAAAATCTTCCAGCTGAAGCAATGGTACATTGAAAAATCAATTGATTTCTTAATATATATTTTTGTTTTTGATAGTTAAGTGCAACTGGTATTGAATATGCATTAATTCATCGGCAAGATCCAATTCTATATATTATTCGAAAACATTATCGTGAAGGACCAAATGAATGTATGTTTTTATGGAAATGTTTTACTAGTGAAGGAATATAGAATTTTGCGATAGTTTTAAAATTAGTTGAATATTTAAGATTTTCTAATCGTTTTAAAAGCAGGATTGTCTTTAGGGATGTACCGAGCCTCTCGGGCCCGGGCTCGATCAGGCTCAGATGTCAGAAACCCACTCCTACATAAATTCTGATACCTGAGTGCTGACCGAGCCCGTCTGAGCCTCTCGGGCTCGGTACATGCCTAATTGTGTTTTACCCAATCGTGACTACATAGTTCTTAGCACGTTGATTAGATCATGGTTCTTTTTTTTAGTAAGACCACTTCAAGAATATTACATTATTGCACCTGGTCATATCTATCAAGCTCCTGATGCTGCGTCTGTTATTAGTCATCGATTGGTAAATATTCTATATATCTGTATGTTTTTAATATATTTTGTTGTATAGTTAACTGCTGTTCATCATTTTGGTAAAGCATTCGATGAAGGTGATATACATATATGATATTTTTAGAAGAAAAATTTATTTTCTTCTTTTAGCATCACAAAAAGCTGCATATCATCCATCATCAGGCTATTATTGGAAAACAAATGGTTCTTCTGGTTTGTTTCTCTTTTAGTATTTTATCTGATTTTAATCAAAATTTCTTATTGATTTAGATGAATTAGCGAAAAAAGACTCATCGAAAGATAAGATCTTAACACATACTCAACGTATTCGTTTCGATACGATATTTCCTAATTATCATGAACGTTTTAAACCACGAATACAAACAGGACCAACCACACAAACTGCGATATCATCTTCAACAACAAATAATGAAACTGCTTCAGGTAGTGGTACTGGCAGTGGTGATAATAATCTTCCACGTATGTATTTTTAAAATATCAAAACAAACAGATTATCTATCTGATTTATTTTAGGAAAAGAAGAACGTACACCATCAGATTCTCAATCTAATCCAAGTGAACGACCTATGATTGAAGTTAAAAAACAAAAAACTCAAAAATAGAATTACTATGTGTTTTTTTTTGTATCATTGTATATGAATTGTTAAAAGTAAACATGTTCAACATAATTTTTGGTTATTTTTCAAAAACAAAAGTTTTATAAATACGATTAAAAAATAATTGCATACATATCATAGAAATTTTCACTGTTACAATTTATTCTTTTTCCTGACTTACTTCAATTCATATCGATCAAAGTTTTAGCGGCATGTTTTTATATTCAAATTGACTAGATACTTCAAAAGTACATATGAAAATTACTCTGAATTTTTCCTCAATCGAGAAAAAAAATATCTTCAAATTTTATTCTAGAATTATCTATTTTTTAATAAATGTTAACACATGTTATTCAACGTTGTTTTATTCGACGATCTCTTTCGACAATTACTAACAGTTCTAATCTTCCTTCATCACCAATACGAATATGTATCGTAGGTAGTGGACCCGCTGGTTTTTATTTAACACAAAATTTACTTAAACTTCGTCAAACACTACCGTTAACAATTGATATCATTGAAAAAGCACCTGTACCTTTTGGTCTTGTTCGATACGGTGTAGCACCTGATCATCCTGAAGTCAAAAATGTTATTCATACATTTACAAAAATAGCTGAACATGAACATGTTCGTTTTATTGGAAATATGCATATTGGTAATAAAATTCGATTAAAAGATTTACAAGAATTCTATCATATTATTGTTCTTGCTTATGGTTCATCTGTTGAACGTAAATTAAATATACCCGGTGAAACAACATTAGAAAATGTTTTTTCTGCGAAAGATTTTGTTGGATGGTATAATGGTAAAAGAAGTTTATTTAATTAGATGAATACATTATTTTTATTTATTAATAGGTGTACCAGAAAATGCTGATCTTCAACCAAAACTTGATCATACTGATCGAGCTGTAATTATAGGAATGGGAAATGTCGCAGTTGATTGTGCTCGTATTCTTCTTTCACCTATTGATGAGTTAGCTAAAACAGATATTACTGAAAACGCACTTGAAACACTTCGTCATAGTCGTATACGACATGTAACATTAGTTGGTCGACGTGGACCAATGCAAGTTTCATTTACTATAAAAGAATTTCGTGAATTAACTAAATTAAATGGAGTACAATCAATGTTAGATAAAGAAGATTTTAGTAGAATTGATCAAAATATGATTGAAAAATTAGAACGACCAAGAAAAAGATTAACTGAATTAATATTAAAAACAGCTCGAACAAGTTTGAATTTTTTTGTTTTTGTTAATAAGGAAATAAATCAACTATTTTATATAGATCAATCAAAAGATAATTCAGAACGGTTTTGGTACTTAAAATTTTGGCGACGTCCAAAACAGATTAATGGAATAACCAGTGTTGAAAGTGTTGATTTTGAACAAACAGAATTTGACGTAAATTCTAATTTTGCTGATGAAAATTTACCTGTTCGAAACACTGGAATCATAGAAACAATACCATGTGGTCTTGTAATTAAAAGTATTGGATATCATGGTGTTCAAGTAAGAATATATAATGAAATCTTTTCTAATGATTACTACGAGTAGATGTGTTGCATAAGAAAAAAGATAAATTCATTTCGCAGTAAATGTTTTATATGATTCTGATGAATAATGAGTTCGAATCCAGTGAACTTTAGTTAGTGGTAAAGGTCACGTCTAACTTAAGATCAGAATAGTCAAGAGGAAAGTATTTCTGTTCATCTCTTAAGGGAGATATTCGTATTTAAAGCAACGACTATATCTAAAGAGAGGATATATCTTCAATCGGGAAAGAGACATTTCGCACCGACTCTTTTTTACGGTTTCCCTGCGACGATGTTCGTTATCATTTCCCGACATATAAAAATATACAAAATCTTCGAAATGACAAAGATTTAAAACAAGCAGAGTGTTAGAGTGAGTGTATAGGTCATTCTTCTCTCATACTACACATCCACACCCACACCCACACCCACACCGTCATCCAATTTCTTAACAATATTTTACATATTGTGGAGCATTTCGTTCCGATTTCCCTGTATAATTTCCTGACCAACATGTTTTACGGACTCCTGGTAAAAATGGTAAAACAATAAGTCAATTCCAAACACCTAGACAAATTATCAGGTGTTCGGGACACCTAGTACAAAATGTCTTTGTCCCCTTTAATTCTCTATGTTTTCTTTTTAATAAATAGATCGATCCATGGCTACCATTTGATCATGAACGTGGTATTATTCTAAATCGACAAAATCGTATTGATGAACGACCTGGCTTTTATTGTACTGGTTGGATTGGAAGAGGAGCTCGAGGTGTTATTGTTGAAACTACTACAGAATGTACTGCTCCTTGACAATTTGTTTTTTTTTGTTTATTAATTTTCTTTCTTTTTAATATTCTAGCACATACAGTCGCTAGACGAATCATGGATGATATTGAACAAGGTCGTATAAATAGTTTACATGATGTTAAATCCGGTGGTAATGGTTTAATATCACTTGCTAATTCTCATCAAATTCGATGTATTTCATATGATGATTGGAGAAAACTTGATACACATGAAACAAGTGCTGGTCTTGTTAAAGGAAAACCTCGTGAAAAAATATTAAATATTGACAAAATGCTTGAATTAACTTCATCATCATCATCAAAGAGCTAATATTTATATTTATTTATAGTTATATTTAAGTTTTGTTAAGTGTTTTCTTTTCCAGATAATACTGTGACGAATTACAGTACAACGAATAAATACTTTTCTAGTTCTATAAATCATTATTTCAGATAGAATTATGTTACGTTTAACTCCTTGTTTTATTCGACAATCATCATTATTTATAACACGTCTTGCTAGTCGTTCATCAAATTCTCATTCACATGATGAACCTCGTGTTCGTCTTCATCCAGGAAATCAACAAACAATTGAAGAAAGAGCTCAGGGTATTTCTGGAGAACGTAAACGTGAAATTGAACAATTATATGAATTTGAAAAACTTGAAATTAATAATCAACCTTCAACACGTGATGAATATCGACATAATATCAATCGTTCGTTTATTTATTTGTTCTTATTTATAAGTTTCGTTTAATCATCGTTGGTTTTTCCTTTGCAGGTGGAAAAAAAGGTGTATTTGATTTAGAAGATATTCTTCAAATACTACGTGATGAACGTATGAGAGATATATGTGTTATTGAAATTCCACCTGAACAACAATATGCTCATTATTTAATCATAGCTACAGCTTTTAGTGCTCGTCATTTAAAAAATACAAGTGAATATATAAATAAATTAGTAAGATATTATTTTGAATAATAAATATAATGAAGATTTGATTTTCTAGTATAAAGCTAAAAAGAAATCAAATGATCCTTATTTAAGTAGTGATTGCCGAGATGGTACAAGATGGCATGCAATGGATATGGGTATGTGTATATGTTGACATACATCGAATTTAGTTACACTCCTAAAAACTTTACTTTCACTTTTTATCGTTAGTGATATATTTTTAAAAAGCAGTTTATCTAAGAGAATCGAAAACATTGGAATTATTTTTTTATGAAAATTTGTTATCTTAGGTCATCTTGTTTTACATTTAATGGATGTTGAAATGCGTGAACAAAATGATCTTGAAACATTATGGTGTGTTGGTCCTAAATATGATGATCAAGTATATACAATTCAACAATCATTAGATGCTATTAGAAAAATGGATGAACAATTAAAAGAAGAAGAAGTCTTAACAGTTGCTGATAAATATGGTCCACTTGATAATCCATTTTCACATGTTCGTTATCCTCTTGAAGGACCTGGTGTATTTCAAGAACCACCACCACGAAAAGAAATGACATTAGGAAATGTTGCACATAAAAAACATGAAGAAGAACGAATAAATCCTGAAGTAGAAAAAGAATTTATTGATCTACCAAGTGATCCAAAACCACCAGTATACAAAGGACAAAAAGTTAATTGAATTCGTTCTTTTCTTGTAGATAATCTTTTTTTTCTTGTTGATTTAAATAAAAAGATGGAAAAATAATTATTTTCTTAAATGTTTGTTTTAGGAATGAAAATGAAATAAGTTCGTTACAACATATATATTGAATAGATTGAATGTGACGAAGAAACTGACTTAGTCGTGATTGATTACTGTTAATAAATGAAACAAAAACGATAGATAACACATAAATGCTGATCAGCTCTTCAGTGGGTGATTCCAGTCACGAATGTCAAAGAGAGGAAGAAAGAGATAATTAGAAGTGCACTACTAATCTCTGACACGAGTGAATTGACACGAACGTGAAAGATTAGTAGAAGCAATTAGGAGATGTGACAAGAGTTACTTCGCTATTAACTACAACATTATACAAAAGACAAAGGTACATATCCGCTTCTTAAGACATTTACAAGAGTTCAATTATAACAGTGTTGATAGCTGTATATATATATATCTAGCAGGTTTATAGATACACACTTCTTGTAAACACCCTATCGGATGACTATACACTAATTAATTAATATAATACAAAAAAATTGAATTTTTAATAAACATTAATTGATAATTGACCAAAAATTGCCCCCATCAAGAAAGTAGCGATATGCCGAGATACTATTTAAGGCCATGCATATACAAAGGTTTTGAAGCAGAAAGATGTTTCCTCAAACACTCAAATGAAGTGTCCTGTTACTTCACAAGCCGCATAATTCATCTGTATATTTTATAAATATTTATGACTAGATAAAACTCTTCATATCTCATATTGATTAAGAGAAGGAGGAAGATTAAAAATTCGTCATTAGATATTCAAGATCGGTTGTAATAAAGTTTTATTTTTCTTTTCTTCTTCCTTTTTTCTTCTGGTATTGTTTTATTATATATTTATCTTTCATTTTCTTTAAAGTAAAGAATGTGACTTAGTACATATATATAATCTAATGTCTTGTAAGTTGGTTAGACAAAAAACGTTTGGATTAGAAAGAGGCAGGTTTTTTAGTCTTGGTTTGATCACAATACCCTAGAACAGTGTAACTGGATTCCGAAAAATCCAAACCACAAGGCATCGATGTATTTTGATGTTTTCTTTTTTTATGATTTTTTCATGTAGTGTCCGATTACATATATTTTTCTAAATCAACAGAAAAGTGCATTATTAACATAATGGGATACTTTCAAAAACAGATCGAATTCTATAACTAATACTACTCCTTTTTTAGTCCTTTTCATTTTCAGAATCATTAATTCAAATTTCAAGATGTCTGACGAAAATGTCAGTAGTTTTAAAGATGCCAATGAAAAACTTATTCGAGATTTCAAAGGTGAAATTGACAAATTAAATAGAGACATACCAGAAGAAGCTAGAGATTGGATCAAAGAAAAACTTGCAAATGGACCATTTAAAAATTTTTATCAATATGTCGATCAACATGAAAACGAAGTTGTTCAAATAGATTATAATTTTTCGGGGAAAAAGCCAGACAAAACAGAATGGCGATTACGATTAACGATCAATGCAGATATGCCAAATAAAGCAAGAAATCAAAAAGCACATTTTGGTGGTGAAGTTTATTTGAACAATGATAGAAAAGCAAATATTCATAAATGGCTTCCCGACGGTATGCTAAAAATTGGAAGACCAACTGAAAGAGGTGTTGAACTCGAAAAATATCCGTCAGCTCCAGAAGAGCACAAAAATTTTCAATTTGGAGGTACTGCTAACTGGACTAGCGAATCATCTAAATATCCTCTGACGAAATTTTAACAACGTAGTAACTATTGTCTTACGTGATGTTTATTTTTTATCTAATCAAGATCTTTTTTAAATAAAACTGGATTGCAATAGATTATTTGTTGAGCTAATAGACGAAACTATTGGATTTCTGAATTAGGTTCAACATCAATCTAATTCTGGAAACAACACGATTTTTCAAGTTTTAGAAACTTCACACATTCACCACGATTAGTTCACGGCATATTTTATAAAGGTGATAACAAAAAAATAGTTTATATTTCCTCATTTACTCCGACTTGCTCAGTATTCAAATTCTTTATTATATTGAGTAATGCTTCTCATTAAAATAATATCGTGTACATGAGGATAGTGTACATGAGGATGTGGGTGTCTTTTCTTCTCTATCATCTTCACCCACACTCTCTTGTTTTCTTGTTGATTTAAATAAAAAATAAAAAAAACTATAAACAACAAAAAATTGTCCTACAAGATATGTCATATTCGAGTATGAATCTGAAAATAAATTGATCAAAATAATACATAATTCTTTAACGAAGAGATAAACATAAGATTTGAAATAAGTCTGTCTTAATCTATTCCTCTTCATCATAAGTCAATAACTAATCTAAGATGATTCATTCGATACCTGAATTTTACAAAATCCAATCGCTTGATACGATAAAATATATAGTTCAACTTTGTCACGTAAAGAAATGCTTATAAATAGTGTTTATTAACCTTTTTACATTAGGAACTATTATGAGTAACGTTGGATAATATTACAAAACTCACTAAATACTGTTTATTAGTAAAAAAATGATTCATATATTTGTTCAATATTATTACCTAGAAGATGTTGTAAGTGATATTGATTAAATATTAGTATTGCTCAAAATAAATTCACTACAATAATATCAAAACTGCTTTCAATGTTCGTATGATTATTTTATTTGTAATGTGTTTAATTATATTAAGAGAGAAAAATCTCTATAATATTAAAATTACTGATTGTTGCTATGTTTTTTGCAATGACATCATTGTGTTGACTAATTCAATATAAAGATAAAAACAAAACACATACTTATCTATGACTCAAATTGTATTTCTTGTTTCTAGGTAAATATCAGAAGGATGACCAAAAAACATTACATTTCGTCTTAATACGTAAAAGAAATCGTATGATCAAAATAAAATATACATCTGACTAATTTTGAAACGAGATATCCAAAGTAAATATTCATCAACACAAAAATAAGCCTATATATAGAATAAATGAAGCAGTTAAATCTCTGATAACAACAATTTGAATTTATATTAAAAACAAACTATGTGGTTAACTACTATCTTTTGCGTACTCATACCGTTCTTAGTAATTGAAAAGAGTAACGGAATTACAAGTCCTATTCAAACGTTTACTAGCTACAGATATTCAACTGAACTTCAAAATAATGTAGCTGATCTTTGGTGGACAGTGGATGAAACAAAACAAGAGATTACGTTTGAATTACACGTGAAAACATTAGGATGGATTGCTTTGGGTATTAGTCCAGGTAAATTATTTTCTTAAAGTAGACATCAATCATTATTATATCGTATTTAGCTGGTGGAATGAAAGGTGCTGATATTGGACTTGGATGGATTGATCAATCAGGTCAAGTTCATTTTCAAGTATATAATCATAATCATCATTTTGATATCTAATCATAATTTCATCTATTTGTCAATTCTTAGGATCGACATGCATATAATAATTCACGACCAGTCGTTGATACTACAACAACTGATTGGTTTGCACTTCAAGGTCGTGAACAAAATGGATGGACAGCAATTCAATTTAAACGTTTACTTGATACTTGTGATACAATGGATGTTCCAATTAAATCCGGTACAAATATTCTTATTTTTGCTTACGGTCTTGAAGATCCCGATATGTCGACACCAAATGGTATGATTTACTATCATGATAATCGACGAGGTTCACGCATAATTCCACTACGATCGTATGGTAATCCATCACCTGACGAGAAATTTGCTGAACTTGATTATTTCGACTTTCAATTGAAAGATGTTCGTAATTTTATTATTATTTATTCTTCAATTTTTGTTCTATTTCATATTTTAGTATATCGTACCATCAACTGATACTACATATCATTGTAAAATCTACAAAATACCAGAACATCTGAAACAACGAAGACATGCAGTTGCTGTATGATTTTTTCAAATTTTTAGTTTACGTGTATAATAAATTACATATTTTAGCATAAGACAATCATTGATTCAGCTAATGTAGATATTGTTCATCATTTGTTGATGTATGAATGTAATCCTACAGCTATATTTGATGATAATAATTTACCAGATGGTGAGTGTGATCAAATTTATAGACAAGTTCAGGAATGCTCAGCGAATATTGCAACTGGGTGGGCTGTTGGTGGTGATAGAGTAAATTTTTACTAATAATCTTATAATAGAAATAATTATGTTTTTTTTTATAATAGATTGTAGAATTTCCAGAGATCGCTGGTTATCCAGTTGGAGGTGATTTTGAAATCAAATATTATATGGTACAAATGCATTATGATAATCCAAAGAAAATGTCAAGTATAAAATATTATCAAATTTAGATTGAGACATCGGAATAATATCGAATTTTCTTTAGATCGTCGTGATAGTTCTGGTATTCGATTCTATCTTGGAAAAGAACTTCGTGAACAAGAACTCGGTTATCTCACACTTGGAGCAGATTCAAATGCTGGTGGTATTGCTATTCCACCAGGTGCTGATCGATTTATTATTGATTCATATTGCCCAGCTAGTGCAACAAATGTATAATATAAACAATTATTTTTTCTGTAAAATTCTATTGATCTGTTTTATAGCGATTTCCTAAATCAGGAATAACAGTTACGACAGCTTTTCCACATACACATTTACAAGGTAAAATAAGAATATCTTATTTCTATAATGTTTTAACCATATTTATTAAAGGTGCAAGTGTATGGACGAAGATAATTCGAGATAAAAAAGCTGTGGATTATTTATTCAATGGTGAATCATATGATTTTAATTTTCAATTTGAAAATCGTCTTCCAAAACCAGTTCAATTATATCCAGTAAGTTTTCTTCTATCTATTCTATTATGTTTTTTTGATCTCATATTATAAAAATTCTTATAGGGAGATGAATTTGCTACTCGATGTGTTTACAATACAATGAATAAAGATGAAATCACTCTAGTAAAATAATTTTTTTAAAGATTATTTTGTTTTATAAATAGAAATATTATCTAGGGTGGTGAAAGAACAAAAGATGAAATGTGCTTACATATGTTTACTTATTATCCTCGAATGAATAATTTCTATGGTTGTATGAACACTAATTCTCAGAACGCATGGAAGCAAGCCATGAATGTTACGGAGTAAATATATTTGTATATGTATTTTCCTCAACTGAAAATAATTTTTTTTCTTTCTTATTTAAAGACCAATTGAGGATTATATGAAATTTCAACAATGGTTAAGAGATTTAAAATGGACACCAGAATCCATAAACAAATGGCAAGAATTTTATGATAATGCTCCACGTCTTCTTATTGCTGGTGGTGCAGGCAATTTTACTTATGAAGAACTACCGAGATTACCAGAATATATTGATTTAAAACCACAAGAATGTAAAAAAGATATTTCAAGCAAAGGTATTCATGAAACATCATTTATTTCTTTGACAATTATTTCATTTTTAATGACATTTATAACAAATTTTTTTATAATACAATAAATATTGTTAAATAAACTACATATTAGAAATCTCAAAGAAAGAATATACGTAGATCATGTTGACTAATCTTTCAAGTGGTAAAATAATCTGAAAGAACAAAAAATAGTTTTCTTTAAAGATTACTGATATAATATCTTGTATGGACTAAGAGCAAGATTATTTCATTATCTTAAGTCGATATTTTTCGAAATGTATGGCATAGATATTTATTTTATGAAGTATATGTCTACAAATATCTATGATAAGATTGTTTTGTTATCGATTAAAATTATTCTGTTAAATAAAATAAATATGTACGTCAATTGTTAAGTAAATATCATATACATCAATAAATATTATAAAAATAAAATCGTACATGAGTATTATTATTATTTATTCATAGATAATCTACATTTTTTCTGCGTGTTTAAAATGATTAGGCTGATTATCTCTAAATTGATGACCTTATATTAAAAAGAAAACATACTCAAATGTTTCTGTTAACATTTAATAGGTTAAAATTCGCCCTTTGACAGAAAGAGTTTCATCCTCATTTATTAAATCTTGCTGTTAACGAAAATGACTAAGAGATCTTTCTAATATTTTTCTTCAAAACACTATAGTTTTACCTAGAAAAATATTTCTTTTATGGTCATTCACATTCAATAACTAACTTTAATCAGTAATATTCAAGGTCATTATGAATATTATTGTAATTATTAATTATGTTTAATTATATTCATACATGCACATGTTATTTCCTGTTAGTAGTACGTGAAACAAAAATACAAAGAAAAGTCTTCACACAGTATGACATAAGTTATACAGATATTGACAATAATCAGATTAACATAAACAACGCTCATTTATTTTAGTTAAAATGAATAGATTGACCGAAATAATTTATAATTCTTTTCAAAATAACGGAGATGAGTGTCGATTTCAATCGATCATTTATTTCTAAATTCCTCATTACATTGAAGTTTTTTACAGTAAGTAATAGAGTATTGATATTAATGATGTATAGAATATTTGTATAAATAAGATATAAGATAATTTTGCTAATATTCGATTGTAATGAGGGCAACCTAGAACATACTATTTACAAAAATAAACCATGCTTAAACAGATATCATTTTGCTTTAGATAATAAGTTAGTCTGTTAAGTAATTTGTCAAACATCATTATATATGCATCATAGATTATGTTTGAAACAACGATATTAATTGGAATTTTACATCGTAATACAAAGAGTTATTTGAAATTGATATTCATATAGTATTATAAGAAAATAACCTGTAGATCTAATACAAACATCGATGCACTATATAATTTAATGTATATTGAAAAATATTTGTTCTGATGAGATGTGTATGCTATTAGATTCATGCATTGTTTAGTTTCAAGTATACTTATGAGAATAACAAGTAAATACTTTGTCTTTGAAATCTATTCATTCTTTTCTTAAAACATTTACAATTATTAAACTTCGGAAGGAATCTTGAACACTGAATTAGAAAATGATATCTAATTAAAAAGTCCAATTAGTAAATATATTGAATGAAAATATTTTTCGAAAAGTAGTCTAGGTTTTTTTAAGACAAAAACAAAATTAAACAGATCTTAGATATAAATGGCAATATTATTAATGAGAACAGTTTATTTAACTTTAGAAGAACCGACTTTTTTTTTGTTTACATAAAAGATGAATGATATTGTCAGAATTCATTATAATCCAGACATGATGAATTATATATTTGTCACATTCAGTCTTGTTTATAAAAAGAAAAGTTTTGTCAATTAAATATTTTCCTAGACAAAGAATTGGTTATGAAATAATCAAAAGCCATTATATATCTTTTGTTTGATATATAAAATCATACAGATAAAAACTTACTTCCTCAAAAGAGTTAAGCTAATAATCTGAAATGTCTATAAAAATTTGTTAGATAATTAACTTTATATACATTTTGTTCCTTATAAATGCAAAACATTATGAAAAAAGAAATATTCTTATGTTGATTAGTGGAAGAGTCAAAGAGAACAAAACGTATCATGTCTTCGTCTTCTCTGCAGTCAGTTTAAAATATCTTATGTCATGTCTAAGATAAGATGAGCAAGGGAGAGCATTATCTTTTTCCCCTCATTTGAGCTCATACCACTGTAGCCTGTAGTTAGGAAAGAAATAAGTAATATATAAAAAATTCATGTAAAATACTTCTTTTTTTGTATTATTCATTTTTATTTTTAAAGACGATGACGATTTATTTATAAATATACTCTAATGGATATATCATCAATATTTTATCTAATTCATTGTTAATAATAGAACTATATCTCTTTTTTACCGTGAAATTAATGACGTAAGCAAAAAACTATCTATTCATCATAGTGAAATTAAAAATAAACCATATATTTAATTGATTTGATTCATCGAGTAACAAAAGAAAAACTATATTTTGCTCTTGCATTCTTTTATTACATCTGTTTTATTTCGAACTATTATTATATAGCTAGAAACTAGTCTTGTTTTCTTCATCTTCTATTTATATACAAAGAAAACCGGAGCAAAGCATTTTTTTCTAACCTTTCAGAACATAAATATATATATATATGTATTTGTTTGTTTCGAGTTATTCTATAATCCAGGCTCGTATAGCACGCTAACATTAGAAATAGTTAGTAGTTCAATTCACTGGATCATTACATGTATAAAAATAGAGAAATAATTCTGCTCTCTTTCTCTCTCTCTCTTACACTTATTACTTTTCCTTTTCCTGATGCTTGACTAAAGAGCACGATGCCGACAAAGATCGTGCATGATAGAGAAAACTAACGCTACTTGATCATGTTCTATCAGGTAAAATGAGTGAATGTTCTTGAATTTTTTATGAAATGCAAACATTATCATGGTAGCAATTACAACTTTAATGTTTAGAAAGTAAGATTAACAATTACTGACTATACTACATGTAATATTTGATCACGTTATAGTCTACTAATGATGCAAGACAACACTGTCTATAGGAGAGAGAATCTACATTCGTTTGCTTGTTTCTTATGTAAAAAAAAGAAAGAACGTCTTTCTCTCTGTTTGGGATTCTTTTTTTTATCGTTGTCGTTCTCGATTGTTTTGTATCGTTGTATGTGTATGCAGAAGGCATTGTGTTGTTTTGATACCAGCGAGGAGGGCGTTAGCAAGCGCACAGCTTGCTCTTCTTCTTCTGTGTCTCTTGTTTTTTTTCGCAAAAAAAAGAGAGAAGAAAGAAGAAGCAGTGCGACATATAACGGGTCGGCGAGTAACAAGTAAATAAGACGACAAGACTGTAGAACCGTAAAGATTTGGGATGTATTAATATTATGGATAACAATATTTTAGGAAACGGTTAAAAAAAAAGTATAATGATATAGTTTATATTTAATTTGATAGACATTCATTAGTCTAATACAAGTGTCAAATTTATTCAAGTGGTAAGTGATAATGAAGTGCAGGCACATGTTTTAATAACAATACGACTCATTTTACTTGTAATTTCATATTTTTATGCACTTGCTTGATGTATAGTTCTTGCGGGGAGATAAAAAGGTAATTTTTTTTATCTTAGATGTATTCTATTGTAGTTTAAAAAGGGAGGCGAAATTATTTCTTTCGATAACTGGCATGTCCAATTATATATCTGACTTTGCTATATTATCTTAAGTAAGCACTTTTATCCCATTAGTCGCTCGATAGGAATGATATATCTATCTATATATATATATAATCTGTCTAGTTGTTTCTACGTACTTACAGATGAATATATAGGTTTTACATATTTCCGAAATATTTCATTCTAGGTTACAAAATTATAAAGTTTGAATTTGAACGGATGACTCTATATAATTTTCTGTATGTTAGATGTCCTAGTTCTTTAGATCTATTATCTAAATTATATACTGTAACATGGCATAGAAAATCTTTTGCTTAATTATGATGATAAGATACATTTTGTGCATGGACAAAAGGATGTACGAATGATATCATGCAGCTTTTTTTCCTTCTTAAAACATGTTTTCCGTTTTTTCCTTAATGTTTAAGTTCTTTGTCATGAAATCTATATTTATAGATACTGCTTCGAATTACATTTCTTTTTTTATAGATTCATATAGTATGATTATTAGTTTATTTATATTAGTATAAAAATAAGGCAAACATAAATCAAAGTAGTATATCAAACGATAGAATTACTCTTTCTACTCGAACAACCATATCTAATTTATCAAGAGATATAAGCTCAAAAATGTAAAAAAAAGGCTTTTGTTTAGTTTTCTATTTATAGATTTGAATAGAGAAACAAATAAAACAAACGATAAATTAATTATCATATATTCAAATGTTTACAAATTTATTTATATAAAAACAAATGATAATCACCATCAATAAAAGATGGACTAATATTATGAATGAATTGGATTAAACAAGGACAATGAATGTCATCACAAAAAAAAGTCCAACAACAACAACTGCTGCCACTTCGGGCACATCTTATCTTTCAATGATGACATCTAATGTTGCCAATAATAATAATAATAATAATAATATCAATAATAACACTATAAAACGACGTGAAAGTTCAATGGGCGAAGATTCAGTAAGTAACACACACACAAAAAAAACTTCTATATCAATATTTATTTTGTACAAATTACATGAGAAATAGAAGCAAAAAGTGATCTATAGACTTTTGACATTTCATCATGAACAAAAAGTCAAAAGTTAATTTCCGTCATATGTATCGGATTTTATTCAATATGCAACCATTGATTCTTTTTCTCTCTCTTTCTATTAAAAATATATATATATATATATATTTGTTTAAAAAAAATCGATCATATTTATCAATATTAGATAAGAAATATTTAATAGGCACAATAATATTATTAAAAGTACTTGAATTCTTTGATTGTTTGTTTTGCTCGTCTAGTTCCTAAATCATTTATTCTGATTGAATGAACAGTAGTAGTAGTACTACTATCACCATATATGTGAATCAAGGATGTGCGTCAGTTCTTCCGGATTTTCTATCATTCTATCAATGAGCATGCACAACACGACAAGATTAAATCACGCGCATCCGTCGTATTTTTTTTTTGTTATTTTGATTTCTCTAAATCGATCGTTTGAATTGCCATCATTGATATGCGATATTTTTTGTTTTGAGTTCTTAGTTTGTTTTATTTATCATACTTGTAAAAGATCAATAGTCGTTCTTTATTCTGTTGTTTTTGAAAAATGCGAAGGCTATATATGTATACATATGACGTCGTGTCTCGCATCTTTTTTTTTCTTCTTATTATTATTGATGATGGGTAGATAGATAGATAGATAGATAGATAGATAGAATAGAAAGCGACTGTGTGTATATATCCATCTTAAGACACTACTCGTACTGACAACAACAATAAATGTCACATCATATCGAAAAACGTATCAATTGAATAGAAAAGACAACAGCAAAGAAAAAAATAGTTTTCTTTTTTTCGTTTCGTCATTCTCTAAATGACGGAGAAATTAAACAGCTGTCTACTCGATTAAAATCTCAATGATTATTGATATTACTATTTTAACTACGCATTAATGACATCATATGAAAAAAAGTATTTTTTTTTTCTATGACAATTAACATAGTTCGTACGTAGAAAAGAGAATTATCCTATTATAATTTATTGAGAGAAAAATAAATAATTTGAAGTATTATTCATATTGAGTAATACTTCAATAGTACATGAAAAACAAAATTACACTTAATGTACTTTTCGAAATGACGAATTATATATGTATATAAAATAAGATTAATCTATTAGTAGTATTGAACGAATTATTTTGTATGATGTTGAAATAGTATCACTTCATTTCCAAAAAAAATGTTCTATATTTCAATGTCATTTTACTCAATCATAATTTACAGCAAGTATTTTAATTGTATTGATGCAATTATATATCATTAACAAACATATACGTCATGAACAATTATAGAATAAAAAAATTATGAAAATATACTTCAAAACCATGTCTATCTATGATGTTCATTATTAACAGAATGACGATCATATCTCACGCATATCATCCATCATACGCGTATTTCCTTTTTTTCTTTTCTAAATTTATCCTGTTCTTATTATCAGGTTGTTAATAATGACATTGACACCTACAGATATAATTCTAATTTGTTTGATTCACATGAGAAAATATGCATTGCACTATGTTTACTTGAAAGTTTATGATTAGATATTGTGTCGCCTTCAAAGCAAGGTCTAAATATTTCATATATCTATATCTATATATATATGAATATTATATACACATTTATATTGTGATCGATAATGACAACAATATGAATGTGTATAAAAGAACAACCTATTTCTTTCCAACTGATAATTTATATCGGAACAAAAAAAAATAACATACACCCACATATGATGGACCAGATGTGATCTTTGAGTCAGGCATTTGAATAGAATGCTGTGCATTTTTATTCGTTTGAAACGTGATAGAATATTTACGCGTGGGTTAACACCAGTTGTTGGCCTTAATGTATATATATATATTATAATGTTATGTCAATCACATGAACACATTCATTTAGTTTTTAATACCTATTAAAAATAGAATTTTCTTTTTATATTTTTTTTCTTCTTGTTAATAATATGAACTTCTTCTTCTTCTTCTTCTGCTTCTCCTTTTTCTTCGTTGCCGTTTTGCGTCATTTGTTCAATAACATGTAATGATTTCTTATTGACGTCACTAGTACAATTCTAGCTAACGGGAGAAACGAAAGACCTTGTTCGCTCGCCTTAGCGTGTACGCGAGTGTAAGCAAAATGCGATGATTTCTTTCTATTGATGGGCTTACATGTGACGTCGATTGTCCGTCGCGCGGTCGATGATGACGTCGTCATCGTCATCAACTCAAGAGAATGAGCGTATAAAAGAAGATATATACATGCGCGTTTAGGCTATATTCGAGTACTGAAGCAAGAGATAGCTTTCTTAGCCAATAATCATCATTGAAGAAAGAAAGAAGGAAAGGAAGGAAGAACAGAACTATGACGTCAAAGTGATGTATTCGTTGTCTCATCTAATATAATCGTATCTTCATTTCAGACAAAGTGTGTATGTACGATATACACGTATATATCTCATAGATCTTTATATCTGTTATCTATTCTTAAGTTAGATTTATTTAATCTTTATTTTTATGTTTTCTATCTAATAGGGTGTTCATATAGATCACGATAGTACAGGAAAAAATCTTCGTTCATCAATAACTAGTACAACAAACGTTGTTCCTTCATTATCATCATCATCTATTTCGAAAACAACCGGCACAACGACGGCGCCTAATCCCCGTATCGGAACTACTTCTACAACGATGGTCGTATCATCAACACTTGTTCCTCCCACTGTTGATGCAAAACCATCCTCATCATCATCATCATCATCATCGACACTTCAACTTCGTAAAGATTCGAATGCATCTAGTTCAGGTGCTTTTTCAGATGGATCACGATCATTTGGACAAGAAGAAAATTCTTCTGATTCAATATTCAGTCATACATCACCATCATCACATTTAGTTATTAAATGTAATGTAAGTCCAACAAATTCAATTGCAACACCTTCAGTTACATTAACACCACGCGTTAAAGTAACTGTTCAACAACCATCAATAACAAGTCGACCATCACGATTTGATTCTTCACCTGACAATATAAAAACTCCATCATCATCACATTTAAAAACTCCAACATCAAATGCATTACCTATAATGACAACAAGTACAACATCAAGTGCACCAGAATTTTCTTTAAGTGGTGCATCTAGTATAGATGATTCGGATGATTTAGCATTATATGATCAATATTTATTATCATCACATGGTAGACAATCAAATCCTTCACCTGAACTTCGTAAAAAAACATTTGATGATTGGATTAAATTCGAACAAAGATATTTACCACGAAGTAAAAGTGAAATCAATACTGGACCAACTGAACAATCACAACAACAACAACAAATACATACTAGTCAAATAATAAAAATGGTTAGTAAATAAGAAGAAAATATTTAATTAATTTTCTTTATTCATAGATAATTTCTAATTGAAAATAAATTGTCTCATTACTAAGATGAAGAATGATGTGACATATTTTGCTTTATAATAATCAATAAATATAGAAGAAGAAGAAGAAAAGAACTAAGAAACCATCTGAGGGATAATAATCATTATAAACTATTGCGACGTTCTTCTTCTTCTTTTATATAGGTTTTACATAGACATTGTGCCGTATACATATTTCTTTCATTTTATATTTACAAAGTATATCAATCGATTACATGTGTTAACTTCCTTTGAGACCTCTCTTGTTTTCTAACCAAGTTTTTCATCTAATCGTGTGTGTCCCCCCCCCCCTACGTCTCTATAATTTTTTAATTCGCTTCTGTAGAGAGAACAAGAAACAGAGAGAGAGAGACAGAGACATATAGGGTGTAGTATGCCGTTTGTTGTTTTTTACATGCAAACGCGAGCAAGCCGACAGTCTTCTGCATTATAGTAGTAGTACTTCTTTTCTTTTTCTTCTTTTGCATCGTCGCCATCGCCATTTCATATTCACACAGCTACACATACATCATACAAATGATCAGTAGTTGAGAGTTGACTGATAGACATTTGTCGTCGCAGGTCGACGTTTGTAGTAGTTATATGTTTATTCATTTTGTCTCATACTGTGTGCTGGAAACACACTTAATTTTAAAAATGTCATATTTACTTCGTTTTAATCGAACACGTTCAGCAACAACAATTAATCAACTTAAACCATTAAAAACTATTCGTTCACGTAGTCCAGATGATGTTTTACATCGAGAAAAGGTATTATAATATGTTATATACTAAGTCAATAACAAATACTTCATAAGATATAATCTTCATTTCCGATTATTAGTTTTCTTTGCTATTTAATCTCGTATAAGACGAATCTATTAGATATTTATAAGATCTCGCATTTTCTCTTCTTTTTGCTTTCAGTTTTATTAAATATGTTTATTCTTTATTAAATATAAAGTTCAGGTGAAACTGTAAATAATTAGAGTCCTTTCATGCTTGACATGATTTTAAAGTATATACCGATATTTCCGTTTATATCGAAAGAAACTATTAATTGCTTTTTTTTTCTCTTTCATCATACTAAATGATTTTATACTTAGGAACCAACATCATACGTCAGTGAAGACGACGATTCAAATAGTCGTGTATCCGCTACAAGTAATTCATCAGATATGTCAAAAAAGAAAAAATCTAAAGCAGCATTAATGTAGATATTTTTTTTGATTGTTTATATGTTTTCTATGTTATTATTATATATTATTAGAGCAAAAGATTTTAAATCTCGTGCAGCAAATTTAATACGACGACGTACAACTGAAGCAACTTTATCAGAAAAAAGTCTTATACCATCACGTGAAGATGTTCAGTCATGGGAACAATCATTTGATGCACTTTTACGACATCGATGTAAAATAAAAAATAATGAATTATAAATTAATAAACTATTTAATTTCTTTAGATGGACAAGCTTTATTTCGTGCTTTTCTACGTACTGAATTTAGTGAAGAAAATTTAGAATTTTGGCTTGCATGTGATGATTTTCGTTCATGTAAAGAACCTAAACGATCAACAAAAGCAAAAAAAGTCTATATGGATTTTATTGCGATCGGTGCACCAAAACAGGTATAATCTCTTACTTTCATTAATGAAAAAAAGACTTATAATATATAATGAAAAATATTCTAGGTAAATCTTGATACCGAAACACGTATGTCAACTATAGCTAATATTGATAATCCACCAATGGATACATTTGATCGAGCCCAAAGACGTATTCAAGGTTTAATGGAAAAAGATTCTTATCAACGTTTTCTTAAATCAGAATTATATATTAATTTATTACGTCGTACAACATATCCAATTCAACGACGAACAACAACTGAATTAACATCCAAATCATCTTGACAAAAGATACATATATATATATTAATGTATACATATAAATCACCTGCTAGTTCAGGATGTCTTTCTTCCATCATTATATATTATTTGACACTGGTTGTCAATATTTGAAACAGAAAAAAATAACCGATATATAGACGATGTCTGACTGTATATCTCTAGTCAGAACTTTATGTGTGTGTGTGTGTGTTTCTTACGCAAAAAGGAAACAAAATATGCCTCGATGGTTATCTCGTTGTGCAAAAAAAAAAGAAGTTTTTTTACTTGTGCGTGTATATGTGTGTGTGTGTGTGTGTATATGGGAACAGAACACAGAGACGGATGACAGAAAAGAAAAACATACGATTAATTGATTAGCAAATAAGCACTATGCAAAATGACATACTTGAGATTTATATGTGAAAACATGACATCGAGAATGAATATTCGTTAAATCAATAAAAAGGAAATACGAGTTTATTATACGAAAAAATAAAATCTTCAAGGTCATTTACTAGTCGATAGAGAGAGAGAAAGAGAAAGGAAGAACTCTTTAACTTTGTTTTATAATTAATTAAATAAAAAAAGACATCTGGATTTTATTGAATTCTACCTGTAAATTGTCAGAATTCATTAATAAATAATTCCATGTCATTAAGTATAGACTCGTAAATGAAGAAATAATTAATCAGACTAAACATAAAAGAAAGAAAAATCTTAGTTAATGTTGGTATTATTGTATCAACTTATTTTTTGCTTTAATATGGGGATTTAACAATAATGATTGAGAAATATTGTTTTCATGTCAATTTGTCTTATTATCGTTCACCAAAAAAAAAATCTCATTTATTACAATTAATACTAAGACTCACGTATTTTCTATATATATACTTTAGTTCGAAAGTTGATTATAAATGTATGGTAGTTTTTCATAAAGAATAGAAAATAATTGATATAGAATATATTATTTTTAATGTCGGAACTCAATGAATTCTATTTATATAGTGGATCTACTCCTTCGGGTTTCCGACTAGTTCAATTTACAACTATTTGTTATACAAGGGAAATCATCATTATTCAAATAGAACTAAAAAATATAACGATTTCCTTGTTCTAGAAATTCATTGTCAATGATCATGATAATAATTACCAGTTTCTCTTCCGAAATAAAGAGAAAAAATTGTTAGAAAACAAATGATATTAATTCTATTGAAATAAGAAGAAAGACAATTTTAGTAACTCTTTACTTTTGCATGAATATTTTAATAAAATATTTCATTCATTTAATACGTTAGAATTCATCGATGAATATATGTCATCAGAAAATATTAATTTATTATGAGTAGAGAAACATTGATTGCTATTGATGAAAATGAATCATTAAAAATCTCTAATTTCTTAGGTTTCAAAGTCAATAACACAATTGATATATTTCATAAATATTCACAGCTTTATTATCAAATAATATTTTAGGAATACAGACGAACGTTTGTTCGTTAAAATTATATTTAGTTGTTAAAACAATCAGAAAATTTTTATTCGATCATTGTTTTATACTTGACAAAAACGATATATTCTAATACGTGAGGATCGCACTAATACAAAGAGTACAGAACATAGATTTGATGTAAAATATTTTATTATTAATACAAACAAAAATTAATGTATTTCTATCACGTATATTGTTTTTTTTTCTTCTTACTAAGCAAGTCATACGCATGTTATTCAATAGTTTCTACACATATTGATCAAGGGTGTGGTCTATGTAATGATGATGATTATTTATTTGTAGTAATTATCTTGATGAACAAATTTTGATGTGTATATAAATATCCCATTTATGTAGTTGTTTTCGCTAATGTCAATGAAAAGGCCTTACACATACATATTTCTAAGTTTTTATCCTTGAACAACAACGTGATTAAGGACACAACGAAAAGACACCCAGAATTTGTCTTTTCTCTCTTACATAAGAAAAGCGAAAAAAATCCTGTTTCACCGACTATTTCGTGTTGTGCCAAGCATAACAACACGTTCCTATTTTTCTTTCGCTCGTCGTTCTTGATAAATGAATATCGATGTTGTCTGTCTTATTTTCATAATAACATATTCAATAACGCAAGGAAAATAAAAGTAACGTCGAAGAGAAAACTTCAAAAAGGATATGAATATTCTGTAGGAGGATCGATATGGTATTCATTTATATGCAAGTCAATTTCTTCAAATAATTTCACCCCAATCATATCGACGTTTTGTTCACCAATATACATAATACAATTTCAATCATAGCTAACAAATCCAGTAACGTTGTGAAAGCAGAGCTAGTATCTGCTGACGCAATGAATACGACTACACGTCATTATCATAACATGCATAGGATAGAAAATGTCCTTGTGGTTTGGTTGGACGGCAGTATTGATCCTGTTTGTGGTGATTGTCAAGAAACCATCACACAATTACGACATATTGTTAATAACATTCATACATATACAGATAGTGATCAATGTGTGGATTTCATCCAAACTGTTACTGACAACAAAATATGTGTAATTATTTCTGGTGCACTTGGCCAACATGTTGTACCTTGTGTACATGGTATGTCACAAGTGGATTCCATTTTTATTTTTTGCAGTAATCAAAAATGGCATGAACAATGGGCAAAATCATGGCGTAAAATCAAAGGTGTCTATACACAATTACCAGTAATGTGTGAAGCTATCAAATATGCAGTTAAACAATGTGAACAAAGTACTATATCACTTAGTTTTATACCGAAAGATATCGGTGATGTATCTACTATAACAATAGATCGATTAGATCCTTCTTTTTTGTATACTCAAATCCTGAAAGAAATATTATTATCAATTAACTTCGAAGAAAAACATGTTAAAAAATTTGCTAATTATTGTCGTGATATATTTGGTGATAATCCACATGAATTAGACAATATTGCAAAATTAGAACAAAAATATTTTGATAATACGCCTATTTGGTGGTATACCTATGATTGTTTCTTATATCCTATGCTCAATCGTATTTTAAGACTAATGGATGTGGACATTATATTTCATACGAGCTTCTTTATTGTTGATCTTCATCGAGATATTCAACGTTTACATTTAAAACAATATTTTGGTCATGATTATAATAAAACTTTTATGGTCTATCGTGGACAAGGAATGTCAAAAAAAGATTTTGAACAAATATCAAATACGAAAGATGGTTTAATGTCATTTAATAATTTTTTATTTACGAATAAAAATCCACAAGTTTGTCTACGGTTTGCAGATGAAGCTACAAAAAATCCTGATTTAGTACCAGTTCTCTTCGTTATGACCATTGATCCTACTCAATCAACAGTTCCATTTGCGTCTATTAGTGAAACCAGTTTTCATCGTACCAAAGATGAAGTTCTCTTCTCTATACGTTCCGTTTTTCGCATTAATGATATTAAGCCAATGAATGAAAATAATCTTATACACGAAATACATTTGACACTTATTGGTGACAATGATAAAGATTTACGAGCACTCAATAATCGTATTCGAGAAGAAACCTTTCCTGAAGAAGAAGGATGGTATAGATTAGGTGTTGTACTTATTAAAATGGGTCAATATGATAAAGCTGAAGGATTCTATGAATTTCTACTTGGTCAGACAACGCATGAGAATGATAAAGCATTTATCTATCATGAACTTGGAAGAATTAAATACAATTTAAAAGATTATCAAAAAGCATTAATAAATTATGAAAAATCACTTGAAATTAAACAAAAAAATCTTCCTCCAAATCATGCGGATTTCGCTAATCTTTACAATAATATTGGTTTAGTGTATAAACACGAGGGTAATTATTCCGAAGCACTTTCATCTCATAAGAAAGCCGTTGAAATTCAAAAACTAGCACTCTCTTCTCAACATCTGGATTTAAGTACTTCTTACAGTAATATTGGCAATGTATATGACAGCATGGGTAATTATTTAAAAGCACTTTCATATCATGAGAAAGCCCTTAAAATTCGACAAAAAGCTCTTCCACCCAATCATCCAACATTAGCTTATTCCTACAATAATATGGGATTAACATATGACAATATGGGTTATTATTCACAAGCACTTTCATCTCATGAAAAAGCTCTTGCAATTCGACAAGAAGCACTTCCTCCAAACCATCCTGATTTAGCATCATCTTATAATAACATCGGTAATGCATATGATAATCTAGGTGATCATGCAAAAGCACTCAAGGCATACGAAAAATCACTGGAACTTATCCAGGAATCACTTCCTCCAAATCATCCTGATTTAGGTAGGTCATATTACAATATAGGTTTGGTATATCAAAATATGGGTAACTTCTTGAAAGCATATGCATTCTATGATCGAGCCGTTGAAATTGGACAAGAATCGTTGCCACCAGAACATCCACATCTTCAATTGTACAAAAAAAATTTTGAAAACATGAAACAGAAATTTCATTAATTGTATTTGTTATTTTTTAGAAAGAAAAATAAAACTTTTTAATAGGTAAAATATAACAAATGAACAGTAATATCTATTAACATGCAATTGACGAATACATAAGAAACAGAATAAAAGAATTAGGATACAACTTTAGTAGCGAATTTTACTACTCAAAAAATTCGATTCAAACGAATTGTTAAACTATGAGAAATAAAAATTAATCATAGGATTGTATGCATATACTTGAGATTGGTAATAGTCTGAAGACACATCAATTCATTTTCGTGTATAATGAAACCATCTAAAATAATTATTCTTATCAATTTCATAAATATGAAGAGTATCGCTACTTGTGTATCATTCAATTGTTTCATGTACTATCACATCAAGAAATTGTTAATATGATCCAAAGATCTCTATAAGAGATAGAATCAATTTGAATTCTTTGAAAGAATCAGTATTATGATCGTATAATGCTATTTGATGTAATATATCAATCGAAGTTTTTAACAAACAATATGTAAAATAATAATCAGATAATACAACAGTCAGTTTTACTTTCTATTGTATGTGATTCTACAATTTCTGATCATATGTAATAACTTCTTAATACTTGTCAATTTGATTGATTTATTCGATGTAATAAATGATTTAAAAGTTGCAAACAACTGATTCATATTTTCCATTCAGTTTCACATAAATTGTTTTTTTTTCTCGCCCATCTTCGTTTATACTATAGTTTTGCATATTTAATTATTATGATAATGACGTAAATAAGTACATTCTTCTGTACTGAATAGACTATTTCATAATTTGTTTGTTTGTCCGCGCTTGAATTGATCATGTGCTTCTTTTAATCAATTAGACATATGTATAATATAGTATGGATAATAATAGTAAGCATATTTATATCTTTTCAAAAGAAAATCTATGATATTTTCTTATAAAAATGAGTTAATCTAATTGAAATGATAATTTTTGATTATAATCGATCTTTTTTTATGAATCTAGTACTGAATATCATCCTGTTTTCCTATCAATTGTTCGCTCGGCAGAGTTCGCTGTTTGTTCTAATTAAATCGAATTGGTTAAAGAATGCACCATTAAAAAGAATATGCCAGACTCTCATTCAATTAGTTTGTTTTGTTCATTTTCTTCACAATTATAATACAAAATCATGTCTTCCATTTATTCAATCTACTCAAATATATAAATGTAAATCATCTTAATAAAAATGGAAACATTTACACGAACAACAACTACAATAATTTATAATGATACATATAATTCATCTGATCCAGCATTAATTCCAACAACTCCTTCAACAATTGAAGCTATACAAAATGAGATTATTGATTATTTTGAAACACATCGTGAACAAATTCCATTACTTGTTATTGTTTATTTATTAACAATAATATGGATACTTTATCTTATATTATATCATTCACGTATTCAAGGCATAATATTATCATATGTATTAAGACGATTTTATTTTAAAGAAGCAACACAAATAAAATTTGATTCATTTTCAATATCATTTATATCAGGCTCAATTATGTTTAGGAATTTACATTATACAACAGGAAGTTATTATATATTTGTTAAAGATGGTTGTTTAGTATTTCGTTATTGGTCAAAAACAAAAACAAAACCATTAATACGTTTAAAAATAAAATTATATCATCTTGATGTACAATTTTTTAGTCCAATACGTTCCAGTACATTTTCAGATACAACTAATCCAACAGATGATTTACAGCGAGGTTCAATAAATGGGTAAGAGATAATATTTAGAATTATTTTATTTTTTTGTAAATTAAATTTAATTATTTTAAATAGAATTTCAACTAAAGGTGATGATACACAAAGTGTAAATACAATTAAAAGTAATGAAGATGGTTTATTTGTTAAACGTCTTCGAAGTCTTTTTCCAGCAATTGAAATTAAAATTGAACATGTTAGTTAATCTTGTATAAATGAATTTAAAAAAATATAATAATTTCTTTTATTAAGGGTCGAATATCTGCTGGACATAATACATTACCTTATGGATTATTAATTCGTTTTAGTACAATAAATAGTACATTTACAAGTATATCACCATCAAAAAATGCACCACAAATTGATTTAATGACACTTATGTATAGTTTAAAATATCGAAATCTTCGTGTACAATTATATCCACTAAAAGCTTATATGGGGGAGTTACGTGAAATGTAAGAAAATTTGAATTATCTATTTTTGATTGGAATGATATAGAAAATAGAATTCGTTTAGATGTGCATTACTTGTATTTACAGTATAGATAATTAATGGATTTATTTTTCTTTTTAGTCCACTACCTATACCAACATCAAAACCAGGTGATAGTGGTATAGTTCAAGTATTTGAATGTCTTGATGGTGAACTTGAATATGAACAAGATGTACCTGGTAAAGTAATTGAACAACCAGAAGCTAGTGAACCTCCACCTGAAGTAGCATGGGAATTTCGAATTAAATGTCATAAAGAAGTAAAAATTGCATACAGTCCTTGGGCTGATAGACAAAGGTAAAACTTGAAATATGTATGTCTATACTCAAAGAAATGATTTTATTTATAGAGAAGCATTATGGCAATATTTTTTTCCAACATTTTTTGAAGATTATCCAGTAACACCTGAACCAACAGTAGGTCAAACACGAATATTTAAAACTGTACGTTTTAAATTATGGCTCGATTGTCCAACCATATTAGATCTTAATTTTATGCATAAAAAGGTTTGATCATTTATTTTCTATAATGAATAAATTCGTTGTCTTTGTTATAATAGAAACTTCATCAATTACAAGCTGAATTACGTGAACATGGTTCATATTTTGAAGCAACTTTTCCATTCTCAACTAATCCAGATGGTTTTGATACTTATTTATCGATGAATATTATACGTCCTGTTGTTCGTACTAATCTTTCATTTACTCAATTTATACAAGCTGATAAAATTGATGTAAGAAAAATTACATTTAATTTATATTGAAAAATATAGATAAATATTGAAGTATAAAAGAAAGGTATTATAAGATTTCCAGTTTAGTTTTAAATATTCTGATACGTACATCCATAATTCAGAGTAAGTATAGCTAGTATAACGATCGAATATTAGTAATAGTTTCTTCTCCTATTCAAAAAAATAATTGAAATACATTTGAATTTTGTGAAATAAAATCGTTTAATACGTTTCTATTTAGATGACTCTTCATATACATTATCCTCGTATATGGAATTCAATTCAAATATGGACTGTTGATCTTACGGCGAACAAAGCTCAAGTGTATTTTGTATTTGAACATAAAAACTTTTTTCAAGGTAATATAATTTATTTTCTATTTTAATAACAAAAAAGAATTCAATTATTATAGCTTTAATCAATGATTGGGCATCATCAGTACCTCCTGATATTTATTCATTTGCACCATATATTTATGATATAACTTTACAAGGTGATCATATAGAAGTTTTAGTACCATGCAATCAAGGAAATTGGATTGATTGTGTAAAAGAAAACGCTCGACAACAACAAGGTGCACCAGAAAATAGTAAGAATATTGCTATATTTTATTTTATATCGAAATTCTATTTCTTTTTTTTATCATCTTAAAGATTATATCTCAGTATGTGCGAAATCATTTTCATTAACATATCCAATACCATTTTTGGATTTTTGTCCAAAAGCTACACCAATGGACATAACTATTGAAGTTTGTTTTAAATAAAAAAGAATTTATATAAAAAAAAACATTTATTTTATTTTATCTATTATTAGGTCAAAGATGTCCTTGCACGTCTTGTGATACCTGAAAGTAATCGATTGTATTATATTCTAGAAGGCATTGATGCTCATAATCGATTTTACTCACAAAATGGAATTAAATCTCATTTAGCTTTATCAGACGAATTTGAAAAACGGTACATATTTGAGATGTTGTGAATATTCTTATTTTATTTATTTTCAGTGATGGTTGTTTTGATTGTGGTGAAGTTTCAAATATCAAAATTCTTGTTGAAATTCTACTTCATTCTTCACCACCAATTGATATCAATAGATCTGGTAAATTAAAAACAATTCTTATTCTCTTCAATAATTTCTGTTTTTTTTTCTCAAAAAAAAGATCTTGCATATGTTCAATATGTTAAAACGTTGGGTAATCGTCAAACATTTCATCCAAATAAATTAGAATATGATGTATTTAATATTGAAATTGATCTTGGCCCTATAAATTTATTTTTACATGGATTATTTTTAAAGAAACTTTGGTGGGTGAAGGTATGTTATTACTAATTGAGTTTATTTATTTTTTCTTATGTTTGTAATTTAATTTAATAAGGAAAATTTATTCGGTTGGGATCAAATGTTTCATGATATTCGTGAACCAGAATTAATACGTGAAAAGAAAATTATTGTACATGATGATCCATTAGATGATATTATTGATGAAAGTTATCCATTTGATCCAAGATGGTTTAGACCATTAAAGGCTACATTACGTGTTGCACTTCATAATATAACTGCTCATCTTGTCCATGTAAATGAAAATAACTATCTGTTTGTTTTTGATAAAATCTTGTATTTTAGCATACGGATGAGGAACCATGTCCAATAGCTTTCTGTGAACGACTTTGCTTTGAAATGACAACTGATCTTGATGAAACAAGACTACAAGTATTTTTTCTACCAGTCAATGTTTATGTCGAAGATTCGATTGTCGTAAGTATATTTAATAAAAATTGATTGAAATCTCTAAACATTCATTGAATGCTACAAAGCAGCACTGTAACTTTCATCTGAACCGATCAAACGAGCTTATCTATTGATAAACGTCAGAAAATTAATTACTTCTATTGACTAGGAATTAGTAGTGTTTTCGTTTTAAGCAATTTTGAATAACTCTAACAATTTTCTAGTTGTGATACAATTCTTCTCTTTTTTTATCTAGAGAAATAAAACAGATCAACATCTATCTACTGGATGTCTTCAAATATCTGGTTTAGTTATTCGTGGTCATGCAATGCTCTCACATGAAGGTCTACCACCTGAACGTGAAACACTTGAATATGCTTGGCAAATGGAAATTATACTTGGTAAAATCTCAGCTCGTTTAACAACAATTCAAGTAAGAAATCAATAACAAAAAAAAATATTTTTTTTTGTAAATAAATAATATCATTCTATTGTTTTTAGTTAGAAAAAACCTTAGGTTTTGTTAAAAATTTTTATTTACAAATAATGGAAGATGAATATACACTTGGTCGTTCACCATATATTGATAAAGCAAAATGGATTGAAAAACTTAAATATGATGTACTTAGATTTAGTTTAGATTCAATTGATCTTAATCTCATTGAAGTTGGAAATGCTGTTAATGTTCAAGTAAGAAATATTCTATATAATTTTTTCATCTTTATATAATTTTCTTGTTTTAGATAGCACCTATTCGTTTATGTATGTGTAATATGCATACATCATTGTGTAATGAAAGTTTGACTTTAAAAGTTGGTACAATACAAATTCGACAACTACTACGTCTTTATCCTGGTTCATGGTTAGAAGCTGGTTCAGTTAGCGTTCCTGAATTACGTATTAATGCAAAATTTGAATGTCATCCACCAACACCTGCTACAATAAATGAACAATTAGAATTTCTTCGTCGACATGATCAACATTCTCAACGACTACATTTTCTTTATAATCCTAAATCTCAACAAACATTAAATATTCCAACAATATCAACAAATTTAAAACGTCCATCTTATGTTGGTTTAGCAACAAATTCTAATGTATTATCATGTGCATGTCTTGGTGGTTCAACAAATTATTATACACTTGTACAAGGTGAACAATTTTTTAAAAGTACATTTCGTCTCAGTGATCAATCATCATTTGGTCGTTCATTATTTCATCCAGAGTTACATGTTTTACATTCACATTTTATATTTGAACATAAATATAATTGGACTAATTATGAACATGTTAATCGATTGCATGATGAATTAGATGAAGAAGAAATTTTTTATCCATTTGATTTTTGTGGACAACAAAAACAGTCTACTGAACAACATCAAAATATAAATATAAATGATAATCTATTACGACGTAGTGTACCAACAGATTTATATTCATTATCACGTGCTACTTCATTAAGAAATTTAAAACATAAATCAGTTATTGAACGAAATGAACATAAACGTTCATCATCATCAATACCATTAAATAATATAAATATGGTTTCATCACCATCACCACAAACACCAGGAAGTGATGATTATTTAACACCTAATGAACATTTATCATTAACAAGTGCAAGTCAAACAAGTTTAAGTTCAACTTTAAATAATACAAATAATAATATGGAATCATCATCAATATCATCATTAACTATGATGCAACAACAATCATCAACTTTATCATCACCCATGCATTCAGATTTAAATTTATTTTTAACATCAATTGGTAATAAACAAAATCTATCAACAAATTCATCACGTTCATCATCAATTGATTCATTAACAGCTCTAGAAGAAATACTTCAAAGACAACAAACAAGAAATAGTACAACTTTTCTACCTCAAAAAGTATATATACATATATTATTTGAAAGAAAAATCAATTATAGTTCTTTTTTGTTTTGAGACATTAGATTTATTTTGTTTACTGAGATAATCGTAACTACAAAAAATCGACATCAGTTAATTTTTTCTACTATTTGATATACTAACTAACTTATTTCACATAGGAAACAAATCAGACTGATTGATTTCGATTTTAAGTCTTTCACAAAAGAAATATCTCGATTTCTTCGATTCATATTACACATAGTTGAATGACTAACGATCGAATTAATACAACCAGCTATCACTACAGTAGAACGTATCATTAATAGTTCACACTGATTATATTTTAAGTATATTCAGATTTTTTAAATAATAAGAATTCAATGATTTGTGTGAAGATGAGATATAATACAAAAATTTTCTATCTTTTAGGGAACTTCATCAAACATGGAATATAATACTGTACCACAACCATCTCTTCCTAGTTCGTCATGGATAAGTTTACGTAATCAAATGAAAATGCCTATACCAAAATCGACTCTTTTATGTACAACATACATTCGTTATTTATCACATTATCGTTCTTCAACATGGTCCAATATCGCTACATTCCCACCAAATATTCAACAAGATCAAATTGATTCTCGTCCAATACTTGATTTTAATTGTGTATCTCAAGGTTTTTGTTGCTCATATTTATCTGAAATGTCTCCATCTTCACAGTCATTTACTACTCCATTATCTCGACAACCACCATCTCAACAACAACAATCTCAATCACAAACATCATCATCAACAACAACAGCAAATTCTCGACCACGTCTTTCAATTGCTCAAACAATGTCACCAGTAAATGCATCAAATGTAATTGCTACAGAAAGAGAAGTATGTCTTCGATTTATCGGAGCATTTAATATTCTTTTAACACCACTTATGCTTGAATGTTTAACAACATATATTGAAAAATGGAAAACATA